TAGAGGGAGAATCCCTGTTTGGGCTTGACCCTCTGGTAAGTTTATATATATCTGTTATTGGGTGCAAGTTTTCTGTTAGTAAAGTTATTCAGCTCTAGTACATTTTTTGAAATAATTAATCAAGCCTGCAGTTTGATTCAGCTTCCAAATCTTTAAACCTCGAAAGAAATAATGAAAGAAAATATTTAGAAGATGGTGTTGTTAATCAAGATTCATATTGACCATGTGATAAGCACTTACAATTATTTTAAAATGTGGAAGACAGTTTTGTTTTTCTTCACTGAATTGGCATGCTAGGGACTATTATGGAAAACCATATATTAGGGTGGTTAATATCAAAGTTCAATGCAAACATCATGAATTAATTTGGTGTTTCTTGGCTGTTTATTTTACTTCAGGTTCCTCCTGGGCTTTATTCTTGGGAAAAAGAGATTTTCTTAGCTTTCCTGCAGACTAATATCTTGAAGGAACAAATCAGCTTGTAGGGTATTTTCAAAGTTCGTTGCTAACAAGTATAGGTACTAAAGGTAATATATTTCTTGACGTTTTCACTATCATAATTATCTTTAATACTCTCTTTTTTATCCTTTTGTTTAGTACAATCAAAAGAACCGTTCTTTGTCTCACGAATCAGCAAGGCAAATAATTTTTACCATATTTATATTCATTTTTTATAACATATATTTATCTCAATATTATAACCTGGATTTTTTAATGATTTATATTATTCTCTAACACACCCTCTTACACAAGAGCTATTTGGGCTTGAACGTGGATATTATACAGGTCTAATTTTTATTTTTTTTTATTTATCTTGTGTTTATTTTAATTCCACTAGAAAGTAGGAGCGGTGAGGATCGAACTCTTGAGTGTTAAGTAAGGGTCTTTTTAATGATTTATATTATTCTCTTAACATAGTTTGCATATGCCAATCACCCTACGTACGCCCCATTTTCAAATGGCAGTAACAGAGGTTCGAAAGACCAGCAAAAGCTATTGTATACTTGCTGCATTCTCGCCGTGATAAATTATGGACAAATACTTGTTGTCTCTATAATTACCATACAAATTGTGAGGATTCTAATTTTTTTTTTGGTACATAGGATTCTAATTTCTTTATATGTGAATAATTGGATACAAACGGATCAACCATATATATATATATAGGATAGGATATTGTGACAACCAAATAAAGTTACAACCAATCAATGTTACTACCAATCAATCTCACCGTTAGATTGGTAGTAGCGATCCCACGGTCCGTCTCTTAAATAGCCCTTATCTATTTGTTTCTCTCTCCCCCTTCTCTCTCTTCTCTTCTCTCTCTCACTATACACTCTTGTCGCCGCCGCCACTGCCCATAGCCTCTGTCCCGACGGCACCGCCTGCCTCCGTCGCGCCGCCGCCTTCCTCCATCGCGCAGCCGCCGAGCCTCTGTCGCGCCCCCACCTGCATCCAGCGGAGAGCTTGAATATTATCGCGGTTTAAGATTCGAGATTCGATTTACCAAATTCGAGCTCTTGCGTGTGTCTGTCTCTTCTTTACCAAAAATTTAAAAATTGTGAAAAATATAAAGAAGCTATCTATTCACTGTGTATCAAGTTTTAAATTTTTTTTACTCATCTCTCTAATTTTTAAAAATTTGATACACAATGATTTAAAAATTCATCTCTCCATTCACGGTGTCTGCAACATCTTTAAGATGGATCTGTCAATGAGTGATGAAGCGAGTTAAGTTAAAAGAGAAGTAAAACCCTCCATTTCCAAAAGGCAAAGGCAGAAAGATACATCGATGTATATGGAGAGTGGTTCCGTATTTAAAAAGGAGTGCTTTAGAGTTGAAGGGTAGGCTTTGTTTGTTCAAAATGCAGCGACGGTGGCGCGACGGAGGCTTGGCGGCGGGGAGGCAGGCGGCGCCGTTGGGACAGAGGCTATGGGCGGCGGCGGCGGCAGAGTGTATAGTGAGAGAGAAGGGAGGAGAGAAGGGGGAGAGAGAAACGAATAAAGAGGTGCCATTTAAGAGATCAATGAGGACCGTGGGATCGCTACTACCAATCTAACGGTGAGATTGATTGGTAGTAACTTTACTTGGTTGTCACAATATCCTGTCCCTATATACATATATATATGTATATATATATATATATATGTCATATATGTGTGTGTGTTTGCACAATCATAAGAAAACTTATCTCAAATACATATTAAAAGAATTAATATTTTTTATGTTATAAGAGATAATTTTATTTTCTACATATACATAAAAATGTGTGGCGGCCCATATGGGCCATGTGAGAAGAAAAAACAATATAGACCTCACACATTTTTATGTGTAAATAGGAGATAAACAATGCGATAAATAATAAACTCAATATATTAAGGGGAGTACTTTTCTCCTTAAGGAATAAAATATTGTCTCATGTGAAAGGAGAAAAGCATTTCCCATATATTAAATTCTAATAATTGTCAGAATGTATAACTAAAGGCTTGTTTGGTGTGATATATAAGGCTTTATAGTATAAGCTTATACTATACGTTATGACATTTTCAGTTATTTGGTGTGACCCTCGTATAGTATAAGCTAATACAACAGAACTCCTTAATACATCAAAATGATATATAACTTAATCAGTCCCAAGTGGGTGAGATTAGGCCTAATAAGGGGTTGATGTATTAATATTGCTCACAAGTACAATTCTCAAGAATTAGTATATCATTTCAATATTAATATATTAAAATAAAAATTAATTTTTTAATATATTAAATTTTAAATATTGAATTTTTTATTTTTATAAAAATTAATATATTTTTTGGACACACTGATCAGTAGATTTTTGTAAAAATTAATATTATATGACATATTTGGAAGAATTATATAAATTCTTTATTCAAGAGTATTTTTCTTTAAAATATTTATTTTTATCCTATTTAGTATTTACAGTGCATTACCAAACATTAGGGGATATTATCTTATACAATACTATATCAAATGCTGGATAGTATTAAAATTTAATCAGGTCTTATATTATCAGGCCTTATTCTATACTATGCATCAAACATGCCCTGAATGACTTACAAAGTTTATGGCTAAACCGTATGACGTCGGTCCGTGCCAAGTTGATTTATATCTACAAATATTTGTAAGAGAGAAATTATATTTATTATAATTTTTCTTATTATTTTTTACTGTCGATTTTATTATTGTTGTATCAAAATAAAACCAACGACTCTTACTTGATATTATTTTGTAAACGTTGATTTGATTTTGATAAACTGACATCAAGATATAGTAAAAAAAAATAGTAAATATAACTTATTCCTATTTTTTATACAGTAACAAATTTTGTATATTTTACTAAGTAAATAAATTATTAAATTATACTCTATATTTAGACAATATGCTAGAAGATTTATTTATAAAAGAGTAAACACCCTTTTTGGTCCCTGGCAATATATACAAAAAAAATTTTAGTCCCTGGCAATAAAAAATGACCAAATTGGTCCCTAACAGTATGAAAAAAGGGCCACGTTAGTGACGGAAGAGTTGACATAAGGACTAATGTACCCATTTTTTCATAATTTTAGGGACCAATTTGGTCATTTTTTATTGCAAGGGACTAAAAATGATTTCGTAGATATTGCCAGGGACCAAAAAGGGTGTTTACTCTTTATAAAAATAAGGAAAAACTTCAAAAACCTCCCTACAATTTTCCTCAAAATCACTTAACTCCCTCCTCGAAATTTTTATCATTTACCCCGTACTTAATTTTTTTTTTTTATCACAACCCCCAAGGGTAGCTCAGTTGGCAGCTGAGCTCCCAAGGGATTGCTTGGTGCAGGGATCAAACCCTGCCTCAAGCAGTTTCTTGGAAAATCTTTGGGGGCCAGAGGATAAGCCAAAAAATCTTCGGTTGGGGGATTAGTCTCGTCCTTTCTCCGGTTGCGAAGCTTAGTGCACCCACTGTTACAATGAGGGGCTAGCCCAAACGGGCCGTACCCCGAGGGCATGGTGCCCGGAGAAGGTTGAATGGGGATACTTCCGGACAATGTACCAAAAAAAAAAATTTTTTTTTTATCACTTACCCTCCTAATTTGATTTTTCATCCAAAATTTTATTAACAGCTAGAGTTAAATTTTTGAAAAAATACCAAAATTACCCTTAATAGAAAAAAGAAAAACATAATTTCTTCACCAACACAATTTTAGACAAACTCACGGAATGTTTTCTTTAAGTAATTATTAAAATTATTTTCTACAAATTCCATTTCTATTAAACACCGTATTCACAATTGTTGATGTCGTTGTTCAAATAAAATGATTAAAGAGGCATCATCCCACCAGGTTTATTTGTAGGAAATAATTTTAATAATTACTAATTTTAACAAGGCTACCTTAAAGAAAATATTCCGTGAGTTCGTCTAAAATTGTGTTGGTGAAGAAATTATGTTTTTCTTTTTTCTATTAAGGGTAATTTTGGTATTTTTTAAAAAAATCAACTCTGTTAACAAAATTTTGGATGAAAAATCAAATTAGGGTGGTAAGTGATAAAAAAAATTTAAATCAGGGGGCAAATGATTAAAAATTTCGGAGAGAGGGTTAAGAGATTTTGAGAAAACATGTACGGGGATTTTTGAAATTTTTTCTAAAAATAAAAGAACTTTCAATTCAATTTTAGTATTTGTGAAAAAGACATCTCATCCTTTTAAGATCCAAAATGATCGCATTTTGCTGCAGCCATTAGCCCTGCAAATTGTTCATTAGACGGTGCGTTTAGGGTCGCGAGGGAATGAAAATGGAAAAGGCGCGATCCTGAAATTAACCCTAGAAAAATATAACTTGAACGGAACAATGCTATTATCAATCTCAACAGGTAAAAAGTAAAAAAAAAAAAAGGGAGTTGGGCGGGAAAAGTGCCTCGTATTCCCACACATAACTTCTCCTCTTCTTTAATTCAATCACTCTTTCGCTTTGTTCACTGGTTGTTACGCGAGGGAGGGACAATGCAGACCGTAGAAGAAGGTAGCGGCGGCGAGGAGCAAAACGCACGCGTCGCGGTAAATCCTTTGGAGTCGGAGATTTTGAAGCTGCGTAGACAATGGGAACTTGCTTCTGTTTTGAATTTCTTGGATGTAAGATCTCTCAACTCTCTCGTTGAAATTCGACGTGAAATTTCCTTGTTTGTTGGCGAGCAAAGGAATTTATGTTTATCGCTATTTTTAGGTTACGGAGTCTATCGGAATTTATTTTTTTTGAGATAAAATTTTCATTGAGAGTCGAGTAACACAACAGTTGCATAATATTTTTGGTGATTTATATTGTAATGGCGTGATTTAGGTGTTTTGTCCAATACTTGGTAAAGATATGAAGCTGTCAGCTGAAGAAATAGAAATCGGGCTTATAAAGCCTGACGCTTCACTTGCTCGACTTCATATTCAACTTTTGAAGGTACCTTATTCTCCATAGTTATGCAAGTGTGCGTGTTTTGTTTTGTTTTGCTCTTTTTTTGTTTGTTGCTATTCTTCTGGCTGGCTATCCATCAATCGAGTACTTACTTTTTGTGGATTGTTTGTATATTAAAACTGAACAAATGTAATGTGTACATTCCTATCGAGATATTTCGGGTGTTATAAATTTTTTTATTTGCTAGGACAATTAGAGGAGTTCTTGACTTATATGTCGATGTATTTATGTAATATTATTTGAGACTATTGGTAGAGATGCTTCGTGTAAATGTAAATTTTACCACTTTTGGACCGTATTGTATGTTTGTAGTTTAAATTCTGCTACGTGAAAAGGGAATGGAAAGTGGTCATATTTTTTTCCATTAAGTTGCATGCAATATCTGGTGAGGTAAGATAATGAAGGGTGAACATTACTCAGTTGAACTAATTATATTGTTACAAGCTTTTACTTGTGACTCTAGTCCAATGACTTCATTTTCACATCTTATTTATCAGAAACATATATCAGTTATGAGCTGAAGTAAAGTTCTCATGAACCGCATTATTGGATTTTTAATATCTATTCCCAAAATGCTGTAGATTGTGGTCCAAAGTACCTCAAGTTCAATGGTGACATAGGGAAAGAAGCATTTTATATTTTGCACATGAAATTATGACTAAATCCCAAAATATGTAAGATTAATGCATTAGCAAGGAGGTTGGATATACTATTCTGTAAATTGGCTAACTTCCTCCAATAAAACCAACGAGTCTTCCTTTTTCGCGTGGTTTGTAATTTTCTGTTGATGGATTACTATCTTATTATTATTCAGATATTGGTCCATCCTTAGTTTCTTTGTAGATTTAAATTTCATTTGTATTCTTGCCAGGGAACACCACCTGTGAGTAAAACACTGAATGATTCTGATAAATGGGTGACTGCACTGTGTAAGAAACTGACTATGTGGTGGCCATGGGTGAGTCACAGACTGATTGCTTGAGTTTGCTTGTTCTTTTTCCTTCCCATTGCTGATTGGATTTACTATTTATATGTGCTGGTTGGTTCTTTGCTACAGGTTGCTGAGGGGAAAATTCCACTAATACCATCTAAAGGGTACTAAGTTGCACCAATCATGTACTTTTATTTTGCTATGACTTATAAAATAACTGATTTCATTATTGCTTGTGTAGAGAGGAGATATCCAAGTACAGGGAACTTGATCCATCAGATCGATTACTGCTGCTAAAAGCGCTTTGTGAAGTTAGAGCTGATGTATTATTATCTTCTGTTTTGTTTCTTCAAGTTTTTGTTTTGTTAATATATATGATACTTTTGCATTCTCAAGATCAGATAATCCTCCTAGTCTGTTACTGCTCATTGGTGGTGTTTCCTCTTCTTCTTTTTGAAAAAATTTAATTCCTTTTGCCAATTTAATTTTTTTCAGAAGTAATTAATTTGTTTGGGTGTTTGTTTATGTTCAGCAACACGATGCAGTGTCATACATTAATGAAGCTTTAAAAGAAGGAACCCAAATTACTTTTTTTCGCAAGGATGCCTTAGGAAGAGATGGAATTGGCACATCCTATTGGTAATTTTTGTACATGTTCCAATCTTTTTAAGATCCTCAAAACCTTAAAATCCTCATTACTGTTTTTTTTTTTTACAATGTCTATTGTAGGTATGATGCAAATGCAAAAGGTCAAAGTCACAGATTGTACAAGGGAATAATCACATCAGATTCAAATCCAAAGGTTAAGGTCAAAGGATGTTTATCACTTCCCACCATCAACTTTCAATGGGAAACACTTGCCTCCAATCTTGAAGAATTTTCAGAAGTAGCTGTAAGATCAAGTTAACTGCCTTTTGTCTTCCTTTGCTTCCCTGGATTTGAAACTTTAATTAACTTTGTCTTTGACTGTTAATGCAGGAGAAATTCTCATTCAGCCAGTCTGCTGCTGAAGTTGCTATTGGCAAGAAGCTTCAAAGTGATGCTATTCCTATTCTTGAAAAGATGCGGAAGGTATGAATCTCCTTTTGTTAAGTGTTTGATAGGTGTCTATTCTAGGGAACACCCTTATCGTTGTTTGAGATATTGATATAAACTTTAAAGCAATATCAATGCAGAAGAAAGAAAGAGCAGTAAAACAAAAGCAGAGGCAGGACATGCTCTTAAAAGATTCTCAGAATTCTTTTTGTTCTGGAAATGCACGTTCTTGTCGCACTCGAAGGCATATCAGTTACACATTTGGTAAGATGTGTATTAAATGTTCATTTATGTGGCATATGCCTTTTGTATTTTAGCACTTACAAATTCTTTAGGGAAGGGACTGAAAAGTGTTGGGAGAAGAGCATGGAGACTGTATGCTGAAAGAATAAAGAAAATTGTCAGGTTAGTTAGAGAAGTCAGGAAGACAGTTAGTTAGGATGGCAGTTTGGCAGTGATGACATTAAGCAATTAGGTGAATAAATAGCAGATTTTTTTTTTTTTTTGGGGTGGGTGGGGGTGTGGTATCTTTTGGAAATACTGTGTAACTGAGTGCGTTACTCTGTTGGAAAAGGGCTCACCCCTGCTCCTTCACACAAGATACTGCAATATAACAGAGAACTCTTCTCTTTCGCTCTATCTTACCTTCCTTGTACCTTTAGGAACTCGGTCTCCCCAAGTTTATATGAAATTCTGAGGCATTGGACAATTGTTATCCTGCATATTTACAGAGTTGTTGACTTTTTCGTGATTTGTACTTGCATTGTTAGTGTGGGTGGGTCTTGTCAATTGAGCATGCGAGGATGTCCGTGCATATGCATGTCGGTATTGTCAATCTATTCTCATTAAAGCTATTTCAATGTTAGGAATTGCATTTCTAGGTTCTATCCCCACCCCTATTTTCCAAATAGCTGTCGATTCAGTATGCTAATGTGAATTAGATTGAGTGCTTTATTAGCGGCTAAACACATTTGATGTGGTAAATAATTACACACTGCTTGATGCTTCTCATTGTTGGATTGGTTTCCCGTCCCATTCCTTTAAATGTGTCGTAAATTATGAGTTGAGTATAAGCTGTTTCAATTAGTTCTTCTTTCTGCCTCTTTAAGATATCAGTTGGATTTCTAGACATTAATCAAGTTCTTTTTGGGAAATATTGCAGAAGCTTATGATCGAACAATGAAGGAGGCAATACAGTTAACAAAGTATGTTTTATGTGATATTGTATCTTATTAGTTCATGTTCTTTCTGCTTTCCCATGCTGTATTGTCCTTGTAGAATGGTTGATAATTTTTCTGATTATTAAATGTTCAGGTCTTGTTGGGTCAAGACTCAAGATTAAACCCCCCCTCCCAAAAAAAAAGAAGTGAAGTAAAATTTTTCTTTCAGCCAATACTTTGCTGCTTTTGTACCATTTTTTTGTGACACCAATATGAAGGGATGTTCCTGAGAATAATAACTTCGGTTGTTTTATCATTGGTTACTAAACGATTTATGTGCTGCAGAAGTATAACATGCTAAGATTTTCGTTTTATAATTTCAAATCTCTATTAGGTGTGTTCATTTCTGTATCTCACAGCTATTATTCTTTTCACTTTTTTCATTTCAGTAAAAGGAAAAGGTCTCCGGACACTGATCAAGATAAAAACAGAGGATCAGAAGATAAATCCAACATAGAAGATGCTTCAACAGACAGTGATTCCAAAGGGGATGTGCTCCAGATATCTGATAGTGATGACACTGGTTACGAAATTGAGAATCACAGTAACAGTGAGGAGGATGGTGATATTGATAGTGAGGCGGGCAATTCGGAAGCACACTCAAGCCGTGCAGTTTCTTATCCCAAGGGGATTCGCTGTAGTAAGCGGTTAGCTGGAGTCTCTAGGCATACTGTTCCAGAAAGCATAGGCTTGACTACAAAGCAAAGATTGAGACAAAGACCCACACGCAATTCTGCCATAGAATCTATTGTACCGGATTCAGAGGATGATGAAGCACATGAAGGGAAGACAGATTTATCGGAGTCCATTTAGTCCTGATATATATATTTTTTTGGAATACACTTAGGCCTGATATTAATTTACATTTTGGTGAAGTAAGCAAGTTTAGTAGTGATATATAGTGTTTCGCCATCTAAATTTGAGGGAATTGGGAAAAAAAAAAAAAAAAAAATCCTCCTTGTAGGATTGTACATATTTATTGCTTCTCCAAATTTTGTCTCGGAGTCCAAGAACCAATACTTTTCCTATGTGGTATGATTTCGATAAATTTCCTAAATATTCGATATAAATATGGCAAAAATAAAAAAAATATACTCTTTCTACCATTGCTTTTGTCTGAGGTTTTCATTCATATATGATGAAGATAACCAATCATGAATCTAACAAAAACAAGTGTTTCAACTCGAAGGTACAGGATTGCCAAGAAACACAGAATAACAAGAAAGATCTTGAATGACCTTTTTTGTTGTTGTTGTTGATACATTTGAATGGCCTTTAACTATAAATAGAAGAAGATAATGAAGTTATCATCCAGTTATCATAGTTCCAGCACCTTCATCAGTCAAAATCTCGAGCAACAAAGAGTGTGGGACCCTGCCATCAATAATACTAGCCGTTTTGACACCTTGTGCAAGGGATCGCACGCAACAATTCACCTTTGGAATCATGCCACCACCAACCTTGCCATCCTCCATCATACTCTTCACCCCTTTTATATCAATCTTCTTCACCAAGCTATTCGGGTCATTCCGATCCTCCAATACGCCCGCCACATCAGTCAACAATATCAATTTCTCTGCCCCTAGCGCCGCTGCCAATTCTCCGGCCACCGTATCCGCATTTATGTTGTACGGCTGTCCGAACTCATCCGCCGCCACAGACGTCACCACCGGAATATGGCTGTTATCGATCAGCGATCGAAGAACAGTCGGATCCACCTGCGCCACCTCGCCCACGAACCCTAGGTCGGCGGCTTTAGGGCTAGGTCGAGCCATCAGGAGGCGGCCGTCCATGCCGGAGAGGCCGACTGCGGTGGCCCCTGCTTTGTTGATGAGAGACACCAGGGTCTTGTTGACCTTGCCGACGAGGACCATGGAAACGATCTCCATGGTCTCAGCGTCGGTGACTCGGAGGCCGTCGCGGAAGACGGCCTGAATGTTGAGGCGGCCGAGCCAGTTGTTGATCTCCGGGCCTCCGCCGTGAACCATAACGGGGCGGAGACCGACGCAGGAGAGGAGGACGAGGTCGTTGATGACTGAGGCTTGTAGCGCAGGGGATTTCATGGCGGCGCCTCCGTACTTGACGACGATGATCTTGCCTCGGAATTTCTGGATGAAGGGGAGGGATTCCGAGAGGATGTCGACTCGGAACTGACCCGGTGAGAGAGACTCGGTGGTGGGTGGAATCTGAACAGGGTTAGCCACTGCTGAAATTGTGGGGTATTTCGTACATCGACAGCGATTGGAAGGGAAAGCCAATTTAGAAGGAGTTGAAGTTGGGGTTTTGGTTTTGGAGATGAATGGAAAAGATGAACAGAAATTTGTGACGCTTTTGGCTGACCCTCCCAACATTGTCTCAGGTACAGTGTGTGTGTGTCTGTGAAGTGAGAGTTGCAGAAGATTTCAGGTTTGAGACTGTGATTCTTCTTTCAGCGAAACCATTTATTTATTTATTTTATTAGAGGGGCGTTTGGTACGTGAAATTCCTGTAAACTGAATTTTTTTAAATTTTAAATTTACGGACATTATCGTAAACTGAATTTAAAAATTATATTTTTAAAAATTGAGATTCTCAGTTAAAAAAATATTTTTCTTGTAGCAAACGCCCCCAGAGGAAAATATTCAAAAGAAAAAAAATATAAAATAAAAACGATCCACTTTTTCTCTTTCAATTTCTTATATCCATGCTCGAATTCATGCCAGAAAGTAATCTATAATCATTTTTTTAATCAAAAACGATGGAGAGTTACTGGTAAGAGTATTTTATTAAAGAATTTGGTAATTACTCAACAAGTTCAAATTTTTATTTTTCGGAGATAAGATCAATTTTATTAAAATATATTATTGGACTAGTAAAATTTAATTGATCCAACTTGTTAGTTAGATTTAAATTTTGTCTATCTATATCAAAGAGTCATGTGTCGTTTTGTAACAGAGATGGAAGAATTAACAAGCAGATTAATCAAATGTCCAAAGCCATTCTATGTGCACAAAGGGTCTGTTCGCAGCTATTCTAATTGCTCCACGATTATATTTGACATTACTTTTGCTACGAAGGACAGAAGGAGAGGTTGAAAACAAAAATTTTAGAATTTAAAAAGCTTCATGATCCATAATTTCTTATCCTTTTTTCTTCTTCTTCTTATTTACATGTTTCCTTATTTGGGAAGTGGACAATTATTGTTATATACAGTGATTCCATTCTATACCCTTCAAATTGGGGGGATGGAACAAAAATGCAGGTATTGGATTAATAGAATAAAATACATTCCACATTCCATCGATTATCCGACTAAGGCGATTATCTTAAGATCATTTTCTTCATTTGTAGGGTTCAAATTCGAGACCAGAAGAAATTCTTTTATCTCTTGAACGAAATGTTGTTGGTAAAATCCAAATTCTATTCCATTCCATCTGTTTTTAGCAATACAAACAATGGCAACTAATATCATTCCATTCAACATAGTCTAAGGCTATAGTTTTTGTTTATGTCCTTACGCAAATCAAGTTTTTACTTTTCGAACATATTGTTGAGGATTATATCATGCAATGTTCATTTGGGTAGAAGTTCACGTCACAAATAGGGACACTGGCCAAAGTGTCACTGTTGGAAAAAAAACACACTAAAATGCTACGTCAACAGTAAATTTTGTCAAAATACCACGTGGCATATTTCGCTACACTGTGTAGTGAAATATGCTACGTCAGAACCAAAAATGCCACGTGTCAAACAGGGAGAATTTCGCTACACAATGTAGCGAAATTCTCCCTGTCTGACACATGACATTTTTGATTCTGTGCATTCTGACGCGGCATATTTCGCTACACCGTGTAGCGAATTATTTGCACACATTTTTCGCTACATAGTGTAGCAAAATATGCCACGTGACATTTTGACAAAATTTACTGTTGTTGGCGTGATATTTTAGTGTTTTTTTTTTCCAACTGTTCCTCACAAAGATACATTGCGTAAGCAGGGCTGTACCAAATCTTCCTATTAATCTTGAGGATCTTGCTTGAAGTGAAGCTGAAATTGAGCAGGCTTTTCATATGTGCATGAGGTCGTTCAATATCCCTGTTTGTTACAACTTAGTTTGAAGCAATTTATTTGGCGGTGCTATTTGAGTATTATTTCAATTTCCGTTCATGTCCTTTAATTGATTATTTACTTGCAAATCATGTTAATCTCCCCTCTATTAAAATGCATATTAATGGTGTTTTTAAATGGGTGCAGGCTGGGGAACAATTTGATCATATTAATCACAATACTTGGTTTAAAATTTTAAGGTAGCGAACCGAAGTAGTGGTAAAACTGTTCCTTCATGACTGAAAGGTTATGGGTTCGAATTCAAAAAACAGTCTCTTTGCAATTATGTAAGGGTAAGGCTGCGTAGTGCGTACAAGGATTTTCTCCACTCCACACTCGCTAGTCGGGTTTAACGGAGAGTGGTTTTTTTCTTTTACTTAGTTTAAAATTTTAGAGTTCATGCTTGTAGTGGGAACACGTGCTAATCAAGGAATCTTCTGCATTTAGGCTCAAGTCAAAATGTGAAGCATCATAATTGAGTTTTATTTATGTATTTTTTGAATCGAAGTCGTCTGCACTCAAGATCCTTTGCAATGTTACTAAATATATTGAATGAAAAACATACTGAGACACTTACTTTGAGGTATATTTTGCTCGTTGGTATGTGTTATGCATTTGCTTTTGAAATTATTGAAGGGGGTAACCAAATATGCTGGATTTGAGTTTGGAGCAGGTTATGGATATTGTTGAAGATCATTTGTCGCAAAATTTGGCAGTTTGAACCAGAATTGTGAGAAGTAATAGCAGTACCCATTTGAAACTTTTACCATTTACTGTGTCATCATTCATAATATTGTGACAGTTGTCCTAATTATGTTGTTTAATTGATTTGTTGATTGTTATGTTGACAGTTGTGTTTAGTTTGTTTGCTATGTAGTTTGTAAATGATGCTTCTAATGTTATTTATTATTTTTATTTTTGAATAATTTAAGTTGAATGTAATTTGTTTAGGTACCCTGGTGCGACATTGGGTTCTACATTATTCATCGGTTCCTTTGGATGTGACAATTCAGCATACAGTAACTCGTTCGATATCTTTATTCGAGGTAAGAAATAAGCTATTTTTTATACAAGGCCTAACATACAGTAGCTCATTATCTCTGTAAGTAATGCTTCTCAAGATATTCGTATTCCCAATGGGGTTTGTGACTGTCAGATTGTTAGAACTTCTGCTGCATTTCTTGTTCCTTAGGTGACGACATAGGTGGCATAATGATGTGCCAACTGCCAATGGAGCTGGTTAAATTAGTTATATATTTAAATTAGTCCATTTGGACACCCTTTTCTTGGTTAGAGCTAATGCTGCATAACATAAGAGTAATATTGTGCATTTGACTTCCCTAGCACGGGTAAAATAGTTATAGAAATCCAAAATTAATGAACTTTACAGAGTTAACCGTAAGGTATCGAAATACTTTTTGATAAGTTTCAATGTTGAGGTCATTCGGCCCCTCAATGAAGGCTATACAGTTGTGTAACTCTTGCTGCCTTGACAGAACCCGATGCCGACTTTGTCTCTGCTGAGAGCAAATGAAGAGAGAAAAAATGGTGAAATTCTTTTTCTGCTATAGAGCGTGTAGTAATGTTCTTGCGTGGCCTAAATTATATTCCCAAAATTTACAAAAAAAAAAAAAAAATTATATTCCCAAAACACACTTTTTACGGATGTCACACTTGGGATTTCATCATGATTTTATTATATCTTACTATACAGTGAGCCGAGTGTTGAGTAAGATTTTTGTGAATCCTGAATATATTATTTGAATCACCAGTCCTGAATATATTCTTATAAACCTGTTTGAGTGTGTAAAGATTTCAGCTTTGTATCTAGTTACTTGGGAATGACTACTGGAAGTGGTTTACTTGACGAACATTATGTGTATTCTATTCGTAAGTCACAATTCACAGCTGAAAATCTTGTTTGACTTGTGTTCGTTATTGGAATGATAAACTAATGGAATGGTTGATTGAGTTGTAACCTCAAATTATCGCATAAGTCAAATATTGTACTTAATATTATTTTGAAGAATGCTTGCTCCATATACATTTGAAGGGGGAAAAAAGGATTATAAACGTAAATATAATATAAGCCTGTTTTGGGACTCTCGTCTTTCTCAATAATACGTTATTACCACGAGCATGGACATCTCTGTTTCAAACATCCGACACAGAAAAAAAATAAAGCCACGTGGTAGCTCTCAGGAAAACTGTTGTTTTGAAATATGTACAATTGTGCTTCTGGACCTTCTACCATAATAATTAGTTAGCAGGGGGCATAAATGTAAAAGGCAACAGCAAAATTTTGAGCCAAAAAATACACCTTTCGCCCAAAAATTAATATAATGAAGAAAGAAATAATAATTACAGCTCTTCGATTAACAGTTAATAACCAAAGCCATTACCCACAAAACCCTCTTCGTCACTACTTAAAGATTCAAGTAGTTGACTGTCATCATCATCCTCATCACCTGTCACAATCTCCAATAAGCCAGTTCCCCCATCAAAGTCTGCATCATCTAAAATGAAATCTCCATCTTCATCATCATCGGGGTCACTTACACTATCATCATCGTCGTCATCATTGCTCATATCATCAGCATCACTCCCACTTTCGCCACCAAGACCAGGACCTAAAAGAGGATCTACATCAGCATCATCGTCATCCTCGTCTTCTTCCTCACTTTCAGCATCATCAGGATCAGAATCATCATCAGTTGGCCTCCGACGACCAATTTCATAAATTCTGGCTGATGCATACATCTCTTCTTGATCATCCATAGTAATCAACCCAACAAATGAATCTGTTGGCTCAGTTGCAAAATCAAGAACACAGCGATCCACAGGGATAGTAGCAATGTCAGAATAATTGATTGCATCCACTGTGCGGAAAGCTGCAAAGAGAGGATGCTTGGCTCGACGTGTGTGGACGGCTGACATCACATCCTCAAGATTTCTCCTTAAGATTGCATATATAACATCACCACGTGCATTGAATGTTATGGCTGTTTGATCTAATGAAGGTACACTACGTAGCAGTCTGAACTTGCGCAGATCCCAGACTTCAGAGTTTACAATAACCTGGTTCAAAAGCAAATTTTTTTACACACAGAATGGTCAGAAATACCACATCGCAGACAAAATAATTACTAATTAATAATTTGAAAAATTGCGCTCACTAATGATGTCCTGGTGTCAAAAAATAATCCTAGAATTTTGAATATGAAATACAAACCCCTTCCTCCACAATTTCCAACTCCAGTCACTACGATATAATAGATATTGAGGTTTGATATTTGAGCCCTTTAAACATCTCTTCATCCATTTCCATAGAGACTTACAAGCAGTACACCTATATTTTATAGGGTATAAATTCACATTCTCAAACTTAATCATTAATCTCACTAACATCTAATGGCTCAAACGATTATAAATTAAAGGCATTATTACATGTAAGTAGATCAATGGTTAAGATTGACAATATAAGTTGATCTTGCCCATTATTTTTACTCAGATGCAAGTTGATCCTGCAGCCAGTTAAGATAATCTTCCTACAATTTGAAGTTCTATTATTCAGACAGATGCAAGATTCTGCATACCTCATTGCCAGCAGGATGAAAGCCTCCACCCCCATAGTCCGTGAACTGATCAAAGCGATGAACAGGCCCAGAGCCCCGGCGATCCCATAAGACACCATTCCAAAGCAGCATCGAGTCAGATGGGCTAAAGTGGATTAAAGAATAAACATGACCCCGCCCTGTAGAAGTTGCAAATGTATCTGACAACTTTGACTCTAACTGACATTTTTGGACATCATACAAAAGTATTTCCCGTCGTGCAGATTCTGATGACAAGGCAGCAAAAATGTTCCCAGAATTGCTAAACCTGGCAGCCTTGCACCCTTCAAATGAATGGCTAGGACCACCTAAAATCGATGTTGCATCCCAGAGCCTAACATCTTGGCAGCTTGAAGAAAGCAACAGCTGGGTCTCACCAGAAACAAAAGACTGAACAAGTGTCAAAGGATACTGGTGACCTGTGAAGCTCTCCACCACATTGTTGTTGTTGGAGTCAAAAAATTTAAGCTCTCCATTGTGGCTCCCAACAGCAATATGAGAAGAGTCACCAACAAATGTAATGCATGTTAATAAGGCACCAGCATCGTCTCGACAAGTGCGCCATGGCCTAAACCGGCTGTAAACAAATTGACGATCCCTGCGATTCCCATGCACTCCACCATATATAAATTTAAATTCACGTGTCCCAAGCCGAGCTGTCACATTTGACGGGGCATCAAGGCTTCGCTTAGGTTCAGGACAAACATGCGGGTGTAGAAGGGATAGCGGAGGAAGAGTGGTAATGGGAGCTGGGCATTGGCGATGCTGATGCTTCAAATACTGAACAACTAGAGAATCTAATGATACACGCTCAGGATTGTTGGACTGAAGGTCATTTAATACTTGGGAGGATATCTGACCTGGATTTGAGGTAGTACACTGATTGTCATCCCCATAGTCAGCTGTACAGCGGCCTTGTTGACTTCTCAGGTTACAGGTTGGTGAATAAAGCCCAACAGCATCAGTTTGCAGGCTGCTTTTACGACTTGCACTTGAACAAATAGGAGTGCGAAGTCCTTGATCCCCAACATTTTGTCGCTTTCCAGATGATGAAAACATTACTATATCCTTTAAATCAGATGACTTTCGTTTTGTTGGCAATAGCATCGGAGTCTTACACACAGATCCAGCATCAATGTTATGTTTCACTGAAGACTCGGATAGAGACTCTACTATACTTGTTTCTGAAGACTCTTTACCAGAATTTAACCATTTTCTGACTGATGACTGCTGAGTCTCAACAGTTTGATGCCTTGAATGTGAACCAAAAGATGATGAGAAAGCCAGTGATTTTTTCTTTGCAGAGACAGCATCACTTTTCAAGCCGGCATCCTCATCCTTTGCATTAAACTTTAATTTGTTAGTGAGAAATCCACAAGGAGTACGACCAGAGGGCCACTGAATTTGTGTTGAAGCTTCCTGTGTGGTGGGCTGTTGTGCAAGAGAAGACGGAGCAACCAATGATGGTAAAGGAGTCAGCTGAGCCTCTTTAAGCAACGCAGAAGCAGTTTGTGTCAACCCAGATGCCTGTAGGTGTTCATGAATCAGGAGCAAGAGTTCCCTGAATAAGAAAATATAACATAAAGAGCCATCAGAAGTGGCACCAGAGAAAAAGGGGGGCCGAACATGTATATGAAATCCTGAACCATCAATTTTATATTGAAAATAAACACTGAATACCTTGAATGATAAGTAATAGGAGTGGCAGCAGCTATAGCTGCTCTTTCTATGCGCCTTAATGTAGGAGTAGCTGCATCAGTAGCAGCTAATGTACTAGCACGCCCTGAATTAGTCACAATCTACAAATACAATTTCAACATAAGTATCAATACCAGCCTTCATAAAGCACAAATATTATATATGTCTATTTTAGTTTAAGCAAGACTATTTTATACTGAGCAACATAATTGACACCTGATTTTCTTGGTTTTCAGAAAGAAACTTCATTATATTTCAAACCAGCCTTTCAAAGCAACAAACTTCATAAAGCACACATATTATATCTGTGCATCTTAGTTTAAGCAAGACTATTGAATACCAAACAACATAATTGACACTTGATTTTAAACAACATAATCTCAATAAAATCGATGCAACATGAAAAACAGTGATGCAAACAACGCTTAGCTCCAGAACAAGTTTACTCAAACCAACACACGATATGCTGAAACATAAAATTCAGCTTCGCCAGTAAGTGGAGATGCTCACCCCAATTAGCTCAATTGCAGCCTGGGAAAGTTCAGCTTGCCACCTACCCTGCTCTGTTCCAAGTGTCTGGCTGCCTGAATCCCGAATCAGTTCTGACAGCTTTTTCCCAACCTAGAACACACAAAATCAGGATATTAAATTTCAACAATATTTGACAATAATTTTGTCATTTGTTTCTAAAGCCATCATCAGAACAGAATTCAAACTTATATTGTAAAAAGTTGGAGCAGAGTTATCTCAATTTCCAAGCTTGATACTGACTAGTTCAATCCAATTTAACCAGGAAATCATGGATAGAGTACAGTTTGGGGAAGACTAATTTCAATGAAAGTCAGTTATAGTTGTTCACCTGAAGCTTTGTCAATATGTGTGCAATAGTATCATCTCTGGCCAATCCAAGCAGGACTCGACATGCTAGAGCACGAAGACAGTCCAGAGCAGCAGGAGATGAATATATGCGCGGTTGGAGGAGATGCAGAAGAACCTTTATACCATTATTAGAGCGGACAGCCTCTCTTGCTTGACGATATCCTTGTTCCAGTTGTGCTGCGAGTCCAGCACAACCAGCTCCTGCACCCAGGGATATTCTTCGGTCGCCAACCAATCCTGAAGTTGCAGCGGGAACAGGAGTTTGCAGATTGCTATTAACAGATTGTGTACTAAGTACTGCAGCACTGCCTCGATCTACAGCACTGGACTCCCCATTCCTCTCCCTAGGATCAATCTGGCTGGTAATGTGAGCAGCTCGATCTGAGATATTACGTTCGGCAGTTCTATCTTTAGTCTCTGAGGGAGGACCATTTAAGGTTTGGGAAGAAGCAAACTGCTGACCTTGTGTAACTACAGGTGGTTTATTGCTGATTGAAGGAGGAGGGCAGACAAGGTTGACTAAAACATTTAATGCCGGCTGAATTATCTGAAATGCAGAAGTGTATGCTTACAAAAATAAGATACCATAAATTGGGATAATCAGCATGTCAAAAGTCTAAAGGACTTCGTTTTACCACCTGCAGAAATTAGGACAGTAAACACTACAATTGCTACCACAAGACACTTACCTCAGGGTCCACATGATTACTAGCAATATTTGCTGCATCCAGAATTACCGCTATACCAACACGATTATTGCTTAATGTTGCATTTACAATCATCTTACGACTGCTAGGTACCAATGTAACAATGTGGAGAACACCCAATGCATACTGAAGCAGATCATGCAGATATCGCTCCACGGGTGGGGCCTACAAACAACCAAATGAACAATAAATAAATAAATTGCAAGATATAGGGAGTGCACAAACTAAACATGCCATACCTGACACAACTCCAACATAATAATATGCCCATTAGATGACAAGAACTTCTCAACTGGTGGCCAACGTGCTCTCACAAATGCAGGACCTAGCTTCCGATCTTTTTGTAATTGTAGGAATACTGCATCCATTGCCTCATTACTAATATCCAGCGGCTTGTACACAGCCCTTACACTTGGAATATTTCTAGCAGCACTACGATTGCTTTTGTTTGGACGAATGGAATCCATTAATAAAAGGAGATGTGCTCTGAAATATTGCCGCAAAGCAACACAAGTGTGGTAGGCTATCTGCTTCTCAGATGATGTCAGCACTTCTGCTGATGATCTATCATTTCGAAGTGATGCTGAGTTAGATAAACCCAAGGCACCAGAATTTACTCCAGACCTTACCGAAGCAGCATCATTTAGAAGGCCCAGCAATTTCTGTAATCCATCCTGGGAATCAAAAGCATCAAGAACTGCTCGAAAAACAAATGCAGCAGCAAAAAACAATGCTGCATTCTTCCGGGCTTGGTCTTGGTTGCACTCAAGGAGTTGGAGAGCCAGCTCAACCACATGATAAACAACATCTGACGGAAGAGCACAAACCCGTTCCATTATCCCCTGAGATAATCATCTAGAGTCATGAAACTGTAATAGCCTTATAGAAAGATTAATAACAAGTAAGGAATTTATAGAGGTTTGGAATATTAACATTATTAGGCATGTCACTTCACAATTATGACTATTAAAAAACATGAATACCTGAAGAGAACCAATAGTAAATAGACAAGAAGAAAGGCCAAAGAAAGTTTGAGCCATTCTAGGGACAGCGAGCAGCTTTTGCATTCCTCCACGGTCCACAAATAAAGCAGCGAATTTCCTATGTGCCGCCAAAGCACAAATTAGCTTCATGACATCAGGCAACAGCAAAGCAACCTCGGATGCCTCCCGATGTTTAGAATTCTGCTGCAGAAGTGAAAGACACACATCTACCCCCTTCTCATGCAACACAGGGCCAAGAACTTCTACATATTCTCCAAGTAACTCAAGACACTGAATGCAATATTTTTCCCTCAACCGTGCAAGTGATTGAATGTCTGGAATGTAGTAATATTCAACACCCTCACCAGATTCTGTTTCGCTGCCACTCACATTCTCTGCCTCAGTATTGATGCAGGCAGAGTTCCTGCCACCAACCCAAGAATAACATTATTAGCAAGGCTAAAAGAACTATTGTGTCAATTGTTTGTCTAGCACTCAGATGATGCTTGTAAATATATATTCTGACATACCTTGAAACTTCAACTGCAGATGCAGCATCAATAACAGTTGATGCAGCTCTTGAAGCAGCCAAAACAGCTGCTGCTTCATCATTGGTGGATTCATATTCCTGAATATATATGCAAAATAAACTATTTTACCATTTAATTACTGAGATTAAATTATAAACTACATACACACATACGCACAATATATAACTTTTGGTTTTGGAAAAAGAAATGAATCCTAGCATACCTCCGAAGCTGCAGTTTTAACAAGGTCAGCAGCAGCATCGCCAGCTGCTTTGACAGCTTCTTCAGGTGCATTGGCTGATCTAGCTTCTGCTTCAGCAGCTCGGACTGCTTTCCAGACAAGATCAGAAATATCTTTACTTCCAATACGGCACTCTTGGAAACAATCATCATTATCCTCTCTTTCGAAAGCATAAGCCTCAGAAGTGGTCCTGGCAAGAGTCTTCTTAGAATCAGGCACCCTCCTAACATCAGCATTTCTTAATATGCTCCTATCTCTGACACTCCGCCCTTGTCCTAATCGACTACCAGAACCTGGAGATGACAAAATGGGTTCACTTTCTACATTCCCTTCATTGACCCTTCCTTTCCCTCTGGATCTTCCCCATCCACGGTTCGAACGCCGCCTTGGAGAGTCACCTCTAGCATTGTCGTCATGCTCACCATATTTTATCCTTCCATCACGAATATCTCTAGAGCGCCATCTATCCTCCCCGTCAGAATCTACATCACAGATATCAACACCTTCACCTAGCCCATCAGGTGGTTCACCATCTATCCAAGAATCTTCTTGGCAAGTTTGTCCAGTAATGCTTCTATCTGGACCCCAGTTAAGAGTTAGGTCATCTAAGGACCTCTCATCAATCATCCTTGTATCATCTAAATGACTTGATTCAAGGAGCTGGCGAAATCTGCCACGACCATCATCTCTACCCCTCACTGAAGCATTCCCAGATGCATGCCTACTCTCTGTTAAATGAATAATATCTTTCTGGTTGCTACTTGTCTCTCCCAGCACACGCAAACGAAGATAACGCATAAGCTTAGCTGACAAGCCTGATGTCAATACATCTTCCACTAGTTTACCTCCGCTGAGATCATTCCAATTGAAAAAGAAAATAGACAAAATAAGAGCAAAACAAATAATGATAACTGATAAGCAACATAATGAGCAGCATCAACAAGAAGCAAACATTAAACCGGTAAACTAAGCTAAACTTCTGATCAAGAATGTAAAAAAAAAGAAGCCTATGAATTGAGCAGCATAGCATACCCGACCAAACACACGGCAAGGAGTCCAGTAGAATAGGTTTTCAACATCTCGGAATCTGTGGCCTCTCTTGTGCCTGGAGTATGCTTCAGATTTTGCTCTTCAGCAGACATTTTCGCGTTATCATCCATCGCCCAATCTTTGAAGTTTTCCATGACGGATTCTTCAAAAACATGAGGATACTGTCCATTTACAAAGCATGGATGGTGAAAATATAATCAACAACACCTTTATCTTATAAACCTAAATGAAAAGCACAAAGAGATTGAATTGAAGAAAAAAAAGGTAGAAATTGAAAAAAAGAAGAAGCAATAAACAATTAAAAAGAAAAATAAAATAACGTGAAAATAAAGATAAATAAGAGAGAAAAATACATAAGAGGAAAAAGAAAAGAAAAAAAGAAAGTAAAAATAAATAAGAGAATAGAAATAAAGAGGGGGAAAAGGACAGATAAAGAAAGAAAGAAAGGGAGATATAGGGGAAAAGGACTAAAAAACAATCATCTTGTACATGAGAAAAACAACCCTCCAAGAAGCTCGTAGCTTTCCTCCAATTCAGTCTAAGATAAACCGTCTGCCAATCTACATTTCACTCCATTAAATCTTGTTTTACTATCTTACCCCAAGACCCAAGTAAGTTTCGGCTGACCTCTTACTCTCTTGGTCTCAAACTCTTGGTAACAAATTTTTGTTCTTACGGAAGCATCTAGGAGTCTTCACATTATGCGCTCAAACCACTTATTTATGTTCTCCCATCTTTTTAACCACGGATACTACTCCGAACTTTCATCGAATATCTTCATTTCTTATATTATTCATCATTGTATAACCATAAATCCACCTTAACATCCTCATTTTTGCTACTCTCATTTTATGCTCGTGTTCCTTATATGCTGGCCAACATTCGGCTCCACATAACATAGGCCTTACTACAATTCTATAGAACTTTCCTTTTAGCCTCAACATAATCTTGCAATCACACAAAAACACTAATGCACTATATCATTTCATCCACCCTGCTCTAATTCTATGATTTACATCCTCATCAATCTCTCTACCCTTTTTTTGCAAAGTATAATAACAATTATAATAACAAAGTAAGCTGGGATAAGTGGAAAGGAAATCTTACAATCCAAGTCAGGGAACAGCATAGGAGAAGTCTGCAAGCAGCAGCTTGAACAGAAGTAGAGTATCTAGTTTCCGACAGAAACTTTGAAGATATTAACTCAAAGAACTCATCGTTTTCCTGTAGCGAATGGAAGAGCCAAATAACCATCTCAATAATTTAATTTGAGAAATTAGCTTAAAGAAAAGCTCAACACCATAATAATAATAATAGTAGTAGTAGCAGTAGTAATAATAATAATAATAATAATGACATGAAAATACCCGGATTACACCCCCAAGACGGCCAATGTTATGGGCAGCACGGGCATTACTGGAGGAATAATGACCATTTTCTTCCATATATCTATATTGCAAAAATAAATCATTAACGGAAACAATAATGAAATAGGATCAATATTAAATTAAAAAAGAAAAAAAAAATCTAGTACGTTCAGTATTCAGAGTTGAAACCGAAAACAGGGCATGTAGATGATATAAACAATAAAATTAAAATTCATACACACAATTGAATTCACAGATACAAACATATATCAACACCTAAGAAATTATTCCAAAATAAATTAAAAAAAGAAAAGAAAAAGAAAGAGCGTCTATAACCGTTAGAAAGAGAGAAACCGCAGGAATTTCACTGGAGTGGCGAAATAAAGAGAACATTACCGTAACTCTTGGGTTTCGAGAAGAGAGGCAAGGGCATGGAGGACGGTGGGTTTAGGGTTATCAGGGGCCGAAGTAATATATCCCATGAGCTTGTTAACATTTTCAATCAACACTTCTTCTTCGTTCTTAGGAGCCTCCGCTTCATCGCGTCGCGGTGGAGCTTGGCTTTGATTCCCTTGATCCTCCATGTATTATCTCAGCGACACAAAGACACAACAATCGTATAATATAATATATGAGATGTATTTTGATTAATTTGAATATCTATATATATATATTTACTACAGATTACAGATATGAGATATGAGCGTATGAAGTTGCACAGGTGAGAGTGAAAGAGATGCAAGCACAAATTAACAAAAAAAGAAAGAAAGAAAAAGAACGCGAGAAAGGGCACAACAACACCAACACCAACACCAACGCGAGAATGGATCGGAAGCTTCCGGAGATACCCGACCCGTTTTCTTAACCGTGATCCCACAAGGGCCCAACAGTAGCTGACCCAAAATTACAAAAATACAAAAAAAAAAAGCGCAATAATACACGTTTTTGAATGCTCTTATATTTATATTATAAGTTTTAATTTTCTCACACATTTTGTATGGGGTCTATATTTACTAAAAAAACAAAAAAAAAAAAAAAAATATTGAATAAAAATCTAAAGGTCACTGTTAAGAGAAAATAAATCTCTTACAAGTCTACAATATGAAAAAATATTTTCCGATATATTATTTTGAAGCGACTTTTTTTATTATTTTTTTGGAAGCATTTTTGAAGCGATTTTAAAAACATTAAAAGGCATGGACAGATTAATTTAAAGAATAATTAATTGGGTTTGATCTTTATGAGGTATTTACATTTTTTCTCTCTCTTTATAACGCAACCCACTCATTTTTAAGTGAGCGTGACAAAATAAATTTTTCTTCAACAAAAACAAAAATATTTTTTCTTAATTTATTTCAGCAAAAATATTTTATAGATTAATTTAGTAAAATTCCTATTAATAGTATAATAATAATAAGTTTAATATTTCTTATATTGTAGGAGATAAATTTATTTCTTACACACATTTTGAGACCATGTGAAGAGAAGAACAAGAAAAATAAATATAAACCCCACATATTTTTATGTATATGTAGAAGATAAATTTATCTTTTTTTTTTACAAAAAAATAAAATAAAATTATCTTTTCTATAACATGAGAACATTAAACCCAATAATAATCATTACTCTAGTGTACTAATCTAACTTTGATACACTTACTACATCGTTAAAAAAAGTTGATGACAATAACTAACTACAAACTTCTTGATCTTAAACTTGCTTTTGAAGTACAAAGTTTACATCATCCAAAAATAAATTAAAAAGCAAGCAAATAAAAATGAAAGATTACATACAGAACAGTAAAAAAACAAAAACCCAAAGCACTGTTCTTAGAGACCCAATTCTCCCATTTAGCACTGCAGAATCTGTTTGGATCATGATTTTGAATTTGCAATCTCCACTGGAAGGGTCTCTGTCAGTGATCATGGAGAGGCCAGGGAATTTGCAAGCACTATCCATCTGGTCATTTATCTGGTAGTAGCTATTAAATGCATAAGATATATTCCCATGAACATCTAAATTGCCACATGAAGTCCCATACCCAAGACTAGTGCAATCAGCATTTTGACAAGCATAGGCCACACTTGGTGCTAATTGGTCATCATTAAGGTTTGCTGAGGGTTTCAAAACACACCACTTTTTGGCCAAATGATCAACACCACTAGCTGCTACCAAGCCATTGCCTCGGGTTGAACCAAGGTTAAGTTGGTATTTGGGTTGACCATCAAAGTAAAACAAACCCCAATGACGTTCAAAGTTCCCTGGCTGAATGCTTTTATTATCTTCGTCTATGAAGCTAAACAAGTAAGCATCTATAGGACCAGGCCTCATTGGAGTACCCTTTCCAGCAACATAGCGAGACATAAAACCTTGGTTAAAACGTTGTGCATATTGAAGATTTGCATTTCTGTCTCCATCTGTAGGCCACCCAATTTCTCCCACAATTATAGGCAAGTTTCCAAAACCATTCTTCTGCAGTGCCCATAGTAGAGTATCGTGGTTAGCATCAAAGACATTGTCATAGGCCTTTCCGTTGTCGTTTATAGCAGGCTGATAGCCATTAAAAAAAGCATAGTCAACAGGAAAATTGGGATCTGCATAGAGGCTGATAAAAGGATAGATGTTCACAGTGAATGGAGCTCCATTGTCGTTTAAGAACTTGACAATCTGTAGCATGAGATTATTGATGTCTGGCCTGAAATTACCATCTGATGGCTTCTCTGATGAGCTTTGATATACATCTGCATTTAAAGGGACAGTAACTTTAACCCGATTGCTCAAACCGGATTTTGTCAGAGCTGCTTGGATATTTTGAAGAGCTGGAAGAGTAGTGGCTTCAAAGGTACCATTGTATGTTGACAAGAATGGTTCATTCCCCACTGCTACGTACCTTGCAAAATCCATAAATAATGTGTTAGAGAAATATAAAAACCATTAAAAAGTCACTCATTTAAGAGTTAAGTTTTTGGGTTAAATTGAATATTATGAAGTTTCTTAGCACAGATATGAGTTTTCAAGCCCAATAAATTCTTGTGTGAGAGAGCGTATTTGAGAAATATAAAACAGCTTAATACAAATGAACAAGAATTTAGCTATCAGAATCCCACCCATGTGTGGCTATACTCAATTCAGTGCAGGTGATCAACAGCAGTTTACACAAATAACGATTAAGTCTCGTGCCACTATGTGGGACCTGCTACATGGATCAATTGACACCATTGAACTCTACTAAAGTGACCACAACTGCATTAATAAACTTAGTTTTTAGAAGAAAGAAAGGCTTCGGCACTAGCATACACAATTTTGATCATCTAGAAGGGAAACCACTTATTCTTACGACAAAAGAGTTGTGACTACTGCAGAGAATCATATGTTACCAAACAAGTAGTAGTTGAACACCCACTCTAAATCTTTAAATTGCATGATCTATTTACAGAAAAATTGTTTGGTAAATGATGAAGAAACAAGCGTAAGCTCAACATTTTGCAGAGATTGACTCTAGCATGTCATCAGCAAGCCAGACAACAAAAAACAAGCATGATAAAGTCAGTAAAAACAAATTTTCCTTCAATTAAGGATGAAACAGTAACCACATTAAAGAAAAATAATCATACATGTGCTTTGGCATTGAGTGATGAGAATACAAGGAAAGGAAATTTGAGAGCTATAAGGATATCATTTCTTTTATTGGCAAGCTTGATAGATGCACCAAACATAACTTTCCGAATCCAAAGTATTGGATGAAAGAAGAGAAGCATAACTTTCAATGTTGGGGTAACATCAATTGCATAAGAGAACAACAAGGATTGCATAGAATAACAAAATATAATATAATTGGCGTTTCATCTTTTGGAAGCTTTATGGCCTGATCATTTTGTCAGCTAAGAGTGCACATTTTTCTGATATATGAATTTAGAATCACTTAATCACTTAAGGAGATGGGGCAATTAAAAAAAACCACAAACAAGGGACATAATTTCATTTTGAGTACATTATCTATGACTGGAGCTTTCCCAGATCAACATATATGAGAATCAAGAGATATTAGGTAGTGGATGATAGGACATTCAAACAATCTTCTAAAAGAATGAGTAAAAAGAAGGCAGATTCATTGGACCATGACAGGTCACAAGGAGAACCCCTAAAACTAATACATTTCATTGCATATTCAACTACAAATACATCTAGGAAAGACACATAAATTCCATTCATTGTAGGTCTCTTCCGTTGTGGTTGCGATTTATTCTTCTAACATTGTACAGTACCACAACTGATAAAAAGCATTGTATCAGATAACAGAGTCCTTTAATGTCCAGGAGAAATATCTAAACCAAAAGAATTATGTAACAAACAATTAAGATCAGCCAAACATTGCTTAGCAAAGAGAAACCAGGTATTTTCATAGCATAAGAAACAAGCAGTGATAGTATTAAATGTAATTACTTCAGGCAGAGTATACAAATATATCGAATTCCACATCCTATATATCAATGTTTTGTTCTTCCCTTTAGCTAATTTAAAGTAGATAAAGAGCCAATGATCATATGTGGAGTTGTGGGCTTGTATAACAATTAGGCATGTATATCTTCCATGATAATAGATGAACACTGCAATTGTTAAGGCACAAAAACTTAGGGATACCAAGAATACACCAAAGAAGAAGAAAAGAACTAATGTTTAAGTTAGAGAATCACGCAACGGCAGAAGCACCAGAACATCATGCAGTAGTGGCAACATAATGCAAGCTGAGTAAGATATCATGGCCATTTTCATTGTACCAGAACTTCGTAAACAGTATATTCTTTTTTTGGACTTCAACAACCCAAGCTATCTGGAATTTCCAAGTTTGCATCTCTTCTAATTAGGAATAATGTACAAATTTAATAGACAATCAGAAATTTGGATTTTCATTACACAATTAAAATAAGTACCATCAAGCCTAATATTACTTAGCATTCTCAACTACACCGTAATTCCTAGTTGGTAGAGTTGGTTACTAGAATGCTTTTCATTCATATCTCTAAAGAAACTTCATCCGTTAAGCAACAAGGTCAGTGATAAACACAAATCCTGGTGCACAAAGCTCCAAACTTGCGAGGATAAAGGTGATGATGATTGTAAGTAGTCTTACTCTTGTATTTTTGCAAAGAGACTATTTTACAGACTCAAACATGTGATGAGGTCACAAAGAGCAACCTTTAGCGCCGCATACAGTAATTACAAGGAGCTGCAATCTAAACAGTACCCAAAGCTATGAGTCTATGACCCTGCATAAACCAACGGTTGGTTGAATCTCTCTACATAGAAAAAAAGGGTGTACCTGATGTCTACTCCACCAGAAGAGACATGAGCTGAAACATTCTTGGAAACCCATTTTTCAGCTGCTTGCACACTGTTAGCCAGCGTATAAAGCATGTCATTCGGAATACCCACCATAACCTGCAAACCAGACTTCTTGAGAGCATCTAAGATACTTGAATCAGCGTCAAAAAGCTTAACCTTCTGAATCCCATTGTCTTTCAGCATTTTCACCACTGTAGACGGTGACAAAGGGTGTGTACACTGTGTACCCCAGTTAACACCAATTCCACTCACTGAACACACTAACAGCAAGTTAAAGAACAAGAGAACAACCCAACTACTTAACTTTTCACCTCCCATTATAAAACGCCGAACCAAAACACACAAAAAAAGCCACAATGCTAAATCTGAAGCTCAAAGCTGCTTTTTCATTTCTTCAAGTTTTTTTTTTTATCTATTCTGCAAATAGCCCTCGAAACCAAAAAACAAGAAGCTGAAGAAAAATATAGATAGATAGGTTTATGTACAGACCAGATCCCTTTGGATAGCTGAACTTGTTGAATCTGCTTTTTAGTTAAGCTTCTTTCTGAGTGAAAACAACAGAGAAACGAAGACACTGTAGGAATGAGTGAGGGAATGAAAAAGAAGTCGTGTGGGGGAGAATCTTTTTCTTTTTTTCTTTTGTGGGGATGGGGTGAACTTAACTAGATTAGTAAGTAGCTAGCATACACAGCAGAGTGGAACCAAACTGTTTCCAAAAAATCTCGATAATCACATGGTTACGTTACATATAAATAATAAATGAGTTTTATATTTTTATTCTCATGAAACAAAAATTCACATTACCGACAAAGGATGTAACCAGTGCTTGTTGTCGTGTCGACGGTCCCAGAGATGTACCTTCCTTCATTCCCTAGCCTTGTGAGTTGTGTGACGTGATCATGCCATTTGCTAGATAACATTTGCACTAACCCCTGACGAATATACGAGTTCAAACTCCCCTGACGAATATATTCATGTCACGTGACAAGAATATATTATTTTACATACACAATAAATATGTGTGTCTTACTGAAAAGAGAAATATTTTTCGTTTTATTTATTTATTTATTAAATTATATTTTTGCAATAAAAGATAAAACTTAGAGCATGGAGTATAGTAACAGAGAATAAGAGAAGAGTCTTGAAGATAGAAAGCTAGATAGTTTCCAGAAGGTAGTTAAGTCTAGGTGACCCGTCACCTTAACCTTAATGTTAAGGCAGTTGTTTGCTCTTTATTGCCTAACTCTGATTGTCCTAATTCTATTCATAAAAAATAAAATGAAGAATATTTTTTATATCGTAGGAAAATTATTTTCTATTATTAGTGGCACTTCGATTCTCATATAATATTTTTTTATTTTTTGTTTTTATAATATATATGTTTTTATATTTTTTGTTTTTATAATATATATGAACCCACATAAGATATATTTATAATGTGAATAAAAATTCTTCTACTACCTAGAAAGCATCGACACATGATTTTTTTAAAAAATTGTGTGTCGGTGTCCGATATGTTTAATACGCGGTCATTATTTTGGGACACACGATCAACGTTTCAACACGCATCTGATGTATTTTTATTTTTTTAAGTCTAAATTTTATTTTATTAACTAAAAATGAAAAATTAATTTATAAGTCATTTTTTTTTTGTTATGGAATTTGATATAAAAAATTAACAATATATCAAAAATTACTTCTACTTTATATTTATGTTATGAAAATTGAATATTTGATTGTTTATACGACTTATTATGGACTGTTATATGTATTAAATATAGATTATATAATATGTCATTTTTTAGAAATAATGTGTGAGCATAACGTGTTATATCTAATGTCCCATAATGTAACATAGTCTACTACACTAGAAAATTGAAACCCAAAATAGAAATATAAAACAAAATGTCTGTGTTGTTGTTCTAATCCAAACATGATGATAGGGTGGGGTTTTAGCTTTTCACTTTCCAGCAAAACCAGTGATGGATGACTCAGAGTGCTATAAATGTTGCCTTTATTACCTTCCGTCTTGAGCCTTTTTTAGGTGCACCTAGCGGTCAAAATTGCACTAATGTTTTCTTCTTCTTTTTTTATAAATCATAACTTTTGATATTTTTGTGCATAGTCGGTTATGTTATTTATGTTTTGACCCACGTATATTCGAGTAATTGTAAAATAAGGGAAATTATATTTATTATTTTTTTTTTTACTATTTTTTATTATTAAATTTTAATCATTGATTTCCGTTAATCTAACGGTTATGATTTATTGAATAATACTTATTAGTTAATTAATTTTTATTAGTTAATTAATTTTTATTAAATTATAACCGTTAGATTGACAAAAATCAACTGTTAAAATTTAATAATAAGAGATAATAAAAAATTAATAATAAGTATAACATTTACCGTAAAACAAATCATATAAGTTCTCCAAAATTTGTTTTCCTATTCTTTTTTCTAAAACGATTCGTCAATAAATGATCATGTACAAAATGCTGTCCAAAATGATTTAGTTGATTAAATTTGATCGAGCCAATTAAAGTTAATCAAAATTAATGTAACTGATTTACTTTAATTGAGATGTAGTTCATAAAATTCCGTATTGTTAATCCTTTTTATTTTTTCTACTTTTAAGTTAGGCTTGGATCGACTAACTCTTGGTAGCGTAGCCACGTTCACGTCAACAGATTCACTTGCAAAAAAATTATTTATTATATATAATTATATAATTATTATAATTAATCAAGGTTAAAATTATAATTTGGCATCACCTGAAAATCAAATACTCAATACAAAGTGACAACAGACTATCTAAATGCAAACAAATAATCAACTTATTATGTTATCGGAGGAAAGTGAAATTCTTATGTTTGAAATGATTATCGAAAATATTAGTATTTTTTTATATATTTGCTTTGATATATAATTATTGACAATTGTTCATTTTAATTTTTAATATTACGTGATATTATTTAATACATAATTTAGATAATTATGCTAGAATTCATAATAAAAAATTTTCTAATAAATTTGTGTAATTACCGTAGATATTTTAATAATTTAATTTGGCACTATCTAAATTTTTGAGCTAGGTCCTCCACTCCTAACTCTCTAAATAACTATGCAAAAGAAATTTCAAAATGTAAGCGAGAATGAGACACAATGATGAATTGGGTTCAATGACTTGGAAACAAAATTACTATCCTTCCGTGCAAATTAACAATTAAAGCCAGAAGACAGATTTATAGTTTGTGAAACCAATGCAATTGTGGTAGAGAGGAAGAAAATAATTATGCGTTTAGATTAATTTATTAAAAAATAATTTTTTATATTTTTCAAGGGGAATCTATAATATTTATTTTAAAAAAAAATAAGCTGTATATGAGATAAATACTAGTGATGTATTTATATTTTCAGTTCACATATATTTTTATATAATGCATCATAAATTATAATGTTTTCTTAAAATTTTCTTAATATATTTTTGTTACATACTTCTTTCCTTAGTGATTTGAGAGGGAAAATTTTTAATAATTGCGATTAAAAAGAAATTGTCAAATCAATGTTATTTTTAAATATTATACTTAACTAATGCAATCAATTACACTGTACATGGTGTGCAAATTGTCACATACCAAACAATATCATTTGATCAAAAGAAAAATTACAAATTCGCTTTCAACAAAATATAACAATTAATCCAGACATTTGTACAGTATGCATTTAACCAAACAACAACACAATCATCCACAGTCTTGAGAAAATCGGCCCAGCCCGGCCACTCGGACCAGTTGACCCAGAAATCGGTCATGAACTGCAGTTCAACCGGTATTAACCGTCGAACCGGTTTTATTACTCAAACCTGTTTTGAACAAAATAATTTCAAAGTTGCAGCCGCTGAGATTCAAATTTGAGTCTTATCAGTATGCCCAACAACAATTTATCACTAGTAGGGGTGTTAACGAGCCAAACTTTGGTCTTAAAAGGCTAAGCTTGTGTTTAAATATGTCAGTCTGACTAGGCCTGTTACCTGTTATGAATATAATTTCAGCCTGTGGCTTGTCTTATTCACAAAAAATAAAAGTCTGGTTTAGCCTGTTTAAAACAAAATAAGGCAACAAAAATTTATCCAAAAAAAATATACAGTTAACAACATTAGTAATTTGTTACAAAAAAAAAACATTAGTAATTCCATAAGTATTCATAAATTTAACGTATATCCAAACAACATAATATAAAACAAAATTATTCAAAAAGTCTGTTTAATTAATAAAATGGGATGAAATGGATTGAGGAGAGAGAGAGGGCTATCACAAGTAGTATAAAAAATATATAATTAAAATTAATATATTAGGCCAGCCTGATAGGCTCTAAGGCCGAGCTTTTGAATTGGAGCCTAAGGCTGTTTTATTAAACGAGCTTTTATACAAGTCCTAGTCTGGTTCCAACAATCAATTTTAGACATAAAAGCTCAGGCCTTCACGAGCCGAGCCAAAAGCCCCTATAAGGCCCCTGACTCGTTTAGCACCCCTAATCACTAGGTTGAGTTTGTTTGTTGGATAATATGCATCATTTAATATATATATATATATATATATATATATATATATATATATCATATCATATCATATCATTTAATAGAATTATTTAAAAATTGCATCTAGTGGGAATCGAACCCTTGTTGTGAAGATATAAATTTCAGTATTTACGACTAAGCTACATTTGGTTCTTGGTTCACTTTCACCATTTAAAATATTTATTATATAATTAAGTATAAAATATAAATTTATATACATATTCAGTTCATGCGGTTAAACCAGTGACCCACTGATCCGGTATCCCGACATCTGGATTTAATAACATTAATTATCCACGAGTCATTGGCTAACCTTGATAAAATTATCAAAATACACGTAATGCTTTAAACTACATCACATCGGTAGACAGTACAAACATGAAATAAAATGTATCACTTGTTGCTATGCAGACTTCATAATACATCAATACATAATTAAAAAGGAATCTTTATTCCCAAATTAAATATAGGGTTTGCATTCTATCATTTAACATGACCACAAAATTTTGTCTACACACACAATATTTTGAAAAAAAAAAAAAACTACAGCACGCAAAACGAATCTCTATAACATAACAGAATTACTTTTCCTACAAGATAACTGTTAAGAGTGTTAGTGTTAATAGTGTAGAAGTCCCACATTGCGTGTGTCTCTTTGTGTTCTTCAATTCGTTTGCTATATAATAGCACCAATGTTGTGTAGTTTAATAAAACAAGGATTACTATCATTTCCTCTTGTATCTATGATATTCAACATAGTATCAGAGCCCAACAAAAGGAATCTTAATCCGTTTAACTTAGTTCTATTTTCCATAATTTCAATATGGCTATAGAGAGATATCACCCTCCTTGGGGGATTCCCGTTGTTATTTCTTTTTCGGGTTTTTCTTAGTATGCTCTGTGACTGCAGCTTAGACTGATTTGTCACATCAGAAAAGAATGATCCTTGGGAAGTTGTTGGGTTGACCACCGTTGTCGTTGACCGCGTCGTCCGCCGTTGACAGCCGTCCCCAGCGACTTTTTCAGCGATCCACTACCATCTCCGACGACTTTTTCAACGACCCACCGCCGTCTCCGGCGACTTTTTCGATTCCGCGAAGATTTTGTTTTTCTTTAATCTTCTTTCTTCTCAAGATGGAGTATTTATATTATTCATCATCCATCTTAAGGGGGAGCACTGTCCATGTTGCTGATGGTCATTCCAGCACAATTGTCTTTGCCGATGATAATTTCGGCACTGTTTAGAAGTTCCTCTTGAGGGGGAGCACTGTCCATGTTGCTGATGGTCATTCCAACACAATTGTCTTTGCCGATGATAATTCCGACACTGTTTAGAAGTTTCTCTTGAGGGGGAGCACTGTCCATGTTGCTGATGGTCATTCCAGCACAAATTGTCTTTGCCGATGATAATTCCGGCACTGTTTATAAGTTCCTCTTGAGGGGGAGCGTTGTCCATGTTGCTGATGGTCATTCCAGCACAACTGTCTTTGCCGATGATAATTCCGGCACTGTTTAGAAGTTCCTCTTGAGGGGGAGCACCGTCCATGTTGCTGATGGTCATTCCAGCACAATTGTCTTTGCCGATGATCATTCCGGCATCTTCCATGTTGATGTTCATTTCGACGCCATTTTTAGCACATTGTTGATTTTTGGTTTCTCATTTAGGAGATTTATTTTGATGTTATGTTACTTGGTCTTTCTTGTAATAAGCTTGTAGCATAGTCAAGGGGAAACCACGGCTGCTCACAAACTGTTAAATGAAATGTCTGAGAAGGATCTTGATGCTGATGTCCTGGTCAGCTCAGTTGTCTTTGTCGATGATAATTCCGGCAGCATCCATGCTCTGATGTCCATTCCAGCACTGTCTCTTTATCAGCTCTTCACACTGATGGTCATTCCAGTTGATTTGTTGTACTTAGTCATTTCATTTCGTTGATGTAGCATTGTTGTTTTTGGTTCCTAATGGGAGTATTATTTATGTATCAAGCTTGTAGCATATGATCTATATGCTACAGCTTGAGGGGGAGTGTTAAGAGTGTTAGTGTTAATAGTGTAGAAGTCCCACATTGAGTGTGTCTCTTTGTATTCTTCAATTGGTTCACTATATAATAGCACCAATGTTGTGTAGTTTAATAAAACAAGGATTACTATCATTTCCTCTTGTATCTATAATATTCAACAATAACTTTTATAAAATCCTTAAACATAATATTCCTCTATTGGTTTTGACTCTTTTGAGATACCATCCTCCTTCTTTTTTCCGGTGTTCTTAACTGTTATCTATTCTATCTCTCTTTCTTTTTTAAAATTAGGGAGGGATTAGGAGAAGCGATTGCCCCTATCAAGTTCACAAAACTTCTTGTCTTAATTTACATTTAATTTTTTAAAAACAAGGTAAACATGAGATCGCCCCATTCTTCTTTATTGTATTTATCAGGTGTATATTTATATTTCAAGTGAGTTAATTGTTATTAAAAATTAAAATATATCCTTCAAGTTTTTGGCGATAATAACATAATTGGGCATTATTTGGATGTGTATGAGAGAGAGAGAGAGTTAAGAGATTAAAATAATAAAAAATAATGGAAGTTTCGAAATATACTTTAAACTTTAAAGGGTTTTGTAATTGTGTGGCTAAGGACATTGGTTAAAAAATATATTAATATGCATTAATTACTTAAAAAATATTTAATGTTTTAAAAAAAATTTAAAACATCAAATATTTATAATTTTTTTCATTATCTTTTTTTTCATTAACACTTGTCAAGCTACATATTAACAAAACGCTTAAAATATATTTTTTATGTTGTGCAAAGTTAATATTTTTTAAGGATGAGGTCTTCTGCAATTATTTAAAAATTTGTAGAGGGTCTTTCTGAATTCCAGTTGGTAAGATGTACCGTTTCGGGTAATAAAGCTTGTACTATTTTAAAATTATAATTTACCTACTTTTACTTTGAAATTTGTAATAAATTTTAATTATAAGAATTTATCCCTTTAAACTTTAAACATTAGTATTTTTTTGAAAAAAAACCATTATTATAAAGGGAAAAATATCTATCCTTTTAAATGATATAACCTTATATTATTTTAGATCTAAACCGTTGATTTTCGTCCATCAACAATTATAATCTATTAGGTCAAATTTAATGGGTCAAATTTAGATCTAATAAATTATAAATCATTGATGGACAAAAATTAACGGTTATGATCTAAAATAATATAAACTTATATCTTTAAAATGACAGATGTTATTTCCATAAAATTTTGTTGTACGTTTTATGGGCTATACTTCTATAAAGTACTTTTTATTTTTTTGAAAAATTCAAACGCCTGGCTTTGACAACGCAAAGAAAGTCTGATAAAAGTCATGGAATGTTAGATGTTTAAAATTTAAATAGTAATTTGCTAACATTAAAATGTGGGAAAAATATTTATTCTTTTAAAAGATATAAAATTATATCATTTTAACTTAGAGAAATATGCAAATTAATATTTTTTCATTTAAAATTTAACTACAAAAAATATTCATTTTCTCCCTCTATAACTTTTATTGCTTATGTCTTTCTATCCTTAAAATAATATAACTCTTTGTCCTTAAAATTTTGAAGGCACGATCTGTTAATGTTAAAGCACGTAATTGTGTCTATCAAAAAAAAAAAAAAAAAAAGCACGTAATTGTAATTTAAATTATTTGTTTAGTCTAAGCCATTGCAGTGGGATTGTGACCCGACTTATTACTCAATGACCAAACTACTTTATTCCTGAGGTTATATACAATGTTAATCAATCATTAAAATGAACTAATTGTTTATTTACATCTCATTAATTATAAAATTATCAATCATTAATTATTTCTTAAAAGTGAAATTATTTTTAATGTAAGGAATAAAATGTACAATTATGTTTAAATCTTATTAGATTAATATAATGATACACTTAAATTAAATGAAATATATATATATTTTATTTAATTACTTAAAAAAAATTATTCCTACAATATAAAAAAACATTTATAGAAAACAAATTTGAATCCACATTGTAACGACATGCACGTTGGGCATATTTTTTTTTATACCGAACTTAATCATCTTTTTTAGGCAAGTTTGTCCTCGAGTATCTCACAAGTAGGGGTGAAAGTGGACTGAGCCGGCCTACAGGGGTCTACGGCTTAATCTATATCAGACCAAACTTAGCTTATTACACATAGTCAAATAGAACAGGCCCGGACTCTTAAAGAAGTCTATTTAGAAAATAGGTGATAAGCTTCTTTTTTTACATACCGGACCTATAAGCCTACATACCGACCCATATCATATTATTTATTTTAAATAAAATAAAATAATATTATTCATAATAATACCAAATGGTGATAGTTCACTTGGTGCATGTGAACTAAGTAGGTAACAGAATGACCTAGGTTCGATCCCTAACCAATACTATATTTGGGAGTGATATAAGATTTGTACTAATCTCTACAGTACCATCATAATCAACATTTAATGCTGGATGAAGAGTCATTGATGTCTATCGTTCTAGCTTGGATGAAGATACATCCAAGCTTCAATATACGGTTGAGATTAGCTACCTAACAAGTATGGCTTGAAGAAAAAAAAAAAGATATAAAAAAGTTTTTATTTTTAATCTTAACAAGTTAATGAGTCAGACCAAACCATTTATTTATTTTTTATAAATGAGACAAATCAGGCTAACAATTAGACTCGTAATATATTATCGGGTCAGGCCAAATTGAATTTTTTTGGCATAGGCTTCGGTTTTTTTGGATAAAACTCGGCCCAGCCTAATCCACTTTTATCCCTACTCACAAACTTTAACTTTTTGAGTCGACTATAAAACTAATTCCACGCAGGGTAAATTTTAGGAAAAACATATTGTCACTCTGCCCACATTGTCACACATATTATTTTTAAAAACTTTCTTAAGATATTTGGGCACTTTTTAAATATATTTTCTATCATTGAGTGAAATCTCATATTATCTTCAATAAATCACTTGAACTCATTTTTTTAGTAGAGTTAATATATATGAAACTAAATAATAAATTAATGTGTTAAGATATGATTAAGTTACATTGCATTTTACGATATGGTTAAGTTACATTTCAATTCCAAGTCTAGCTCAGTTGACAACTGAGCTCTTAAGAGTTTGTTAGTGTCAGTGTTCAAACCTTGCCTCATGTCGGTCTGACCGGAGGAGGTTGAAAAAATTACACACTTTTTTTTATATTTAAATTCATTTCAGTGACAATTTATTATGGACTTAAGAATTTAAAAGATGAAATGAAAATTTTAGATGGAATTTTAAATTTGAGTGGTTTATCCTTCAAATTTCAACATATGTAGACTTTTGATATTGAGTAGAATTTACTCAATTTAGACATTGATTAGATTCCGGCGTTGCCAACGGAGATTGTAGTACACTTTTGTTATTGATTAGACTTTTGGGATGTTGACTAATTTTCAGTTGTCGCTGCCGGCCAAACAAGGTATAACTTAATGGGGTTTCTCGCTCCTCCTATATCACAATCCATTTTCTTGAATCAAATTCAGTAATCTTTTTCTCTTCTTTCTCTACACTCATCTCATCACATCAGGCACGTAATTTTATTTTTCTTTTGCTCTTTGTATTCAGTTTGGTTTTCCACTTAATTGTTTTGGTTCCTTTCTTCTCTTGCAGGGCACTATGGCTCTCACTGTGAAACAAATGGCTCTGATTGTTTCTTGTTTTGGTATCTTGTCTTTCATTTTGGGTGTTGTCGCTGAAAACAAGAAGGTAATCATCCAAACAAACCCTTTTTCTTTAATAAAATGGATTATTAGTGTTTGATGAAATATGCACCCTATGACAATTAGTCCATGCTATAAATGATGATATATATGAATATATATGTTTCAAGATTGTTGCTTGAACTATGAAATATGAACTTTTTTCTCATGCTAGCGAAGGGAAAAATAAGGGTCTAGGAAAATAATAACTTATTTGGATACTAGATCTAATTTTCTTACAGTATCAGCTTTATATACCTTTATTATGTGCAAGTAACTTTTGACTTTCTCTGTTCCACTACTTCCACTTACTCAAACAAGTTGAATTTGATTGGTCCTTATTGGGTGTGTTTCTTATTAGATGGCAATATGTTATTGGAGATTCAATTACTGAAAGTCGGAGGATCTTTCTTTTGCAACAATATATTATAGATCTTCTCCTTAATATTTCTAATTTTTTTATTTTCAAATATTACCGTAAATTAAATGTTTTTCTCGTATTTTTGAAAATTATAATTTTCGGGTAAAAAAAAATTTCTGCTCTGCTAAACGTCCCATAAAATTCTAACTATAGTGAATGATTGTATTTCAGTTGGCAACACAAGAGACTAAAGAAAAAACTTGAGTTCAATTTTCATCAAATTAAATTTTGTGAAGGGATAATTTTTTTTAACTGTGCTAAGCCCTGATTCAATACCCAAAACAATATTCTAACTGTGTGTTATACTCTTTATATATATAATTACAGCCTGCTTATGGAACGCCAGTAACCGACAATAATGGTGTCACCTGCAAGTTCCCAGCTGATCCAACAGTTGCGTTGGGGTATCTTTCTGCAGCATTTCTCATTGCATCCACCGTGGCTGGATTTTTCTCTCTATTTTATCCTTATGACGGAAGGTCTGTTCCACAAGGGGTTCTGTTCAAAAGCACTAGTTTCATGGTATTCTTCAATATTGCATTGTAAGTAGTGTTTCCTTATTTTATTTTTTTCCAATTATTATGATTAATTTTTCGAACAATTTTATATTTTTCGCATTCTTTCTTCCTTGTTCATTGAAATAAAAGATAAATCCTGATTACCTTAGGAGTTAGGAGTGAATTCTTGCAGTATCCTTTAAGATTATAATTTTGGATCCCATTTTCCTCTTTGGAAATGTAGTAGCTATTACATTTATGAGATCTATTTATCTCATACAATAGGAACAAAATAGTGGGGTTCATTATTTAAAAAAAAAGTGTGAACCCCACTACTTTGTTTTTATTGTATGAGATAATTATCTTATGCAACGTGATATAATTATTTTCCTACATTTATACACAAGCGCTTTTAGTAGTAATATAACATGATTCTTTTATGGTGTCAAATGTATAATGGATCTCTTGTTATTCTTCCCACTTTGATTTTTCAAGATTTGTTGAATTTACCATCCAAATTAATTGTGTTTTAAAAATGGGTGGGTATTGGTCAATGCAAATGTAAAACTCTTGTTTGTTACTACTGCTACACTGTTAGTTTTAAATGACTATGGGGCTTGTATTCGATTGACTGTACTTTGGACCATAATGGCATCATTGTATTCATAATCTAGTATGTGCTTTGATTTCCTTATTTCTATCTTCTCCTTTCCGCTGAATGAATTTTTCCTCGTGTGATGGTGTATTTTACTTAGGTTTTCAACTGGACTAGCTGCAACTATGTTGTTATGGCCAACAATCACTGAACAGATTCACCTTACTCGTAATGTTCATCATGATGTCAACTATACTTGCCCTACAGCTAAAACTGGTCTCTTTGGAGGTGGTGCTTTTTTATCCTTTAATTCATCCCTCTTTTGGTTGGTTGCCCTTCTGTTGGCTGACAATGCTCGGGAGGATTTTTTTGATGAAGATAAAAGTGAATTTGGTATAGTTTCCTCAAATGCTTATGATGCAAATATTGGCCATATAGGAGTGAATGGAAGTGCCTAAGGTGTCTTGCTAAAAGTAAAAATAGAAACATCATGCTGCACACTTACTTTGTCATTGTTTTCATATGTGTTGATGGAATATGGATGTAATAATGTAAATACTCTACCTAAATGTTCTCCTATATGATTTTCATTGCATTCAAGCATGAACATATAATGAAATTACCTCTGATCATTCGGGCTTTATTTTTGCTTTTTCTTTTTTTCTTGAATAAAAATAAATTTATTTCAAGGCATCATGATTTCAGGGGAATGGTCACTTCTTTTGATTGTTTATAGTTTATACTTTACTTGCAGAAGGAGACCAGAGGTTATTTACGACCATCAAATGAATCTAAGTTCTATAGGCCAGTTATAAGGCATTTTTTTTAAAGCTTACTACGATTGTTGAATTGAAGTTAACCTGAATCTAAAAGATAACAATTATATATGCGTCACGTCATTTTACACCAGTGTAAGTTACACTCTCAATTTTGTCCACTGATTCCACTTATATCTAAGGGCTAAATTTTTTTAGTAATGTGAGCCATTAGATATAAGTGGATCAATGGTCAAGATTGAGTGTAAGACTTCTAACTCTTACACCGTTGTAAGAATATCCTATTCCTATATATATATATATATATATATATATATGGTTATACTTATTATCATTTTAGTCTTATTATTCTTACTACTTGATTAATTACCGTTTGATCAATTTGCAATTAACGGTAATTTATTTATTCTATTTTTTAACTATTGATTTTAAATACATCAAACGGCATAATAACCGGTAAGAGTAATAAGGTTAAAATGGTAATAAGTATAATTACTCTCATTATTTTATATATATTTGCGTGACTACGTAGTGTCCTAATTAGCAATTGGGCCTCAGTATGAAATGTTCAAATTCAGTCCTTCATAAAGCTTAATCTGTTTATTAATAAACCTTAGCGTGATTCTTCTTCTGTTACGCAATTTTAGTTTAATCTCCTTGTTATCTAATTTTTGTAATTCAAATTCCTGTTAGCATTTAGCTTGCCCGGGACGCGAATGAAAGATAGAAAATGTTCATCTGATTTCTCCCTCTCTTTCTCTCTCTTCTAGTCTTCTTCGTATATTATCCAATCCCAATGTTATGTCGTTATTTTCATATGATTTGTGGTGGTGCTTGATATGAGGTCGGGTTGGTGATCTGGTAACTAAGCTGCTCGAGCACTGTAGGATGGCTTCCAGCGTGCTGTGATATGACGATCGGTGGAGGAAGTTGTTGAACTTGACAAACAGCAAGATATTGCACAGGCAAAACTTAATGGCTAGGGGCTCGTACTAGACCCACACGAACTTGAGCCTCGAAGGGGCACCATTAGCTGGTTTTGCAAGGCCAACTGTCGGAGATACTAAATTAACTCTTGTAAAAAAAAAATTAAATATTATTATTTAAATAATAAATTATGAAAATTTAATATTTTGGAGTCAATTTATGAGTATATAGCAATCAATTACGCCCAGAATTAAAGTGACTAGTTGTGACCTAATTAGGCGCATCAACTGCTTGGTCGTGCCGAACACTCTTGTAAATATCCCTCATCACTTTTTCACTTCACTCAATCTCTCTGTTTTATCTTTAAGATTTTGCTCTGACTTCTCTTTAGAATTCTCTTTGAGTTTGTTTGAATTTTTTGTGCAGCGAAACTCTGTCAATCAAGTAAGTCTTAATATCTATTTTTTATATTCTTAAATTACAGCAATAAAAATGCTATAATAGTGACTTGGAAAATTGTTACTGACTTAAGAAATTGTTAGTGACTTATTTTATGAATAGGACCTAGGAAATACTTTAGTGATATGGTTAGTGACTTATAACATGTTTAGTGGCTTGGAACATGGTTAATGACCTAAGTTATGATTAGTGAGTTAGGACATACATAATGAATTTTATTATGCTTAGTGATTTTGCATTAAAAATAAAATAAAAAATTAATTCATGTCTTGGACATGTAAATTATTTGAGACATGGTTTGTGGATCTCCATTTCTTGCTGAGATTTTCATGAGCAAGATGACCCTGGCCATTAAAAATAAAATGTCTCTGGAGGGTTAATTTTGTTTGAAAATTTGTGTGACATTTTTCCACCACCCAGGATTCAAAGAATACCACTCTCTAGGTGGTATTTTGATTTTTCATTTACACATAAAACGGAATATCGAAAAAATCACTTTCTCGGGGGGATTTTCTAAAATGTGTTACCAAACATGATCTTTTTATAAATCCACCACCACTTTTCTATGTATCTCAAAATAATCCTCCAACCAAATACCCTTAGGAGGGAAATCTAGTAATACCCCTTTGAGATTGAAATTCTGGATCTTATATTCCTCTATAAAAAAAGGGAAAAGTGTGTATAATTTTGAAGGATGTAAAGTTGTGTCATTTTAAGAGAGAGAAAGAGATAGATAAAGGAGGAGAGAGAGTTGACAAAAAAAATAAAGTTGTGGGTCCCACCTCTTTGTGAGAGTGAAAGGATGTAAGTTGTGTAATTTAAATGTATAGACACTTTTCCCATAAAAAAATGTTGTAGCTATTCCTTTTATACACACAATTTTAGTAGTAATGTAACATGATTCTTCTACGGTGCCATCTATGGTGGATCCCTTTTAATTTTCAATATTTTGTAAAGACGACTTTAATGTCAGTATAGGTGTTCTATTATAGCATTACTTTTATGTATTTAATATCATTGTTTTTCCTTGTTTGTATGTTTGAATGGATAAAGATTCTTGGAATAATCAATTATGTACATTCAAGGATCAATGATCATATATTGATTGCGATAACTCAAATCTTGATTAATCGCTAAACTTGTTTCTAGTCTAGATTCACCAGGATAGGACATTGCTTGGCTTAATTAGACTAGCACGCCATCTCACTACTTACATGGTGATGTAATGCAGGTGCATAGATGTCTTAGCCGTTATTGTGAGTAAATTTGTTAATGGAATAAATCACACTAAATTGACCTGTCGAGAGACTCTACAATGAATTCTTAGATTCTTATAACATTTATCACTAATATAATTTCTCATTATTTGGTAGTGTGGATCATCCATGACTTCAGGTTATTATCGAATATTATGTCTAAGGATCATATTTTGATTGTACAACTCTCTAGCTTCCTGAAACATAGTGATAATAATATATTTTTGGATATAACTTAAGGCTACGGTTATAAATGGACAAGTCGAAGGGATTCATTATCTCTATAAGAGATTAATTGTCCACGTAAGATCAATGGGACTTGAATAAATTATACACAACTCGAGAATTTGTGCATAACAAAGAGAGCACTGAGGTGTTCATGGATTCTTCTTTAGTGTTCATAAAAAAAGATTTTTGGTTATGGAAAAATTTCTTTTCATTATTAAATAGTTGATACGATATATGTACTCTTTACCGAAAGGTGAAAAATGAGATAAAGATAATAATATGATAACTTAATGTGCCATTTGATAAGAATATTCAACTTCACACTAAATTTAATGTGCTATTTGATAAATTTTTATTAAATTTTAAATCCATAAAAGAAATGGGTGGCTTATCATTATTATTGATTGTTACTATTAGCTTTTTATGCTGTAAACTTCTTCCAATTTTTACTGATGAAATAAAAGTTGACTATCAAGTAAGAAAATGGGCAGCTAAATAAATAACAAAACACTAGTAATTTCATGCTAGAATTAGATTAAATTGATTTTTTATTTTATTTTTCAATATAGCATGTTAGAATTAGACTAAATTGCAAAATATTTTTTTATTTTTCAATTTTTTTATAAGTTTTGTATATAAATTATTATAAACACAAAATAAATTAGTACATATTTGGTTTAGTTAGTTAAAAAAATATATAGTACAAAATAAATTATTATTATTTTTTAAAATCTCTCAAAATTTACAAAATAAAATAAAATCTGATTCCCAAAATAAACTACTTCTAAAACACTCTGGTTCATAAAGAAAAGCATGACGCGGTAGATTATTTCCAAATTTCTTTCAGTCATGTCCGAAGTAATCACTGTCAATTCTTCAGTTTTGGGCCTTAGTTTTAGAGTTTCAAGCATCAAGATATAGTTGCAAAAAGCCCAGTCACCCATAAACCCTAGCAAGAACCCCCGTAGACCCTAGCAAGAACCCTAATGTGCGGTTGCGGTACAAGCTTCTTCTACAAAACCCTCCCAAAACCCTCTCTTCCTGGCTTGTGTGAAACGTGATTCTTGAAATCGCTTTAGCTTAGTATAGTTAGCACCATAAACTCGACCACGCTTCCTGGTGTGAAATTCGAATTAGGAAAAAGAAGGTTGTGAAAAATGCCTCTGGGAGAAAGGCTTGGGGATAAGAGCGAATCTCGGTACTGTGGTGTAGAGGCAGAGTTCAACGATGACATGCCACACGTCCTCGCTTTTAATCTCTCCTCTGGCGGCTTCGATTTCGTTATTGCTCCTCTGGTTCGTGTCGATTACATAAATTGTGTGCGTTTTGGTGTTCGTGTTGTGTGTTCTACTGCTTTGGATGTAGGTATTTTGATGGTGGCTAATTAGCCACTCACACTGCAACTGTAGAGTTGCTTCTTTTGTGTGTGAATGGTCAGTAAGCTCACCTAGAACGAAACTGTTCGATGCGCCATTTCCAATGAAGCTGCTCCACTTCGAGCCTATCAGATTTCATTGGATGGCTCTATTGAACTACATTTCACAACACGTGTAACATGTTACCATTTTCCTGTGCCATGTTTTACCTTGCGATGCTAAAAACTCTACCGTGCTTTGCTATAAGAAAAAACATTTTTATTTTAAGTGTACACTATTGAAGACACATTGGGGTTGTTCTTGTGCATTGTGTTAGATGTGTTTTATTTGCTCCTACGGTAGCTAATTAGCCAATCATATCGGCGCATGTTGATGCCATTTCTTATATGACTGGTCAGTAAGCTTACCCAAAGTAATAATGTCTAATGCTGAACTTGTGAAGCTGTTTCAATGTGGTTTCACTCTATGAGCTTCTTAGACTACATTATTGAGACATTGCACGGATACGTAGTGTAGCTCCCTGGTAAAAATCCCGTGCCATCTACTAAATGGATAGTTAATTTTCTCTCTTGTGATTCCTTGAGCACGTATCCAGTCTTTCGCTACTGGTAATTTTATTGGTATGAGCAAGATATAAATTATTGAGATATGACTTTATTTTGCTGAGAAATGATAATTGTGCAGTTTCCTTCTCCCTGTTTAGCTTATTTGATTTTATGGTGCAATTCAGATGGATCCTGCTTATCGGCCAAGCTTAGTGAAAAAGGATAGTTTGGGATCTGGTCCTCTGCCATTTGCTGGGTCAGACTTGGTCTTGAGTCCATCCCAATGGAGTAGTCACGTAGTAGGTATGAATTGCTTATTATCATTATTATTATCAGTAGTACTAGTATTCATATTTTTTTAATTTATATTATGAATTTTGCATATTTCATTCTAAAATCAATTCTCCTTGTACCTTCATCCATTGGATTGAAAACATGTTTCTTTATTTGTGAATTTTGTTAGGTTCTGTAGTTTGAAATTGCTTCCTGCTTCAAAATTAAATTTTTTTCGGGTCCATTTATGAATGCATTTTTTTTAATCATGTGTCTCATAGGTGATAAATTTGTGTAGCATTTGATGAGCCTGATTTTCTTTAAATTTTTTCAATTCTAAAATCTGTCGGTAGTGATTTTTCCATTCTTTATTGATAGACCTTTTGGATTCACAGCTGTGTAAAACTTCTTATGTAATTCATTGCATTTTATTCAGGAAAAATTAGCTCATGGATAGATTTGGATTCGGAAGATGAAACCATTAGGATAGATTCTGAAACCACTCTTAAACAAGAAATAGCCTGGGCCTCTCATCTATCTTTACAGGTGTGCTTTGGTATAACCAAGTTGAAGGAAATTTCAAATTTGTATTGTGCTGATTGATCTTTATTCCTTAGTGTAATTAATTGTATTACGCATATTAATTGGTTCAATTTGAAACTTCTGCTTTATCTTTATTTCCTTGTCGAAAAGCAATATTCTTTTCTTTCTTTTACAACTTTAATTGAGTATATGTAAATTTTTTTATTTTTCCGCCAGGTTGCATGGATCTGGTACCTGTATTAGTATGGATATTGATATGGAGTACGACAATTTTTTTATAGTTTGGGATAAGTGTACAGGAGAGAGACTGTGTGTGTACGCTGTTAGTATATATTAGAGATATATAAAACCATTAAAGAGGTCTTCACTTAACAGCTTAAACTTTTAGGTTGAATTGGTTCTTTACATGGTATCATAGCCTCGGTGTCCTGGTTTCGATCATCGCCGCCCCCCATTTTCTTTGTGAAATTTCTTAGCACAGGTAGGCTGGGTCTGTGCATTGTCCACCCTTTAAGCCCAGTGGGCTCTCGTGTGAGGGGTCGTGTTAGAAATATATAAAACCATTAAAAGATCTTCACTTAACAGCTTAAGCTTTTTGGTTGAATTGGTTCTTTACAATTTTCGCAAAAAGGCTAATGAAATTATATTACTGATTACATAACAAGTTTTTATTGTTTATTATTTTTTAATTTTGCAAAAATTTGAGTTGGAAAATCATTAGCTAATAAAACTTATATATATATATTCTTATTTGATACACACACACACACACAAGAGGAAACTTGGCACACACCGGTTGGCATTGTTGCTATGTTACGCAATCATAGATTTGATTTTTGCGGTCAACCTTTTGCAAATGCATAAGGGCTTACTATTGTCCTATGTTGCATCGACACTGATACGAGACACGACACTCCGACACGTTAATTATAAAAAATATTAGATTTCGACACGTTAGGACACGTTTTGATATTAAATAATATTTTTTATTTATATAGTGCATATTATATTTTATATTCAATAATTTAACATAAATGAATCTAAACTTGTAATATCCATCAATTTTGCAAAGAAACATAAGATATTCCAAATATTTATATTAAACTTAATAAAATAGTAATCTTAATCCAACGAATCTAATAGTTGGAACTAAAAACGCAACGCAATCTTTGAATTCTTTTTTGAGTCTCTGCAATACGTGTTAGAGTATCGGACAAGACACATAAACTTATAATATCCATCAATTTTGCAAAGAAACATAAGATATTTCAAATATTTATATTAAACTTAATAAAATAATAATCTTAATCCAACGAATCTAATAGTTGGAACTAAAAACGTAACGCAATCTTTGAATCCTTTTTTGAGTCTCTGCAATGCGTGTTAGAGTGTCGGACAAGACACATCAGATTTTTTGAAATGTCGGTGCATCATATCTAATGTCCCTTCTGTGGACCCCGTGAAGAGCGGGAAACCCCCCCTCTCTCTCTATATATATAGGGAGTGTATGTTAGAATTTTTATAAAATTTAAGTGTTATTAATGAGTTGAATGTGAAGAGTGGTGTCTTTTCACCATCAAACATGATCAACTATTCATCATCGAATAGACAAGACTCTTTACCGCCGTAGAGGCACCATTCATCATGGCTGGTCATGGTTTATAAATATGGAAGGAAATCAAAATAAACGGTCACTCTTCTAATTTCTCTCCTTTACTAAAACTTTGCCAAAACACTTTTCAAAATCTTGACATTCACTTTGCATCCATTTTATGCGGTAGTTCAAACGAAGGTTGTGTCCATCGGTGTTGTTTGTTCAAGAGTGCCATCAACAAACAGAGATAATCCGTTCTATACTGGGAGACAATTGTCATTCACTCTTTGGCACCATAGAGAGGGCAAATTGTCTTAAAGACACAGTGTCTAAGACTGGGTTTAGATTTTATTCTTTCATTTTATAATTAATTTTGCATTGTTATCTATTCATCAATTTCATTGTTGATTGCTTTGTTGCATGCATTTTGAAACACATATTTCCCATCATTTCTATTTTGTGTGCTTCTATATTGTTAGAGAATAGTATAAACCATTAAAATGCCCTCACCTTCAAGCTTAAGCTTTTGGGTGAAATGGTTCTTTACATGGTATTAGAGCCTCGGCGTCACAGGTTTGATCCTCACCGCCTCCCACTTTCTCTTGTGGAATTTCTTAGCATAGGTAAGTGAGTCTGTGCATTGTCCACTCTTCTGTGAAGGGGCGTGTTAAAGAATATTATAAACTATTAAAAAGCCGTCACCCAAAAGCTTAACCCACAAGCTTAAGCTTTTGGGTGAAATGGTTCTTTACAGAAATATAATAAATTTAATTTATTAATGAATCCTGAACCAATACAATAAAAAACCATTATGGCCTGAGACTGAAACATAGGAATGAGTAAATGGCATTGTGGTCTGCAACTTTGTATTGTGGTCCTGGGGAGACTTTTCTACTTCAATTAAATAAGATTTGGGAGCTGATACATGGATTTTCTGAAGTTTCTGGAATTATGACCAAACGCTGCTTTTGGAGATTTTTCAGGCCTAAGATGTATCGGCTTGGAGATGAATAATATTGGCTTGTATACATGCTGTATCCAAAATTTGAGGGGAAAGAAAGAACCCATTTTTACCGGATACGTATGTGGGCATACCATATACGTAGCCAGCATGCCATATGCATCCCGTACGATATATGTAGCCTGGATGTGTGTGGTTTGCTGGTTACTGTTCCATGCTTCATAATTCCTTCCCATAATTAAGCACCATACTTCTGATTCTTAGTGTTGTTAGGAAAATTATTTTTCTGTGTATTTTATGGGGGAAATCTGTTGAAAAATGTGAAGTGATGTGAATATATATTCCTTAACTTGATAGTGCCTTAGTTTTGCCCTGCAAATCCGTCCTGGACACTTGACATGGTGATTACTTTAAAAGCGAACAATCAAGTGCATTACTTTAACATTATATTTAAGTTAGCTATATAACTGTTGTTGACTTTGCCACTTCTCCCGCTAAAATCTCTGGAGTTACCTTTTGTGTTGAATGAGTCAGAGCATGCTAATTGGTTTTATTTAAAAGTTATTTGCATAACGAGATACGATGTCATACTTTGACATTTTGTAGTCACCATCAAAAAGAAATCCTTTGTTGGCCGTGAGTTACACCGGGTTTTTCTAATTCCTTCTGATATGGTGTAGGCTTGCCTGCTTCCTGCTCCCAAGGGAACTTCTTGTGCTAATTATGCTAGGTGTGTGAATCAAATCTTACAGAGCCTAAGTAATATGCAGGTGCCATTCTAAGTTCAAGTTTTCTGACTGATTCATTTGTCTTTCCTTCACAATTGTTATTTGCTCCTTTCTTATGTTTCTTTTGTTTCTTTAATTTTGTAATAAAGTTGTGGCTTAGGATTCCACTGGTGAAGCCTGATGATGATGACTCTACAGATACAAACTCTGTTACTTTGGTGAGTAAATATGCCACCTGTCCTTTTTCTCAAATATGGACTTCTTAGTTGTTTGACCTTTGAGTTTGCTCTTAATCTCCTAGAAGTTTAGGATCCTAGGACACAAGAATGAGTTAAATCACATTTAAGCTCTCTCTTTGTCAAACTTGTACGAGTTCAAGTAAGCTCTAACAGAAATGGCCTCAAAATGCAAAATTTTGCTTGATGTTGTTGAATACTTGGGTTGAATAGCCTATATTTTGTAATATGTACTATGTTATAAAGCTCACTTTATGTGATTATTACTATTTTTGTTCTGCTTTGTTAAACTACAAAATAATGTAATTGATGGTTTAGTATAAATATAACTGGTGGGTAATGTATTGAGTTATGTAACTTTTTTTTACATGGTTAATTTTGCTTGCTTCATGTTTGGGGTACTGTGATAGATTTTTTAAATATTATATTTGAAGTATGCGAACTCTGAAGAGTTTATGATTTGAGTTTAATAGGGTTCTTCACATTTATCTAAACTTGAGTTTGACAACTTTATCCTATTTATTTTTTATTCTTAATGAAATAACAGTTGCTATTGTCAAGTCAAAGCTGCTGAATAGTGAGCATTTGAACTTATGTTCATTCAGACATGACATTGGAGATTTATATGGTGTTCTCTAATTTTTTTTTTTTATTCTTGTATGGACATATCTTTGCTAAGGATCAAATTATTGAGGGGTAGACTATTGGTCATGAAAATTAGAGTTTATCCTAATTATTTTTTATTCTTAATAAAATGACAGTTGCTATTGTTAAGTGACTTAAGTAAAAGCTGCTGTTCATTAAGACATGACATTGGATATTTATATGGTGTTCTCTATATTCTTTTTATTCTTTAATGACATATCTTTGTTGAGGATCAAATTATTGAGGGGTCGACTACTGGTCATGAAAATTAAAGTTTCTTGTAGACATGAATATCTAGGACGCCAAATTTATTTTCAGAACTTTCTAATCTTGATTTTTAGGTTGACTCCTGGGAAACATGGAATTCATTTCGTCTGCTATGTGAGCATCATAGTCAGCTGTCAATTGCACTTGATATTCTGTAAGTATGTGACTCCTCAGTCCTTTGACCCATTATATTTTAGGGTTCGCTTTTTCTGCAGTAAGCCCAATACGATATCGTTTTGGGGCGAAAATCATGGTGTTTTTGTAATTTTAATTTATTTCAGGGTTATAATAGTCTTTATATTTATAATTTTTTAAGATTTCAATACCAAAACGACGTTATTTTGGGAATAATTGCAGATAACTTATCTGCAGTAACTGCAGAAATATTTTTCCCTATATTTTATACTCTTATCTTGCTTTTTTGTGCCATGATTTTTATTCCTAAACCCATCCTATATTTGCACCTATTCAGTATGGATATCCTGAATCATGATGATTGTTCTTGGAATCTTGTTCATTAGGAGTACTCTGCCTTCAGCAAATTCCCTTAGACGTTGGTTTGGGGAGCCTGTTAGAGCAGCTATAATAAATACTGATGTAAGGACATCTTGTGGTTTATAATGCATTTTTCAAGTATCAAGTGTGGTAATGCTTATTCTTCTCTAAAGTCATACTGATGTAAGGACATCTTGTGCTTTTGATTTTATATTTGCCAGTCCTTTTTAACTAATGCTCGTGGTTATCCGTGCCTCTCCAAGCGCCACCAGAAGCTAATTACTAGTTTTTTTAACCATTCTATGCAGGTAAACTATTCAAATTCTTTGAATCTTGTATTCTTTAAGTTGTAAATATTCATTGTGGATGGAAAACTGGTTGGACAGTTAATTCTACTGTAAACAACCTTGCTTTCTTATGATTCTAGTATCTCATTTATCTTTTATCTGGATACTGCTTTACTGCTTGGTTGATCAGAGGAAATGGAATTCAGGTTCAGGTAGCTTTGTTTTCCTTCAAAAGGTACTAACTGCTGAATTTGTTTGAAACATCTGTGTAGATCATTATATCTGGAAAATCAGTTCATCCAAAAGCATGTGTGGATGCAGATGCTTTTAATAATCATTCTATTTCGGGTAAGTTCTTATTATTGGTTCATAGATTTGTTATCTTGATTTTGGAGATTATTCTTTAAGTAGTAAAAATATGTTTTCTTCATTTTAAAGTAGTTTTTAGAAGTTTAACTAATTATGAGCTAATTTTTGTTTAGCCTGCATTTAGGTAACAAGAACTATAGTTTACTAATATAACTTAGGCATATATCTTCTTCCTGTCTTTGTGTGTGTACCCATGTGAAAGAGCTTGTGCCTTCATGTATGTAATGTGAAAGTTGTGATTCGGTGTTCTGCTGTTTCTTCAACTATTTTGCCCTTGGCCAAGGTCTTCTGTTTATAGTGATTTTTTTGCACATTAGATTCACACAGACATCCCTTGCGGTCATATCTGGACTATGTTGGATATCTATACCAAAGAATGGATCCTCTTCCCGAGCAAGAACGTTTTGAGGTATCTATCTTTACATGTGTTGAATATATAGGATAGCATTATCTGCTATTATCTTCCTGTTGACCCTCTCGGCGTCTTATTCCAGCTTGGTTACAGGGATTTTTTACAGTCTCCCTTGCAAGTAAGAATTCTTTGTCCTGCTTCTTTTACTCAGTTGTTGCCTTCTATGTTACTGCCTGATTACTCTGCACTTTCAGATATATAATTTTGAAGTTCTTACAAGTATTTTGTGCAGCCTCTGATGGATAATCTAGAGGCTCAGACTTATGAGACTTTTGAGAAAGATGCAGTGAAATACATTCAGGTATTGCAATGCATGCACATTATTCTCAATTTCACCCATCCATTTATATATACGTTTTCTCTCGGCAGGTTCACCATATATCTTATTTATGAAACTGTTGAAGTTGAAATTTGTGAATCAGTATGTCTAGTGCGTGGGTCTCTTTAGCAATTGAATTTCCTGGTGCCCGTATTAAAGATTGAAGTCCAGTAGTTATAAGATTTCTGCAGACTTTATCAGCTTTATGATTTAGCCACCCCCATTCTTCAATCAATGTTGTCTGATTTTTATTTTAATATGTCGGGTTGATCTGGATGTACTGTATATTGTCATTTTTTAATAATGATTAGATTATCGGGGTTCCTGGAAATAAAGGTATATATAATTAAAGCCTCAAACTATGCATGGTTTGATATGCAACATTGTTGTATTTGGTGGGGCATAAGATTAGAAACATGTTAGTGCTCTGGAATGCTTGCTTGCTCAAAAAATATTAGAGAAAATGGCCTTAGTACTTGCCATCTTTTTTTTTTTTGAAGCTCGATAATGTGCCTTGTGGCACTTGTAGCTTTGGTTACTTAGATATGTACTTGTAATTTAATTATTGACTTCTCTTTTGACAGTACCAGAGAGCAGTTAGTAAAGCATTGCTGGACAGGGTTCCTGACGAAGAGGCATCTGTTACAACCACTGTGAGAATTTTGTCTCAAGTTTTATTTTAAGTGCATCTTTTTTTTAATTGCTATTTTTAAGTGTGATAAACAGCATCACTGTGGATGCTGTGCAGCACAGCGGAGGTTATTTACTTTTCCTCCTGTGACTAGGTACTGATGGTTGTTGGAGCAGGTCGTGGGCCTCTTGTGCGGGCATCATTAGAGGTTTGATTTTGTACCTTGTATTGATAAATTTTTGTATGTCTTAAAATCAATATCTTTAAAATTGCAGATTTGGGTATATTGTTTTCTTAAGAATGACTTTTGTCATTTCATGTGTAGGCTGCTGAAGAAACTGGTCGGAAGCTAAAAGTTTATGCTGTCGAAAAGAATCCAAATGCAGTTGTTACTCTTCATGTTAGTTTTGGATTATGCTGATTTCATGAATTTATGTGATAATTTATTGTTATTTTTGTAGTACAGTATTAGCTGAATCCCAATATATTGCCTAAACTTTATTAAGTAGTGTATTTATTGAACCATTTTTTACATGCTTGAATGTGTGCCAAAACTCTTTGTTTTGCACTTTATTTTGTTTGATAAATTTAGTTTTAACATCTATGTCCATATGCATATATTGATGTTAGTAAGTTGGGAATAACACTGAATTAGTACAATGAGCTGTTACTCCAGTGCCTTCAGTCAGAAAAAAGCATTTATTTTTGTGTTAATTCTTTTATCTGTGTAACATTGTTTTTAGCTTTAGTTCTTGAGAGTGGGGATTCCTGTTCTTGATTTTTTTTTATGAAGGTCTTCTAATTGTTTTTTATTTTGTTTCAGTCCATATATAAATTGATTCTCTTTTTCTGCCCATTAGTTTAGAGAATTTCCTGTATGAAAATATTATGTAATTTTTGGACCATGGTTTGTTTCTTTTAATGTTACTATTGTCCTTCCATTTAGACATGACACTTACTTGTTGGAGCAGGCATTAATTAAGTTAGAGGGATGGGAGGATACTGTTACCGTAGTTTCATGTGATATGCGTTACTGGGTTGCCCCTGAAAAAGCTGACATATTGGTATATTCCCGAGCTCACTTAGTAAATTATTTAACTTTTATGGTTTATACTATGAGTGTCTGATTGCTGTTGTCTTGAATTTAGGTTAGTGAGTTGCTAGGTTCTTTTGGTGACAATGAACTGTCTCCTGAGTGCCTTGATGGAGCCCAGAGGTTTCTAAAACAAGATGGAATTTCAATACCATCTTCGTATGTAATTTCCTTTCACTCCATATGTTGCAGATATATCTTTATTAGGGGGTTTTCTTTTATTTTTTTTAGGGTTGTGTAATTTTAATGTACCCCATGTTAAGTGCCACTAATTTATGAAAATTGGGTTATTGAGTACAAGTTACTTGCTTTGTAGAGTTACGTAGGAATTCCTGGGTCTTTTACTCAACGTAAATTTTGAAATTTATTTTTGCTAAACATTGTACTAATTTTTTCAACTCTGGTTTCTCTCACACATGCTTTCTTCTTGGTGTACACTATTTGTATATATAACCCCTGATATTACGGTTACCGGACAAACCAGTTAGGTTAGTGTTCGAGTTTCCTTGTTTCTATTTTCTTTTTGGAATGATATTGCACTGTCATGAATTTGTTGATTTTTATAAATCAGAAAGAAATTTAACTATTACCTTCAACGTCTGATAGACAGCATCAAGAGCATAAAATTTTGACATGGTGATTATAGCCATGGAGTCTCACTTCTATAGATGAATAATTTATGTATTTTAAATTTGATTTCTTGTTTTATTCATCTAATTATTCTATTAACCATTGTGGATCACTGACTTTCAGGTACACAAGTTTCCTACAACCAATGACAGCTTCAAAGTTATATAATGATGTAAATCTCTTGTACTTCCCATGTCAGATTTACATTTATAAATTTAATACGTCATATTACTTGGTTGTGTTTCTATTTCAGGTTAAGGCACATAAAGACCTTGCACACTTCGAAACTGCTTATGTTGTGAAAATACACAATGCAGCCCGCCTTGCACCATGTCAACCAGTGAGTCACTTCTCATGTAGTTTAGTTTTTCTCTTTTATTTTGATCTAACCACTGATCTTGATCTCCATGCTGTTTGAATTTCATGGCTTGTTTCCAATTTTGATTATTGTTTCTGCCTCATTAATTTTAGATCAATTAACTTTCTGCTCATTTTTGTTGATTTGATCTGCATAGGTTTTTACGTTTTCTCATCCAAAAAACTCTGATGAAGAAAGGAATCAGCGGTATAAAAAGTTGCATTTTGCAATACCTAATGACACTGGGTCAGCAATGGTACATGGTATGTGGTGTGTATCTGTTCTTATTGAGAAAATATGATTTATCCATTAGATATTTGATTTTACTTGTATCTTGCAAATTGTTACTGTGTGGTGGTCTGTTTTGTCAGTAATAGGATGAAGTCATGGCAATGTATCAGGAAATGATTATGTATTGACATGGTTGTGAAATGTAGATATCTTTGAAAAAGCCTTTGAAATCGCTGGTGGTTGTCCATTACAGGAGTACTAATTTTCAATCATGAATAGAGTGATAAGGAATCTTGGCTCTTTGTATATTTAATTAATTTTATTTCTTTTTTTGGATAAAAAATGAATTTCGTTAAGAGGAAGAGAAAAATTGCAAAGAGAAGGGAGGATAAGGAATGTTGCTGAACAAAAGAATATAACAAAAAACAATGAAGAAAAACAGAGATTCAATGGAACAAAGCTGCACTGCCCAATCCCTCAACCCTCTGTTATTTTGAAACCCAAATAAAAAGTGGATGTGCTTGTTTAACACCAAATAGTTGCTCAATGCCTTATGTTATATCTCAAATCCAGTGTTGTGCTAAAGCAGCCTCATTAAAAGAATACGAGTTCCACCTCAAGCAAATGTACTAGTGTTTGAGGACCACAGAAATTTTGCTTCTTCTGCTAAAACCACAAAAGCTAATTGTCAAACATTGGTCCAGGCCTATTCAAAGAATGTTTGGGGACCCAGAAAGATCAAGGTGGCAAATCCTTTAATTTGGATAAGGAAAAAAATAGAGTCGAGCAGTCAGGGACTACAATTCAGAAGGTTACCTGTCTTTAAGGTTATGGAAAATTGGAAGTTCCATGAAAAAGTCAAAAAACATAATCTTGGTCAATAAAAATATTGTGTAGAATCATATAGAGAACTAAAATGACAGATAAATTTCTTAGAGCTAAAATGAGAGGCTTTAATTGCAGTGCTGGAATCCCACCCGTTTTTATCTAAACCGTACTACTGATTAATTAATGCCAGAGAGGGGTAGGTTCCAGAGGTATACTCTCATTGCTGCCAATAGATTGTTAGAAGCATATTTGATTTTCAATCGAGAGGATAAATTGGGAGGTAAAAGTGAAACACTTGATATTTTTCAGATAGAGGCATTTCTAGTTGTGGGGCAGTTCAAAATGGAAATAAGTGACAATGATTAAAGGTTTGGAACGTTCACAATGTCTATTAGGTTTCATGCTTGAAACTTATGTTTCTGTTTCACAAGATAAACTGTGTGTTAATTAAGTCTATGATTGTGGAGAATGTCTCTGCTAATTGCCTGTCTTGGTACAGTGTGCAATGTGTTGTGAAATGAGAATACATCTGGTACTATATTTAGTATACTGAATTGTTTGATAGATATCTCGCTTGGTTTATAGGGGTCCAGGCAGTCTTGTTATGTAGTTTTTTAGGATGTTGGTATTGCTTCATAATAACATTTTACATCATTTATATTAGCTTCTCCGTGTTGTGTTGTTGGTGCAAGTCATCTGTTAGATTTAGCAGTAGTGCCCAATTCCCTAAGCCCCTAAGCCATATTTATCTGTTTGATACTGACCTTTTGTACTCCTTGATCATAGGATTTGCTGGCTACTTTGATGCAACTCTTTACAAGGATGTGCATCTTGGAATTGAACCTTCGACAGCCACACCAAACATGTTCAGTTGGTATTGAGTTTTTCCCCGTTTATTTTATATCATTTTGGGGATAAGAGAAGTAATTTTATTGGAATAGCAAAAGATAGAGTACAGTATCAGACGAAAAACCAAAGTAGACAAGCTAAAATCTAATTTTAAGCTAAAGTTAAAAAAGAGCATACTTGTCTGTAGCAGTAGCAGTTAGTGGCCGGTAGCTGCCGACCCCAAAAATGGTATAGCAGTGTAGATGGTAGCGGTATTGCCGCTACGGTGAAATATTAATTCCACATATATTATACTAAAGTCTAATACTACACAAATATAAATGCTCAAACATACGAAGTCACACAAAATCAAACACATAATTCCACAATCTATGTTAAATACAAGGAATATAAATGAAGGATCCAAAATAAAACACAAATGAACAATGAAATTGTCAAATACAAGAAGTGAACTAATAAAGAAAATCATCATCATCTTCAGATTCTCCATCAAATTCCAACAAATCTTCTCCCTTACTTTCATCTTCACTTGAACTAATGGTATAGTGGTGTAGCGGATAACAGTATTGCCCCTACGCTATGCCGCTACTCACTATTGTAGCGGTTTAGCGCCGCTACTTAACTTAGAAAAGAGCTATCAAATGATGGTAGTTCAGTTGGCGCATGGGAGTTGAGCAGGTGTGGGTGAGAGCATGCGTTCGATCCTTCCCAGTACCATTTTTAGGAGGGGTTTAAAGACTTAATCCGTGATCTGCCCCAAACAGGATTGCCTCCCATGGAGGATACCTATGGTTTATCTAAATAATAAAAAGAGCTTAAAAAATAAAATTAAAAGCTGTTTTGTAATTATATAAAGCTGCTCTAGTGGTTTTTGAAGGAGGGAAGATGAAATAAATTGTTACTAGGATAAATTATTAAGGTAAATGATAAAATTTATAAATACAAGTTTAGAATAAAGGTAAAATTGTAAAATAAATGAGGATTTCAAAAAACTGGCATACATCTTAAAAATTAGCTCTTCCCGAGGAGCTTTTAGCTTTTAACTTTTTTTCTTCATTATAAAAAAAAGCTCTTTTTAAATAAGAGCTTTTACAAAATTATGTTTAGTTAAGCTTCTTCTTTTAAAGAGAAGAGAAGTTAAAAATAAGACATGTGAAACAGGCACCAAGCAAGCAAAGCTTGTCAATCATCTATTATATAAGATAAGATGCCAAAAGGACCCCTCTGTACTTGGTTGTGGAGCACCAAAAACATGAGGAAGACCATTTCATACCATAAAAAAGGGAACGACAAAAGTTTATCCTTAAAATCTGTCATTCCTCTAGTACCATACTCACCAAATCACAGCATATATTGTATATGTTTGCCAATTGGAGGATAAATTTTGGAAAAATGAATGAACCAAGAAAATGTTAAGTTTGGGTCTTTTTTGATTCGTTACATATGATCTATTGCATGTCACTTTAATTTATGTCTCTATTTATTCAGTGTCATGTGTGGTGTTTGTAATTGCTGTTTGCATAATTTGGTATTTTTTTTGAAAGGTGATCTTTTTGAAGGTGGTAATCTATTAGTTTGCATTTTTTATAAAGAAAATCATAAAATGCAAAACCTTCTAGCATTTATAGCTTCTATATATTATTTTGCAAGATTATTATTAAAAAGACTCTCTTAGATGGATATATATGTTTCATGTGTTCTATGAGATTTCAGGGATTAATTATATATAATTTTTGCAGGTGATCTTTTTGAAGGTGGTAATCTATTAGTTTGCAATTTTTTTTTAAGAAAATCATAAAATGCAAAACTTCTATATATTATTTTGCAAGATTATTATTAAAGAGACTACTCTCTTAGATGGATATAGATGTTTCGTGTGTTCCTTGAGATTTCAGGGATTAGTTATATATAATTTTTACGTGCCCTACCCTATATTGCTATATGATGCCTAACACCATGTTTTGTGCTGTTGTTTTTTCACTGCCAATAAAATTCTTTTCAAAATGAAAAAGGTGAAGTAATAGTCTTGTATCTTTTTTTCGTGACCCTTTTGAAATGGTAAAGATTAAGGAATAAAAGTCAATTTCTCAAACCCTCCATTCTGTTCGCCTGTATCTGCAGGTTTGCAATATTTTTCCCACTAAGGACGCCTATTTGTGTGGATCCTGGTTCTAAACTTGAAGTGCATTTCTGGCGCTGTTGTGGTCCTTCAAAGGTTGATTTTATATCACTTGCTACTTTGGCATTTGTTCATTTTTGTATTCATGCCGTCATCTATGTTTCCATTTAATGTTATTGATTTCTATTTCTTTATGAAATCTGAAAAAGGTTTGGTATGAGTGGTGCGTTGCATCTCCCTCTTCGTCTCCTATTCACAACAGTAATGGGCGCTCGTACTGGGTTGGGCTTTAGTGCCATGTATTTTCTGGAATATTTGTCAGAGTACTGAGTTTATAATGCTGCAACCCAGAGTGAGTGTAAAGCAAATGTACTTGAACCCAGAGTGAGTTTTAAGGACAGCTTAATACAAACTTTTTTGGTGCTATCCTCTTGGTGGATCTTTTCATTTCAATTCATTATAGGAAATCATGTTGTACAATAAGATAATTGCCATTATTCTCTGAAATGCATCCATTTGATGTAATTAATTTGTAGCATTCATATATATCGAAGATTTTGGTGAGAGATTTGTTTTTTTGTCTGTTTCAGCGTTAGTGGTTTATTTAAGTTTAGGGATAAAACATGGATGAAGTTATTTGTGTGAATAGGATGTTTGGGTCCAATCACCTCAAGTAAGAACTTTTTTTTTTTTTTTTTTTTGATAACATCAAGAACTTTATATGGCATGATGAGGTGATAAAAAACTAATGCATGTTTTTTATTGTACAATAATAGCAAAAGTACCTAGGCAACTTTGTACATTTACAAAAAAAAAAAGAGAGAAAAGGGGAGGGGGCGGGGCTTTTACACACGTTTTTGCCTTTATAAACATCCGAGAGGACGTGAAGAACGAATCTTAGAATTGTTAGTTTGATTGATTTTGATTAAATTATGTGGAATAACAATTAGATTTTAATAATTTAATGGGGAGAGCCTATTGTCGGGATCGTCACCAATGATTTAAGTTCTATCTGTCATATTAAGTGAGTCCGATATTATATTTTAATACAAAATCTTAAGATATTGAATTTATGAGTATTTTTATTTATATATACCATATTTAGCCTATTCTTTTTGATGTGAGATTTTTTATCACTTACATACATTTAATTTTCCAACAATCTATCGCTTATGTGTGAGTCTTATGCTTATCAATTCCCCTTCAATCGTAAGCTTTTTCGAGTATTGACTAGGTTATCAAAGAGTGGGTTAGTCTTTTGGTTCATAATATAGGTTTACACAGCCTACAAATTCAAATATCAACCATCATTTTCAAATAATTTGTACACCTAAATCAATCAATAATTGGTTCTGATAGCACTGTTGGGTTGGTCAGGGAGTGCAGGGCGGGAGATCACTATTAATGAGTTAAGTTTATATCCATACTTGTTAATCTCATATAGCAGTGTGTAGTGGCTGACCCTCTAAACTGCTATAGCATTATAGCGGGCGGGTAGCACTACAACGCTGTACCTAAGTGATACACTACATTGTACTCCATAAATATAAAACTTAAAATATGAAAATGTGACATAAAAAATAAATTTGAAGAATCTCAAACTCAAACAAATGATTTCAAACATTAAAATTCAAATCATAAGTAAATTGAAGTAATTAATGTAATATCCCAGAAAATTATAGTAAGTTATAACAATAAAATAATTATAATAACAAAATATAAATTAGTAATAATAATAATGTGTGTGTGCATGTGTGTGTATATATATATATATTAGGATTAGATAATAAATGTGATTAATTGAATTATTAATTGATTGGTTATTTATGCATTAATGTTTGATTTGATTAGAATGAATCAACAAACTTAATTTTTTAGATATCATGAGTCAGTCTTGAGTTAGCAAATGAGTCAACAATATTATGAGCCATAAGAAATTAAGAAGAAAAAGGAAATAATTGTACGAAGCTCATATCTGAGCCCAGAACTCCAACTATAACTAGAAGCCTAGACTAACCAAATCAAATCACTTCCAATCGTCAGCAATTCTCCTTTTCTTCTCTGCTACTCTCTTCTTACCTCAATTTTTTTTTTTTTTTTTTAATTTTGGTTACAACCACTTCTCTTCTCTAGTTGCTTTTCCTCCTGGAAGTTGTTAAACACGAAGACCAGGTAATCCTAATTCTTTAGAAGTAATAGATTAATTATATATGAATTTTGTTTGATATAGTATTGATCTTTAGGGAGTAATATATTAATTTTATGTGAATTCTTATTTGATATAAATCCAATCTTTAGGTAATCTGTAGGTAGCTTTAATATTTCAGAACGATTTTATTGAATTGATCTCTTTGGGGTGTTTTTGTTAACCCCCTTAGATTACCAAAAAAAAAATTAATATTTATTATATGTAATCCTAATTCCTAGGTATTCGTAGGTTAGCTTTATATGAATTAATCTCGATACTTAGGGCACTATAGTTTTATTTTATATTAAATTTATTAAATATGATTCTAATCTTCATGGAATAATCAATTAATTTAAAATTTATGCAATCCTAATAATGCCTAGGTGATTGTAGTTTAGTTTTGTATGAAAATTATTATATAGAATTTATTGGGTGTGTCCTAATCCATTAGGAATAATAGATTAATTTTGTTTAATGTAATCTTGACCTTTAGGGAATAATATATTAGTTTTATATGAATTTTGTTTGACCTAATCCAAATCTTTAGCTAACCATAATTTAGTCTTACAGAAACTTGTTATAATCCTGATCTGTATGGAGTAATAGATTTTATTAATTTGAACTCTATTATATGCAATCCTAATCCTTAGAGATAGGTGTATTTTATATGAATTTTGATAGTATGATTATGATCTTTAGGGTGTCACAAGTTAGTTTTATTTGAAGATTTTTATATGTAATTCTTGATCCGTAGAACATCGTAGGATAAAATATATTTGTTGGAAATTTTATTGTGCTTAATTTTAAAATCATTTAATAATATAACTAATATAAAATATGATGGTATATTTTAATATTAATGAAGTATTTATTTTATCATGATTTTTATGATTACGGAAAAGATCTTGATTATAATATGATTATATCAGTAGTAATATATACATGATTATTATATAATAAATGAATCCTATCATAATAATATATCGTGTAATTATTCAGTAATTAATATCAAGATTTATATTAAATTAAACATGTCATAATAAATTAATTTTACATGTATAATATGTCATCCTAATTAATTATTATTACTGTAGTTATATGTAATTAATCATTATAATATTATAGAGTATTTTTAATTGAATTATGTAATAAATTAATATTTAATAATTTGTTTCAAAATATTAATAATTATAATCTAATTATATGGTATGATTTATAAATAATTAGATCATTGCAATGAATTATATATAATTTATGGAACCATGATACTTAAGAAATTTTAGGTAGTTTCATATTTAATTTGCTATATGTGATATTGGATTTTATTGGGAAGAGTGAATATTATTGGAAACTTTATTGAGTTTTGAAATTAGACGCTCGAAATTCTTTTTATCTTTTTTAAACCGATATTAAAATTAAAATTAAAATTAATTAATTTTTATTTGAGTCAAATTTAAAATTTAAATTTTAAAAATACAAACCAAGCGTTCAAAAATAAATAAATTTTTTATTTTTAAATTAGATGCTCGAAATCCTTTTTAAAATAGATATTAAAATTTAAAGTTTAAATTTTTTAGTTTTTGTTTTAGTCAAATTTAGAATTTAAATTTTAAAAATAAAAACCAAGCGTTCAAAGAAACAGTAAATTTTTTGTTTTTAAATTAGACGCTCGAAATCCTTCTTAAACAGATATTAAAATTTTAAGTTTAAATTTTTTAGTTTTTGTTTGAGTCAAATTTAGAATTTATTTTTTTGGTGAACAGTCAAATTTAGAATTTAAATTTTAAAAATACAAACCAAGCATTAGGATGACATATTATACACTATCATTGTAAAATTAATTCATTATGACATGTTTAATATAATATAAATCATGATACTAATTACCGAATAATTACAAGATGTATCATTATGACAGAATTCATTTATTATATAATAATCATCTACATATTATTATTGATATAATTATATTATAATCATGATCATTTCCGAAATCATAAAAATCATGATAAAATAAATATTTCATTAATATTATAATATTCTATCGTATGTTATATTTGTTATATTATTAAATGATTTTAAAATTAAGCTCAATAATTTTTTTGACAAATATAATTTATCCTATGATGCTCTAAAGATCAAGAATTACATTTAAAAATCTTTAAATATAATTAACTTGTGACACCCTAAAGATCAGAATCATACTATCAAAATTCATATAAAATTAACCTATCTTTAGGGACTAAGATTGCATATAATAGAGTTCAAATTAATAAAATTTATTACTCCATACAGATCAGGATTATATCAAGTTTTCTGTGAGACTAAATTATGGTTAGCTAAAGATTTGGATTAGGTCAAACAAAATTCATATAAAACTATTATTTCCTAAAGGTCAAGATTACATCAAACAAAATTAATCTATTATTCCTAAAGGATTAGGACACACCCAATAAATTCTATATAATAATTTTCATACAAAACTAACCTACAATCACCTAGGCATTAGGATTGCATCAATTTCAAATTAATTGATTATTCCACGAAGATTAGAATAACATTTAATAAATTTAATATAAAACTAAATTATAGTGCCCTAAGTATCGAGATTATATCAAACAAAAATTCAAATAAAGTTAACCCTTGACTCTCTAGTGATTAGAATTACATAAAACACCCAAATTTCATATAAAAGAGAGAACCTACGAATACTCAAGGATGAAGATTACATATAATAATTTTTTTCTCTCGTAAATACATATAATAAATTTTAAATAAAGCTACCTGAAGATTGAGAATATATCTAATAAGAATTCACATAAATGTATTACTCCCTAAAGATCAATATTATATCAAACAAAATTTATATATAATTAATCTATTACTTCCAGAGGATTAGGAGGATTACCTGGTCTTCGTGTTTGATGATTTGTAAGAGGAGAAACAATTAAAGAGAAGTGATTGTAACCAAATTAAAAAAATTAAAAATTAAAATAAAATAAAATATTAAGGTAAGAAGAGAGTAGCAGAGGAGAAGAGGAGAATTGCTGAGGATTGAAAGTGATTTGATTTGGTTAGGCAAGACCTCTAGTTATAGTTGGAGTTCTGGGCTCAGATATGAGTTTCGTACAGTTATTTCCTTTTTCTTCTTAATTTCTTATAGCTTAGAATATCGCTGACTTGTTTGCTAACTCAAGATTGACTCATGATATCTAATCAAATTATCATTCTAATCCAATCAAACATTAATGCATAAATGACTAATCAATTAATAGTTCAGTTAATCACAATTTATTATCTAATCCTAATTACATATATATATGTGTATATATATATACGCATTGTTATTATTACTATTAATTTATAATTCATATTATAATTATTTTATTGTTATAAATTACTATTATTTTTCTGGGATATTACAATTAAAGTCTCAAATAATGTAACACAACAAAATAAAGTGACAAAATTAGTGAAAATTCAAACGGCCTCTTAAGTGAAATGTCAAAATCAAAGAACTTAAGGAACTAATCATAATTGAAATCATAAACATCTAAATCTTCATGTTCACTTTTACTTGTATCTAAGTTGTTGATCTCTTCCTTCTACGCCGAAAGCACTTTTGTAGAAACTATTGTAGTGGTGCAATAACACTGAGATTCAACGGCAATTGCGGCCGCTACATCCGCTACACTTCACCTTACCGTCACAGCGCGGTTTGTGGCGACTGACCGCTACATTGCAAAGCAACTCCACTATAGCGCGCTAAAGCGGACTATTCACAAGTATGATTATACCAGTGGCATCTAGTGAGTCCGATATCTTGTCTTAACCTAAAATCTTAAGACATTAGATTTATTGGTATTTTGACTTACATGTACCAGGAAAATCATAAATTTCTAAGATCCTGATTGTGTTATTGTATGATGAACCTTAAGGTAGAGGACACAAATTTATACTTACAATTAAAGCTTGCTCTATTTTATATATAGAATGATTGTATTGATATTAAAGTGTAGGAGGTTTTTTAGAAAATGATTTTTTTTTTAAACAGATTGTATTAAGATTTTTTTAGAGAATGAAAAATGATAATAGTATAGTTTTTGTATCTATCTCCAGGAAAATATATGCAGGAGGTTTAAAAAAAATGTTTGAATGAATTTTTTTTCTCCAAAAAAAATTAAATCAGAAACAATTAAAAATATAATCATTTGAAAGTCAAAATTATTACTATTTGAAAAGAAAATGAAAAAAATTGTTTTTAATTATTTTAAAAATATTTTTTAATATTAATTCAAACGTTAAATAGCTCTTGATTCAAAGTCATAAATATATATTTTTTAAGGTAGATTTCGAAACGGGTCTTAATATATTTTGCAATTAAATTAATTTAATTATTAAAGAGAAAAATATAAATATATTTGATTCCAAACCAGACACAACTGATTGTGCGTGGTGAGAGAGAGTACTTGTTGGCCCAGATGAACTTAAGAGAGGGTGAATTGAGTTTATAAAATTTCTGCCTCTTTTTAAAAGAAAAACAGATTTCCAAAGATAATCAATAGAAAATAAAGCATGCCAGAATCTCACAGCAATTTACGTGGAAAAACCTCCTTGGCTCAAGAGGAGTAAAAACCCATGGCACCAATCTAGATAAACTCTTCAATTGGTCAAAACCACTTCACTAAAAGAGCCAAAAACAATAGTACAAGGTTAGCCCTACACTACCCTTATAAAATTCACATCCAAATCTGAATGACTACTTAGCCACCCAAATGACACTGCACCAATAACTCACCTTCTGTCAACTCAGGCAGAATCAATCACTCATGCACAATAGCTTAACTCTAAGCTAACAAAAAGATTTAATAATAGAAATACCATGTGCTTCTTGAACAAGCATATAGTTAATTTGAATTCCTATGGAGAAATATTCACTTTGCCAAAGGATGAATGTATGAATGAATATTCTTGAGAAAACTCTTCAATTGATGCACAAGAAAGAATCCTAATCTTGAAAATCTATTTCTCTCTTTTCTTTCTTGTATATTCTTCTCTCTTCTCTCTCTTGTGTTTTCTCCTCTCATGAATATTGTATTTTCTCCACTCTGAAATAATATGCTATGAGCCCTATTTATAATAATAACATCTTAATCTATTATGCAATGCAATCCTAATCAAATCCTTGGCAAAGAATATTTTATTTCTCTTACATGAAATCTAAAAAGATAAAATCTATCTTAATCTTTACTTGATTCCATGATCTTCTCCAATCTCCATGATATCTTTCATATCTTCTCAAATCTTTATGATATCTTTCATATTTTCTCTAATCTTCATGCAATCTTCAATTATCTTGAATATTGATCCCATGCTTTTCTCTATCTTCATGATATCTTTCATATCTTCTTCAATCTTCATGCAATCTTCAATTATCTTGAATACTATTTTAAATCAGAATAAATATTATTCTGAAATCTCAACCAATCAGCTCATTAGTAATTTCAAGATAATAAAATATTATCAATTAAATTAACATTAAATTGATTGTAATCATCAAAACATATTTTAAATCAATTAAACAATTGGGGTATAACAAATATCCAACACCTCGTGTGCCTATTTTCCATTTTATATCGCATTGAACGTTTTCAGAAACGGAGACCCATGGTATGGATTCCCATCCCTTAAAAATTAGGATATTAATTATAAATTAAAGGAGTATGATATTGTTACAACCAATTAGGGTTACTATCAATATTACTACCAATTAATTTCACCGGTAGATCGATTAAATGTTAAATATATAAAATATTAAATATGAAGAATCATAACCATATAAAGATGAAAATAAATATAATCATTGGATCAATATAATTAATTATTTATTTTCGAGAGATAGTGACTTGGAATCTAGGATGTTATCAATAGCAAACTATTTTGTTTTAGTTTTTTACTGTCTATTAATCTATTTTAACTCTTAGTTTTAAGACTTGTTTTACTTTGAAGATTTGATTCTCTCAATGGTCTGTATGACTGAAATTTTAAGCTTTTCAAACAATCGAAAACTATTCTATTCCAAACCGAATAAAATTAGATTGAATTTTTAAAAAAATCTAAACCGAATGGATAATTAAATAATCAAGAAAAAATGATTTTTTCTTCGAAACCAATTCAATCCATGATACAAACATCCCTGGGTTTTCTTTAAATCTATAGCTATATCGAGGACCTTCTATCAAGTAATATTTCTGTTGATACTTAATGACAAGACGTCAAAGACCTAAGTACTTGAGGTGATAGGGTTCTTAGCCCAAGTTCGCTGCCTTCTTTCTTTTTTATTATTATTGATTTTTTTATTTTATTTTATTTTTAAACTATAGCACGTTTCTAGCCATTGCTGCCAATCCCAGTTTGGAAGATCTCATGTTCACTGGTTTACTTAAACTGCCTTTGATTACTTAATCTAGGCAACGTTAAGACAGAATGACGGTTATGCGTCGGAGATACCGTCATTTCATCAATCCCGTTTTAATATCTATCGATCACTTATTTCCTGGCATACCTGTAACCTGCTTTTGTCTTTCATTTTTATAATTTTAACAAGCTGGCATTCTATCTTGACTAGTGAATGTTTAGGGAAAAAGTATGTTTGTAGCATTGGTTTTAGAAGAAAAAATATATTGTATTTCGGTAAATAGGATTTATTTATTATTATTTTTTTGGTAAGCAAATAGGATTTATTTAAATCTGTAAGTCGTAGGATTGCCTTTCTATCACATAATTTTTAATTTGTGGGATTTATTAAATATTATACTCAGTTATTTGTATTTTCAAATTTTCCTTCATACGAAACGCAATGTGAAAAAAAATAGTGAAATTTTAATGAAACCTCATCATTAATACAATTATTTCTTTTTACGCAACAATAACTCCTCAGGACTTAAGAAAAGAGAGAGAGAGAAAAAAAGCACGATTAAACTGCTGTGCTGTTTATAAAACCAAATATGTACCAAAGAAATAGCGTACCATTGTATATTATATTATGTACAACAAAGGAGCATGTTGGAGAAGTGTATATTCTATGAAAGAGAAAGAAGACTGGGTAATTTTCTGTATTAAACTACCTCATATAGTTGGTGTTTATAATCTCTTATAGTTGGTGTTGATTATTTGAGAAATAGGAAGATAACTATGCTTCAAAGGTAGAAAATTATAAATAATTCACGTTGAAAACTACTTTCAAGGTATCGTCCAAAAATAATTAGATTAACCACAAAATTTGGACTAACGAACTTTTTCTGAATGAAAAATCTTTTGACAACTTAAATTATAGTTTTCCCTGATATATATGGCTTATATATGATAAATGAGAAATGCTCTTAACAAATAAGTAACTAAAACAACATAATCATGTATGATGTTTTGTTCTCACAATGTTCCCTTAATACAGAAATATGATATCTTTTTTTTCTCAATTTGTTTTACGGATGTTTACCACCTCATTCTTGACTTCAAATTTATCTTTCAATTACCCATATATGCGCACGTGAATGCCTGTTCCACTAGTAATTAGTAAAGAGATACATTCCAAAATTTGCCTTAATCTTGGCTTAGGAGGACAAATAGCGTTCAACAATAGGAAAGCACCAGGATCATCGATATACATGGTTGCATTGTACCGAACTATTTCTTTCTTCATTCAACCGATTTTTCTTTAAATATATATACAACAACAAAAAGATGCTACAGAGATATATATATCGGCTACTGAAAGTGCAGTTCTTAAACAACCTGGGATGAAACGTTTGCTGTCAGAAGTGTTCCACGGAATCCTTCCTCAGTATGCTGCAGATCCATTCTTTCATCGCATAGCTCATCTGCAAAAGATGAATATAATCCGTTTGACTTTCATTATCCTTGGGGAGGATATAAAATATAACATGTATGTTCCTATATCGCCTAATGCAAACAACATTATCAAGTGATGAACCACACTACCACTTTGGCACTATCAAATAACTTACCAGCAATATCTCGATTTTCATGGATCTCAGAGTCCCTCACTATAATCTGATCTCCTGCAAATATGTTTACATCTGCAAGGGTAGTACATTCATCATCAATATCAATTGTCCGATCACCTTTCTGTAGAATCTGGTTTTCTTTCACAACCTGGGAGGACAGTCATCATTGATAAGATTCGAGAAAAAAAATTTAAACATTATGAAGCTGTGCAATCTATTATAGCAATTCTCTGATTATTATTAATGCCGAATATAGCGTCTTGCTAACTTAAAACAATTCTGTATGATAAAAGTGAAAGCAACCACCTAAATTCTGTCATTTGATGTTGTATAATTATAACCTATGAAGATAACGCCTAGCTCACTGATGTTCTCTTATGACAAAAGTGAAAAGCGACCAACATGTTCACCCATTTCATGTAAAAGGTTTTACTGAACATATTTTTTTGGGTCATCTTATACTATACATTTAGGGAGCTTATTTGAATGGAAGATTTAGAACATGAGTTACTTCACACTTGCTTAGCACAATAAAAAAATTATGATGGTTAAAGTACAACTAATTTATACTCGATCCCACAAATTTTGCCCTTTAATTTAGCATGAAAGTGAGTTGAAAATGATTTTCCACCCTTTACCAAACAACTATGAGTGGAAATCATAAATTTTCTATCCCTTTATACTTTTCATTCGCATCCCAATTTTCCACCTTCCATTTTCTATAAGGGCCCAAGAATGGCTTTTACAATGCTTTTGTAACAAATCTTTCAATGTACATAATATTCTGCATATAAGCCTAAGTGTTTGGGAAACTCCTCAGCCATTTTCAACATACGCTTAGACAGACAACATGTAAACTGAACTAAAGCATTTCATAATTCATACAACATAGACTTGGCTTACCCCAAAGGATTCCCATATCATCATTTTCAGCTGGTATAAAGATGTTGAAGCAGAAACTTTTAGACTTATTGAACTCCCATTTTTAGTCTTCCGGGAGCGTTTGGAAACCCGCCGATCTGTTTCAACGGATCCCTTTGAAGCCTCTAAGATTGATCTAGGTACCTCCTTACCACGAACAAGAATTACACATATGTCCTCATTGCAATAGTTAAGTTTCTGCATTAACTCACAACTTTCTCTTTCTCCAATGCAACTTTCACAAACCTGCAGATTGAGAGGTAAAAAAATTATAGGTCAAATAAAAGTTAAAATATATTATCCAATAAAAGAAAAAAACAGCTTCCAGTAAATTTATCACAAGAATATCAGAATGAACTAAAAAAACATAATACAAAAATGTAATGATGAGTTGATTATAGAATGTGTGGGAGAGACTGTAGCAGAGGGGATAACAATATTTAATTAGCTAATAAAATACAGATAACTTTCAAACTTCAGTTACATTATTAACTCAAGAACAATATTTTGTTAGTCAAGTTAGATGCACAAATCAAGAATCATATTTTTCAACATGTGATGCATAATCAGCAATATTAATTTCAGCACCAAAAATTTCTCAGACAAGTTATTGTACTATGCATGTGCTGAAAAGAGCTAACAGAGGAAACATAAGAAAACCAAGGACATGGCTTTCAAAGCTTAAATGCAATCTATGTAAGTAATGCGATAACTGTAAGATTTAACTTCTAAAAGACTTAAGTGCAATAAAAGGAGGAACGGAGCCAGCAACATAGCATAGCCAACAGAATAAGGCGGAGTCTTGGATTACCTCAGGAGAAGTCTTAATCAAAATTTGTCCAGTACCATTTTCATTATTCATTTTATCCCCCGTGCCCAACTGATCCTCACATATCTGCATCTCTTCACTGGATCCAGTCAAAACATTCTCTGAATCATTAATATGATCAATTGTTGCAGATATTCCTTTGCTCTCAATACCACTCCATTCTTCACAGAAGGATTTCCAATCATTCTCAGATATGATGGTTAAGCCACCTGCCTAGAAACCACAAAATGGATGGAAGTAAGTTGAGAGACAGAATACACTTAAAAGTAACTAAAACGACCCCCATTGATATGTGAAAATGAAGGAGGAAGAAACAAAGCAAATTAGCCAATGGATATCAAGAACTCATAATTTACTTGTTTAATTCTTTTAAAAGGATTCAAAGCATATGAAAAGTGGTGAATTTAGTTTTCTGTAAATAAGAAAATGACATTAACTCACATGCATTGATATATATATGACATATAAAGAAAATAATTTTATTTTATTTTATTTTCTTCAACCAACTTACAGAAGACTCTCTCTGGATGATAGCACCGCGTCTGTAAACCAGTTCAGGAGGTCTTTCAACAAGTTGTGAGTGCTGACACAAAACAAAGACAGAATTCATCGTGAAAATTGGCTAAGGATTAGATTAAAAGAATGCAAAGGTTACAAATGTACAAATCCAATCATATAATCAGTTGAAAAGTAATCTCTGCCACTAAAGTCTACAGATTGGATAGGATACCTTATAGCAATAAATCTTCTCATAACACAAATTACGCTCAAATTTAACCAAACAGCAGTCAAGATTATATTAAGTAGTAACTAAAGCAACTAAATGCATGTAATAAGATGCAAAACATGACAAAATAGCAAGGTAAGTATCAATGTACCTTCTCACACATCAGTGAATTAATTACACCATCTAATGTTCCAGGTTTGTCTGAATTCTTGAAGTATATGTAATTTCTCCATTTCGAAATCCAGGAAGAAGGCAACAAGAAATACTTGCAATGCAGAGAGAGTGGCATACTTTTAGCCACAAATAATTTCTCATGATTCTGACGTTGCTTTTGTTTATCTAATCTGCAGCATAAATACAAAAGTCACCTGAAAATTTGTCATATTAGCTCTATATTAATAGTAATATACAAATGAAATAACCTCAAGGAGTCCTCGAAGCATGCTACTTCAGATAATTCATTACTGCATTGGGAACACTCTCCGGAATCTGAAGGAAAAGTTGGGCCACCCAAAGGACCATCGGATTTTACAGAAACAGCATCTTCATATAAGAAGAGCCAAAAACTCTCAGGAACAAGCACCCGCTTAGCACCAGCAGCTTGCTCAGGCATGAGTTGCCCATGTGGACAACTAATGGCTGCTGTTGGTCCAGTATCAGCTTCAGATGGAGCATCAAGGACTTTCCTTTTCAACCACTGCTGCAACCTACAAAAGCAAGCTCCTACGCATAAAAGGTTCTAAAACCATTGCTTTTAAACCATTTTAATAGTATAGTGAAGAAAAAAAAAATAGATTACAGTTAATGAGAACAGGCTATGGATTTCTCTATAACACAGTAGGTCAAGATATTTACTATTTCCAAAATACAACAATTGTCATCCCTCCCGATCCACTTTCCGTAACAACATGAATGACATGAGAAAAGATTTGTTATCAATGTCATACCATGGTCTGGATATGTAATACTTTCCATCTAGACAGTTTCCATCCAGAATATCCCGGGCAAGTGACTTCATTGATTCTCTTCTATCTCGATAGGTGTCAGCTGACACCGCTGTGCGAGCTCCATGAATCAGACAATCCCAACAGTGGTCATCATGAGACAGTGCTACCTTCCCACCATACTGAATTTCACAAGCCAATAAAGGAACATGTCATGAATATTATATCAGTACAGTGTAGAGCTGAAGTAGCAATAGAGAAACAGTAATTTGATTAAGATATACAAATAAACCACAATAAATCATCAGCGTTAAATGTCTCAGTAGAGCATGCACTTCCAGTCATTTTTATCAGACACTGCATTCTCCTCCTCACATAAACAAAACACCTCAAACCAGTTGCTTCACAAAGACAAGCATTAGCCAAAATGTTTCTATTCCATCAAGCCCCCATATGATTCTAGTTTCCCTACTGACATCACCAGAAAAAACATGGTAGAACTTCGTGATCAAAACAGCCCACTCCCTAAACTTCTAAAGTAACTTCACCACCTATAGAACACTAGATTTGTCTCCACTACATCTGATAAATTTTATTTTCATCTTTCCTACCAGTATTATCCAACAAACTATGTAAATATAGACTGAAAGAAGAAAGTTCCTTATCAAATTTTTATCCTTTCCCAAGACAGGTTAGCATTCATAAGCAATTTTATTTAACCTTCTCAACATTATTTATGATGGAATAGCAACAAAATAAACACGTTTGAGAAAAAATAAAAAGCAGGAAACTATCTTTCTATCTTCTTTTTTTCAAACAGCTCTCTCAGAAAGCATACCAAAAAAAAAAAGAGCAAAATCATTTTCCCAAAATAAGCTAATCTAAACACGCACTAAAACCATTAAGCATAAATACATTGCTATAAAGTGAAGAACTTCTACAATCAATGAATGGCATCATATCTCAAGTAGACAATTAATAATCCAAACATGTAACAGCTGACCAACAAACGTTACCTTAGAAAACAACGTATCCCATGCTTTAGCAGACAATCGCTTCATTGAGGTAACCTTTGAAACTGGAACTTTACCATGTGAACATTGGATAGATGTGTTGTCGAGAGAACTGCATATGTATCAAGAAGTAAGCACCCTATAAAATACATCAATTAACCCTACCCTAATAATTGACAGAATTAGAGAGGAACCCTCAAGCTATGGCAAGAAGGAAAGAATTTAGCTATGCACTTTTAAAATGAAAAAGAAAAAAGAAAAAGCCGTTGAAGTGTTCATGACCAATATAAACCACAAAAAATATGCACCAACATTGGAATAACATTGTCAGCCCACTGGCGAAGCCAATCACTATATATCCAATAAAATGGTTTTTCCAATGGTTGAACAGGAGCTTCAGCTAAAACAGATCGAACTTCCTGTCTCCTCTCACTAATACGATTCAATTCTAATTCTTTGCGAAGCTTGTACTGCTCACAAGCATCAAGGTATGAGGCATTGAAATTTTGAATCTCAACACAAAGATGAGAAGGAAGAGAAGCACCATCTTGCACAGCAACTACAGCACCCTCTCTTTCTTTATGGTTAGCACCACAATTTATAACCCCATTTTCACCTACATTTTTTGTATGTTTAAGATGGTACATCAACATGTATGCATCACTAGATGAAAATGTCTCCACAAGCGAAGATTGTAATTGAGTGGCGTTTAAACCATTTCCATTACTATCAGCTATCCTTGCTTCAGAGCAATCAGAATGAATTGCATCAGTCTTAATGGATTTAGAAGTAGAATTTGAAGATCCTTCACCAAACGGATGTCGACCCATATTAGTGACATTCTCATCGTCAAATTCCCACCACTGCCCGGTGTTTTCATCCTTGATGTGAGCAATGTAATGGCCACTGTTAACACCAGTTCCCTTGTGAATCAGTACAGCTGACAAGTCATACACCAAATCAAACTGAGACAACTCACACAATCTATGCCGCATATCAAGTTCAGTGGGAAATGAAAATGCAGAAGTAATTTTCTTCTTTGTTGTAGTCTGCCAACAGAAATAGATAAATAAAAAAAATACACTTATCAGAATGCAATTCAGTGGTAAGAAAATCAAACTTTACACCATATATGGAAAACAACCCCTACACAACCACTGTTCTAAGAAAGAAAAGAGCATGCAACTATTAAGATAGTTTCTCTCTTCAGAAAATCACCCTACATGATCACTACTCTAAGAAAGGATTTCAAATTTTTTCAAAAAATTAACAATAACAAACCATTAAACTTATAAGTTATAAAGCACCATACATTATAAATTATGACCATTCAAGGATTTTTCACTCTCTTTTCTTCAATTATTTTTTAGTAAAGAATAAACTTAATTAGAGAAGAGAAAGAGAGAACTACAAGAGCAATGGATAAGATACCCTACAGAAAGAAACCAAGAAATACAGAAAAGCATAATAAAGACCTGAAAACAGGAACAACAAAAACAAAACAGATCGAGATTCCTGGATTGCTCCTTCTCTTAAAGCATTTTAAATAAGATGTTTGGTTTAAATGGTGAGACACACACTAAAGGGATTTTTTAATTTTTTTTTTTAAATTCGATTGGTGTTTTTTAGGCTAGGATAGCAAAATACGTCAGAAAATTGAGAATATTTCCTTGACACCGGTGCACTTCCCTAGAGAGGAACTCTAGTTTTCTGAAAGGTCAGAATTTGTATTTGTAACTACCCAGGGATAAAATCATCAACATTTTCCTGAATGACCCTATTACAAAAATTTTCATAACACACTCATGAAAATACTTAAAACAAAAAATCACTACCCATTAAACCCCGACTAGTAAGGATAGGGGTGAAGGCAATCCTTGTACGCAACTCAACCTCGCATATATGCAAAGAGTTTGTTTTCTAGATTCAGACCTGTGACCTTTCATAAAGATACTTAAAGAGAAAAATGATTTTTCATTATAGCTAATTTTTTCTTCATATGGTATTTATTGTTTTGAGGGGAACCCTGGAGCAATTTTTGTGACTGAAAAATCATGAATTTGAATTCGGAACACAACTTCTTCGCAAATGCACAAGGGTAAGACTGCGTACAAAGATTGCACTCACCATTACCCTTGCAAGTCGGGGTTTAATGCAGAATGGTTTTTATGGTATTTATTGTTTTGAGGGCAAGCCTTGGTAAGGTTGTTCCATGTAACTAGGTCATGGGTTCGAGTTCGAGAAATAACCTCTTTACAAAAATGTAAGGATAAGGCTGTATACAATTGACACTTACTTACCCCTACCCTCACAGGTTGGGGAGCTTTGTGCAGTGGGATTTGCCCTTCTCTTTGATGGTGTTTATTGTTTTGGTAAATCCCCTGTCATCTTTTGTCTGATACTTATTCCTTTCATTTTTTATTAAATATATCTTGTATCCATAAAAAAATTATAATATAACAAAGAAAGAAGTAAAGAATAAAAAATGCATGCCACTTATCTGAACAATAATAATAAAAAAGACAGAAATTATTTATAAAGTCTATCACAATACCTTTGGAAGGAAAACACAACGTTTAAGTTGAAAATTAAGTACTTTCGGTAATGTACACAGCTTGATGCTGCGTGTAGCATCAACTCTTGTTTTACATGATTCACAAAAATATTGATTATCCCCATGAAGCTCTTCAACGGAGAGGTAATCATCTAGGCTCTCATCTAAACTTTTCAGTCCCTTGACATTCAACTCCAGCTCATAGAAATCTTCCATTTTGGAAGAAGCTTCAGAGTCTCTTCTACATTGCGAGCACCTGCATAATAAGTGATAAAGCTATAAGAAATATGTAGTAGTCATGAACATAGCTATTACTCGTCACACATACATCTAATATGAAAGTAGATAATATAAGGACAGTATTTGAGATCATTTAAATATAAATTACCAGAGTTCTGAGTTCTGACCAGTTACGAATCAAATCCAGTGCCATGAATTATATTACAAACAACAACAGTACTCGGCAAATAATTCAAGTATGTAACAACCATGTAAATGCAAAAAGATAATCAAAATCATCATTTGGCAATATGAAAAATTCTTTCACAGAAAACAAACACATACACATTTTGAGGGAAGATTTGACAACACTCAATAAACAACCACATTATATGTTAGCAACATTTGCATCATTTATGATTGTTTTTTAGGCTTCTTTTTTTTTTTAAATAAAATAAAATAAAATTGGTGGGTGGGAGTACCCTACCCTCACAAGTGGGGTTTCATAGGGAGTTGTATTGTTTTTTTGTGGGTGGGAGTTGGAGTGGTCAAAATTAAAAGAGAAAACTATAAAAGGGTAAACTTGCACAAGGCTCACCGACTTATGAGGGTTGGAGTGGGTTCAATTATACGCATCCTTACCTTTGCATTTTTGCAAAGAGGCTTTTCTCAAATTTGAACCTGTGACCTTCCGGTCACAAGGAACAACCTTATTGCTGCTCCAGGGTTTGCCTAAAAAGAAAACTATAAGATACAAAAAGAAGAAGAAGAAAATATTATAGGGAAAAAATGATTCTTTTAATTGTAAATAAGTTGCTCAGATTCATTGATTCTTACGTTGTCACATGAGACACACTTCCCCGGAAAAGATCTTGAACTATTGTTCTTGCCTTGGGAATTTTGGAATGGCTCAGACAACGCTCAAGCAATGACAGAAGCAATGTCAGGAACTCGTGGCTATCCTGCTGAACCCCATTATCTAACTCCAGTGTTTTTACAAATGGAGAAGAATCTATGAAAGCCATTTTACTAACATGCAACTGCACAAAAAGTCGAGCCAGTTGATCCAACACTGGCTGTTGTTGTAAAACATCTGGTTCTACAGAAAATATGCCTTCTCGGAAAGACTTATTCATGTACAAGCACTGCAGTATACTGTTGGCATAGCATGTTGCACCAAGATTAGTCAGACCTGCAGGAGAATCAGCAGAAGCTCGGAGATCCTTGGTTGGATCAGGGCCAAGACTTTCAACAAAATCTGACATCTTCTGCCATAAGCCAGACTTCCGGGCTCCATTTGGAGGCGGAACCAATCCACAGAAGCAATTTGGGTTATCTTTGGTATTGACACGACAGCCTGAACAAACCGGCTTCCAAATCATATACAGTTGATTCATATCATCTTCAGTAACCACACCTGTTTTGTGAATCTTCCTATATGAAGGACATATAAAACAATTAACATGTTAAAAACCGAGGAGTGATAAATTTAATTTCATTTCACAAACTAAAAAAGAACTGAACACCTGTTACTGTTAGTACCTCCATATTTCAGAAGTGCAGGCGCCATCATCCCCTGGTTTCTGTCTTTTATTTTTACTTCGTGTTGTGGGTCTACTCATTCTATAAGCCCTGACAATGGCAAAACAACTTCACTTTATGGAGAGCAAAACTGAAAAATATCATTCAACAATTTCACATCCATTTTAAAATTTGAAATAAAAAAGAAGAATATGACATGAATATCATAGTATCAATGACAATGGTCACTAGGACAAACGATAATTAACTATTAATCATGGTTTTGTTTAATTGAAGTCCTACTGTGGGAAACTCGTAAGCATGTATGGTTGCAATGTAACTCGAAAACAAAGACTAAATAGCAAAGGACTATGATCGCAGAAAATGCATTAAAAAATTAACAAAGCAAAATCTTTCCTACAAAATTTTCTATGCTTCCGTTCTGTTTAAGCAGATGCATTACCGTATTGCACAAAAGAAGAAGCAGTAACCAATTTAGATAAATCAAGGGTTGAGCTGAAGGGAACCCTAGAATTTTCCACCAGACAAAATTCCAAGCAAATCAAAGAGAAAAGGAAGCCACGTATAAATGTGAACGCGCGAATGTTTCAAGGATTAATCAAAATCGAAAAATAATATCCAAATATTGTAAAATAAATTATACTAAGGCAGAGAAATTGCTGTTGTGCTGTTACCTACGAGACAGATGGGGAAAAACGAAGCTGCTTTCAACTGCAAGATCAAAAATCACTTCGGATTCTGGAAAAAAAAACAAAAAGATATAATAAATTGTAATTTTATAAGTTTTTAATTTTTTTTATTTTAATCAGAATTAGTGAATGTAATGAATTTTACAGAATTACCTTATATGGAGAGAGAAGAAAGGGTTGAAGAGCAAGGAAAGGTAAAAGTCAGACACAAATACTGTAGAGAGAGAGAGATGGTACAAAGCTTTGTTTGTTTTGGATGGGGAATGTCATGTCAGAACGGCCACAATGGATGGGTCAAGTTTGAGTCAGATACACAGCTCCTGTGCCAGAACCTACACCAACACATCACTTTTTTTAAATAAAATAAAATTATTGCGGTATCTATATAATATTTTTAAAAATAAGTTATATTTATAAATTTTTTGTTTATAAATTTGGGATAAGATATTGTAATAATTAACTAGTGTTACTGATAATGTTACTACCAATCAATTTTACTGTTAGATCAATTATGTTGATCTAACGGTTATATTTATTTTTATCTTTGTACTGTTATGATTCTCCATATTTAATGCTTTCACATTAAATACGGGGAATCATAACCATACAAAGGTGAAAATAAATATAAAGTATTAAATATGACGAATCATAACCATACAAAGATGGAAATAAATATAACCGTTGGATCAAGATAATCGATCTATCGGTGAATTACTGGTAGTGTAACACCCCAAATTCTAACAATTTATAATAGCATAAATAAATTCAGTAATTTTATAAATAACAGCGGAAGTTCAAAATAATCGAATTTGGGGAATGTTACCGCCGCACTTGTATAGGGACAAGTGCAAGGCTAACTTTATACATTCAAATCAAAATCTAAGACTACAGTTTTTTTTTTATACATAATATTTATTACAGCTATAAATCCTGAGTCGTATCCTCACTGCCCACTGCTAGCCCCATCCTTGCAACCTGATTTACTAAAAATCTGCTCCCCCGCAGCCGCAGGATCATTGCAGTCAACAAACACAAAAGTCAGCAAAGCTAGTAATTCCAATCAAAATACAAAAATAAATAAATAGAACTCATAATAATTAAATCAAGTAATATAACTCAAAAATTCAAATCAAGTATCAACTCGTTATTAATTATATTAATCTTTATTTAGTCCATTTATTGTATTTAGTAAGGGTAATTTATCAACTAACATATTCAGCACAACATTAATCATAATATTACATAAATGGTAATATTCACAACTCAATGACATTCATCATAATCAAATCAAATAATATTTCATTATTAATCATGTTTAAGTTCATTGTATTTAGTGGGAAGAGAACCATGGTAGACCCGAGAAATAACCACGGTTGCCAGTCTACCCCGTGACCCGGGAAATAACCACTGTTGCCAGTCACGTATCATCAAAATTAGTCATCATCAAAATATCAAATCCTAGTGTGCACACCTCTTCCCAAAGTTGCTACTAGTACCCCGGGAAATAACCACTGTTGCCATATACCACTTTGGGAAGAACGGAAACATCATTGTCACATCAAATAAATATCAAAGGCATAAAGCCCAAAAAGTTGTGTTCATCACTTTGGGAGGTATCATCCCAAAGCTATCCTCCCACTATTATTTATTACAATCACACACAATCAATTCAATCTTGTCACGATTCTCATAATTGTCAAATAGTTTTCATGATTTCCACATCAATTTAATCAAGAGTATATTTCCAAATTCAATCTTTCAATGATATCATAATTTCCAAATCTGTTATCCAACAATATCATAATTTTCACATTTAACATCTACTAGAGTAAAACACAAATCCAATCATCATATCATAATTTTTCAAATCAAAATTCAAAGGGTAAAACCCAAATCCAATCGTCATATCATAATTTTTCCAAATCATAATTCAAATATTCACATCTATTAGAGTAAAGCCAAAATCTAATAATTAATCCAATTAATTTCTAGAGGTTAAAATAATTTAATTTAAATACCCTAAGGGTTACATATAATATATGAAAACATCCTAAAATTTTCTAAGGATTAGGATTACATATATCAAACATATAACTACCTAAAGAATAGGACACACCCAATAAAAATTCATACACAACAAATCCTCAACCACCTAGAGATTAGGATTACCTGGTCTCTGTTTTCGCTAACTTCTAGAAGAAAAGAGTAATCTGAGGCAGAGAACCGGTTGGTAATCAGAAGAATATAAAATAAATTAAACTAAGTTTTTGAACTAAGAAGAGAGAATAGTAGAGGAGAAATGTTGAAGAGTGAATTGGTTTCGTTAGGCTAGACCTCTATTTATAGTTGAAGTTTAGGGCTTACACATTACTGACTCAATGCTGACTCATCATATCTAAACAATTTATGTTTGTTGACTCATTATATCTAAACAAATTACTAATTAATCATTACTAATCAAACATAAATACATAAATCACCAATCAATTAATAAATCAATTAATCATAATTTATCATCTAATATATATATATACATATATATTAATATTATTTTATTATTAATAACCTAGAGTATTACAAAGTATCAAAATTATTTTTCCAATAAATATATATATATATATATTATTACTACTAATTTATAGTTTATTATTATTATTATATTATTATTATTATTATTTTATTAATAAAAATATGGGGTATTACAGGTAGTAACATTGATAGTAACATTAGTTGATTGTTACAATATCCTTTATCTATAAATTCTTATAAATTATATTATGTATTACGGGTAATATATACTCAAGCAACATGGGGTAATATATATTTGGGCTTAACATTTCTGCAGCTGCCGTAGACAGTGTTATCTGCAGCTGACACAGAAAAGTGGATCCCACAACTCTAAAAAAATAAAATAGGATCCGGACGCGGATCTTGGCTTGCAGTAGGTGCAGCAGCTGCAGAAATCATTTTGTCTATATATTCAAGTAATATGTACTACCTAAAGTATATAATGTAGTTTATAAACAAAAAATTTATGGGAAAAGTGTTTGTCATTTTAAATGATATAAAGTCATGTCATTTTAAGAGAGAGATAGACACAAAATAATTTTTTTATTTAAAATTTAAATTTTGAAAAAAAACCACCCACTTTCTTTCCCATGATTTTCATTTATTGTGTCTATCTCTCTCTTGAAATGACATAACTTATGTCATTTAAAATGACAAACACCAAACCCAAAATTTATAAATATAAATTTTTCTCATTTTTTATTGATCCAATTTGTTTTAATATTTAAACTAATAATTAATAACATTTCTTAATTAAAAATGATCAAAAAAATTTGATGATGAAAATATAATTACAAACTCAGAAAAATATTTCTTATATTATGTAAGGAATGTCTTCTTATATTGTGACTATTTAATTTACTTGTAAATTTTTTTTTATAATAAATATAGGACCCACCTCTTATTAAGTCACAATATAAGAAAATATTTCTCATAATATATTGCTAGCATGCTACTCTACCAAAAAAAATAATATAAAAATCGAGTAGAAAAGTATTCAGATGAATCAGATCAAATAACGGGGGAGTGCCGCACAAAGCATATATTGATTTTCGTTGAAGCTGAAATGTATAAAAAGTATATATAACAATTCGCCTTTTTTTAAATACATAAATAAAGTTATTTTGTATTAACTCTCTTTCTATATGCTTTAAACTTTATTAAGTACCAGCACATACACAAATTATTAAAGAGAAATCAGTATCTCAATTTTATCCAAAAGAGTTATCTTATATCATTTTCATATTGAAAATAGTGCCACCATTTTTTTTAATGGGTGGTAAATTTCACTACATCAAATGTCTATAGTACGAGATATTTATGTTATGTCTAGTAACATGAGAAAATTGAATTCCATTATTAAATATGATTTTTATTTTCAGCTGCTTTTTTAAAAAGAAGAAGAAGGAAAAGTCGAGTAAAACTCTTTTTAAAATAATTTTATTCAATGAAGAAAAAATAGATAATGAATTGCTTCTTATCAACTCGGATGTCTAAGGGTCCCTCAAACCCATCACCATCATCTCCAATATTGTTGTTGATGTTTTGATCCTGTGCCACGGAATCCATTAAGGCCTTGGGAAAGCGACGGAGAATGACCGCTGGTGATCAATGACATGGCAGCGTGCGAGAGAAAATTCAACAAATTGGAAAATATGGCATTGGTCACAACCACAAATAGAAAATACCTTGATGAGAGATTGTAGTTTCCCCTCCCCAGTCATCTTATTTCATTGAAGAATCTATACCTAATTAGCCACTTTGCCATTGGTCACTACCACAATTAGAAAAAAGGAGTCCGTGTTGTGAACTCAGAAAAGGAAATAGAGAAGGAAAGTAAATTTTGAGAATTAAATCATATAATCACCAAACAATTTTAACATTATTTTTAATTTTTTTTTTTGGTAATCTTATTTTTTAATTTTTTAACTTTAACTTTAAAATAACTATTAAACTTTAATGAAAATAATAATAAAACCAAGCATTCTCGGAGTTTTCAAATACTTCAGTCCTTAATATTAAATTAAAGTTATAGCCCATGGGCTCAAGGTTGGGAATGCTGAATGCACAATAATTAAACCCATTAAACAAAATGGAGATGAAACCAGTTTTCAAAATTTCTTTCAGGTACAATCCAAGTTTCAAATTACAACACTATCACAATATAACATTTATATATAAAAAAAATAAAAATAAAAATGCCGAAATTGCCGTAACTCAAACAATACATGTAATCTATATGTATCACAAATCACAAGATGTATCCCAAGCATTTCAGCACTCTTCCTGATGCAAAGCCAACCAAGGAATACAATTGCAAAGTTCCTCCCCTTTATGTCAGTCCGTGCCCTAAACAAGGGGCAAGACATATCATCCCAAAGAAAGGCTGCCCTTTTGATCATCTTTCTCCTCCAAACTAGCCATTTCTGATACTTCCTCAATCTCATCATCTTTCTCCTCCAAACTAGCCATTTCTGATACTTCCTCAATCTCAGGGGTAGCATTTACGGGACTATTACTTGTGATTATGCTCTCAGCTGCGGTGGCATTTATGGGACTATTACTTGTGATTATGCTCTCAGCTGCGGTAGCATTTACGGGACTATCACTTGTGATTATGCTCTCAGCTGCAGAAGTGCTAGCATTTTTATCTGCCTCATCATCGTCTGTTTTTGGAGGTTCCATGTTTAGGGGAGTAAGACCAGAGATATGCTCATCCAATTGCTTCGGTTTGTTCAGGGCATGACAGTGCGGGCAGTAGTAAGTGACAAATGGGAAATCCTCCTTCCGAGCTAGACCTGAACGTAAATAAGCAGATAAAAATATATTTTTTCTTGCCATTGTACTCGTCTATTAACATTGATGAATACAGAAAACTAGCACTAGTATAAGTATAATCGTCTCCTTTTTTTTCCAATAAACGCAGAAGGACAAAAGCAGAAAACATCAAATCCAGCCCCCTTACCATTATGCATATGGCAGTTGCCACATATGAGAGCGTAAGACTGCGTTGGATCCTCACCCACAAGCAACGCTGCAATTCGTGCAATCCATCCTCCATCTTGTGTGGTTGAACTTTGAGGTTGGTGATGTTCAACAACAAGAAGCTGATTATACTCAGAAGTCTGAGTTTGATCATTTCCTGCTGAACCAACTAATTGTTGATCAGCAAAATTTGGTGCGTTTGTCCCTGGACTAGTGGATCTAGAGTTAACTTGTTTCCGGTTTCGGAGTCCAGTGGACTGCACAAGTTCAACATCATTGCTCTTCCCCATTGGAGCACTGGGATTGGATTCATCTCCAACGTACACTTTCAAACCAGAATCCGCACCCAACTTAGATGCCAAAACAGTTGCAGCAGCTGCCTTTGCAGCTGGGTCTGGGTCATATCTCTGAGTAGATCATAACATAATACACAATAACATTAAAGTCGGGCAACAAATACCATCAAATGCCGCTCTCAGTAATGCAGTATAAAGCACAGACCTGGGCTTATATCATAATGAAATAAAGGAACTTTGATTCCAGTAGTATGTGATTTAATTCATATGTTCACATTTTTTGCTCTTCCAAAAAAACAAAGAACTGGAATATGAATGTCATGTATAAAAAATTTCAACATAATTGAGAATTAGGAGCTATGTCATCAAACTCTGATAGGATTCCGAAAAATTAAATAATGCACTGTGTCTTTCAACTCAAGATTTTGATATTACTGAAAATTAGCAGTCAGCGTCCCCAAAATGATTTTGTCTGCTCCAAGCAGCATCAAATAAAGGTGTATTGAAAACCATGTAAAAAGCCTGGCTTCAAACAATCACCTGAATGAGCTGTTGAGTAGTGTAATAATTTGTCTTTTCTTTGAGTTCATCAATTTTTGCTTGCCTTTCAGCTCGAAGATTTTCAAGAATTTTCTGGTCCCTGCGATCGCCTATAAAATCACACATTATAAATTAAAATTCCAACAAATATGGGAGTTTTATTTTCATTTGGTATATCAAATTCTAAACTCTAGTTGCCTGTTCAAAAACTGCATTTGGAATCCAATATTGCTCCTTCAAGCATTTTTCTCTACATACAAGTTTCAATTCAGGTGTTTGAACATGAATGCATGAAATTAGGAACTTTAAATGAATTTTACAACCTACAATTCAGCATGTGCAGAATACACCGGAGCTATCAATTTGACAGCATGGAGAAATTATTTCATAAAAATCATTCATCCAGGAGAGTACTAAACCATAGACTTTTCCGCTGGCTCTAACAATTATTGAAGGCATTAGCTCAGAGAAGTTGATATGCAGTTATTGGCAGAAAAACTCACTTTTGAAGCTTTTCCATCCTAACTTGTTGGGAAAAAAAACATAAAGAAAATGGCAGCAATTCTAATGAGACCGATGAACTCAGAACTCTTTCCAATTGTAAACTGTATCATAAATAGGACTTGTATCATAAATAGGACTATGTTATAATCCAATTGCAAGGTATGGGACATGGAGTCCCAAATCAGAAATAAAGGGTTCTGGTGTGGGGTTTATATATCTCTCACAAGGTTCGTATAAATTGGTATACGAGCCTTCCACTATGTCTCCTACCTTACAAGCTAGCTTTTGGAGTGAGGCTCTCCCAAGGTTCATATCAACTGGTATCATAGTTTCCATTATGTCTCCCAATTGCAATCGAGCGGCGCAACTGGTGACGCTGACATTGCAATGTTCACCCTAGTAAAAAACTAGCGCCATGCTAGCCCGAGTGGGCACCGGGGCTGTGGAATGTGTTGGGATGTTACGATCCAGTTGCAAGATATGGGACTTGGAATCCCACATCGAAAATAAAGGGTTCTGGTGTGGGGTTTATATAGATTTTGGGCTTTCCTACTTCACAAGCTACTTTTGGGGAGAAGCTCTCCCAAGGTTCGTATCAGACCACAAGGCGGCATCGGTCGAGAGAATTACAAAATAAAAGTTAGGATTACATTGTTATAGATGACAATTGTCGGTTAAGTAACACTTGTTGAGATATATAGTCCCACATTGGTTGTATGGGCAACTAATGTGAAGTTTATAAGGCCTTGGGCACTCCCACCCTTTGAGCTAACTTTTGGGGTGGTGTATCCCAAGGTTCTTTACATGGTATCAGAGCCTCGTGTCTTGGGTTCAAATCTCGCCGCCCCCCACTTTCTTTCTAGTGGAATTTCTTTCTTTGCACAGGTAGGTGGGCCTGTGCATTGTCCACTCTTCAAGTCCAATGGGCTCTCGTGTGAGGGGGCGTGTTGAGATATATAGTCCCACATTGGTTGTATAGGCAACTAATGCGAAGTTTATAAGACCTTGGGCACTCCCACCCTTTGAGCTAGCTTTTGGAGTGGTGTATCCCAAGGTTCTTTACAACACTTAAGTAAACTAAGTAAACTCAATGACAGTAGAAAAAACTATACATCTGAAGCCTTGATTGTTAAAGAAAGAAATAAAATGTACTCTTGCTTCTGCAAAATATGTATGTAAAGGGTTAAGCTCATGACACTTACACATTCTTGTGAAGCTGATAAATGTTGAATAACCAGCGGATGCTAATGCAGGCAAAAGAAACATTGGCAAAACCCGGATTGCCCTCATTTTCCAATTCATATCCATTGATCTTGTCGTCAGAATAGCATAAACTACAGCAATGACCTGAAAGTTGAAACCATTTTAAGAAAAAATGGAAAAATTTATTAAAATTAAAAAAAGGGAGTTACAGTTTAGTAACTTATTTATGGATAGAGACCAAATAACCGCTTAATTGGTTATTCAGTCAAAGCGAATAACCAAAATGAACTAATAAATTGAATTGAATAACCACTGTGATTGATTATTGGGTCCCTACACCCGTGAAAGTGTAAATAAGTAGCTCTTATGGTCCTAAACAGTAACCCAAAAAAACTCACAGTAAGATAATATTAATTTGCCGGTAGTGGAGTTTAAAATGTTAATTCCTTTAAATATTCACATTGGCAAAGGAAAAACTGAAAGCTTCTCCAGAAACCACTAAAATATCAAGTCTAAAGGACAAAATATGATAAACTGAAATACATGTCAATCTAACAATGAAATGTAGAACGGAATGAATTATTAACAACAAAATGTTCAGTGGGAGTATAATTGACCATTATATTAAAAATATACCTCACCTCAAACATAACAGCAAGTACAATAACATTCCGGGATATCCGCCTACAGGATCGGGATCTCCTGCTCATTCTAGCAATAACTGCAGCTTCCTCTTTAGAAATGTATTGGAGTCTCTTCTCAAAATCATCACCGTGTAACCTAAATATTCCATTCCAAATTCGGGAAATAAATCCCTTGCGCTTCTTCTTCCCATTACCAGCAGCAGCAGTAGGACTTGTCTCTTTCTTTTCACCTTCCACAACTGCCTTTTCATCAGCCATCCCCCTTTGTTTCCTGGCAAAGCAAGTGTAAGTCATGAAATAGCAGATCAATCACACTCGCAAGAAAACAAAATCTCCATGTGGTATGCATACATACATACATACATACATACACACATATGTTACAATTAGGGCATTCAATAACTATTAACCACAGTATACACAGATTGCTGTAAGTGCACAAATTTCACATTTGGCTAGAACAATTCAGTAACTAATCCACTCAACTAACAGGTAACACGTGCAATTGAGGGCATGAAGATTGAACAAGAGCAATAATATTCGGAGAATTCATGGTATATAATGTCAATTAAGAAATTTCTTCCGTAAATTGAATAATCAGAAAAAAGTCAAGAATATTGCGAAAAAAAGGTTATGAGGCTGAATAAAAGAAAATGAAAGTATGAGATCAACGAAGGAAGAACGTGAATCCGAGAAATATACCTCCTCCTCTGCTTGATCTTATGTGTTACTTAAGATCTCACAAGTATCAGAGACGATTGGATTGGATTGGAGGAGAAGGAAGCAACGGGATTCAAAATTAGGGAATTGTAGAGTTTTCACACACGATCGATGTAAACACGCAGCACGAGGGTTGTAAATTGCAATCTTAGAACAAATACTTCAATGCCACTCAATCCCCGTACCAATTTTTCACCGCCCAAAGAAATGGTATCAGAAAACCATATATGACAGGCGAGGTTTATAAATTATAAGTTTATAACCAATGAAACCGAGAAATCCCACGATACCTTAATCATTGTTGTAGCATGGTATAATGTTTTTTTTTTTTTTGATAACATAGCATGGTATAATGTTACATATAAAAAAAGGGTTTATCATCTATATGACCACAAAAATTTTCCTACACACACAACATTTTGTGGGGCCCACAGTAAAAAAAAAAAAAACTTCGGCACGCAAAACGAATCTCTATAAAATAACACAATCACTTTTCCTACAACATAACTCTTATAAAACCCATAAAAAAAAACTTTATTAATCTCATGTTGGAGATAATAGACACAATTACGTGTGAGACTTATTTACTATAGAAAAATAAAATAAAAAAGTAATACCAAAATCAATGTATGTGAAGAGAAAAATACTCTCCTATAAGATAAGAATATATTTTCTCATAAAAAAATAATACAGGTTTTCTTTTTCTACAAATTTTCCTTACATGTTCGATCAATTTAATTTTTTTTTTTTGCTGCTATTGATTTGATGGTAACCAAATAAATATTAAGAGCGAGAAGCCTAAATGATTATAAGTATGTATCACATTTCCCATTTTATAATCACATTGTCGCTTCAATTTTAAAAGAGTAAATACATCTTTTGGTCCTCAGCAAATTTTACGATGCCGCTTTAGTCCCTAGCAAATAAAAAGGCCGATCGTGGTCCCTAAAAAATTTAAAATGGATCCATTTTAGTCCTTTTAGGGACTAATACGAGTCTTTTTTGAATTTGTGAAGAACCACGATTTCAACTAAATAGATCTATTTTGAATTTTTTAGGAACCACGATGGACATTTTTATTTGCTAGGGACTGAAACGGGCATAATAAAATTTACTGAGGACCAAAAAAGGTATTTACTCATTTTAAAATTTTCACATTTACATGTGTTTTTTCTTACAGATTTTAACTACGTCCCTAAATAAAATTTTATTTCAGTTAAGCCTCCTTAAAATTTGCAGGTCAAAATATTTTCAACAGATTAGTAAAAATAAGAAATCTTATAAGAAATCTCAGTCATTAATTTATTTACATCTAAACTCAATTATATAGAATTATAATTATTAAAATTAAAAGTATAACTTATATATGTATAAAATGATCTTGAAGTTTTTAGGACAACTAACAACAACTAACACAAACAAGTTTTTTATTCATTCTAACACAAAAGTTTTTTATTTTTTATATGTACAATAATTGTAATGTCATTTCCATTATTTAATTATTGTCGTTATTAGGAATATTCATAAATCTTTCCAATTTAATGAAAACTGAAAAATTCAAATAAATTTTAAAAAAGTAAAGTTTAAAATTTTTTATTGAATTGAATCAATTTTAAAACCAATCTAAACTATACTGAATATAAAAAAGAAAACAATGTAACCAGAAACAAGTATCAATGAGAATGAATTTAAATATGAAAGGCTAAATTTCAACAGGATCAAACTTCATCTTTATGACACACTGAAGGGGCAAAGCCTCTAAGACCAAGGGAACAGAACGAGGGAGTGACAACAACCCTATGCTATCATTCAAGGACATTTCTCTTTTCCAAATTTATCTCCTGTTCCATCTTTCACTTCCTCTATAATTGGCTTTTCTTGCACCAAGGGACTTGTCCTCCTTATTGTGTCTAGTAGCTGTTCCAAATTTGAGAGGCACAATTTGACGAATGTATAAATTTCCAGGAAAGTTCCTTTTATCTTTTGGGAGTGTTCGTAACTGTGGCAACCAGTATGCAACATATTCACCTTCTGGGTCATATGTTTGTGCCTAAAAAAAAGAAAGATACCGTCCCATCAATATCAAATTTTAAATTCACACTACTAAAGCCATGTTTCACTTGGATTTTTTCTTTTCTTTTTTTAATATGTACTATGTGACACCATATCAAGTATCCCTCCATTGCGGGCCTTTCAAATTTGAAGATCGTACACTCAACCTGAAAGAAGCAACCTTAAAGCTACAAGTGTTTGTTATGATTGTGTTATATAAGTAAAACCATTCATAAACATTCACTAAGATTTTAGGAGAATTAGTATATGACATGGTATTAAAGTCTTTATGACCAAGTGATCACAATTTCTATATTTAAGTTAAATATCACCTAAAGAGCTCTAGTTTGAAGAGGTGTATTAGATATTAAATCATTCATAAGCCACCATCTAACAACATTAACAAGATAAAATTTAAGAGAAGTTAGTCTACGTAAGATTATAATGACACTATAACTCCTTAAACCCGACAAAGCACCCAGATCAGACGCCTTTCAGGAATCAACAACACCCAGTACACACTACTTTTAGAGTTATATCATTTGCTAGTGAAGGTGAGGATCACTTTGGTTAAATCTTGCGTTCTGAAACATTGAAATTCGTTATAGCCACTTACTTGTTTTGGGATGCTGAAATAACGGTCTTCTCTGGGATCATTCCCAACACCTAACAGAAAAACAGCAAGGATTATAGTCTTCATTTGTTTAGAAATTTATGAACTGAACAGTAATGTGGGCATGGCATATTATGAAATGTGTGTTTTCTTTTCAGTAATCATCAGGTAGCTACCTACATTTGACAGCAGTCTAATGTATCCGTTTCTTCTATTTTCTCTGTGGCAATCATAACTCCTTAATTAATAATATACACAAATACAAACAACAAATCTCCAACTAGCAACAGAATCTGAGTGGCCCAAACAAGGAACAGTGACCAAAATGCCACAGTTCACCAAGTTTTTTACCTAAATACCACACGAACAGTGTTATTTCCCAATCTGACACGGAGGCAAGTTCGCTACCCGGTGTAGCGAACTCGGTTTGCTGACGTATCACGTTTCTAGTGGACACAAAGTTCGCTACACGGGGTAGCGAACTCCCGACTTTTTTTTTTTTTTTTTAACTTGGTACTTGTTATCCACTAGAAATGTGACACGTCAGCAAACTGAGTTCGCTGTACCTGGTAGCGAACTTACCCCCGTGGCAGATTGAAAAATAACACTGTTTGCGTGGCATTTAGGTAAAAAACTTGGTGAACAGTGACATTTTGGTCGGTGTTCCCCCAAATAATACTATTGATGAACTTGGCCATGTTAACAAATTATGCAATGCCTGAATTAGTTATTTCACATTGCAGTACTACTACAGCCTGGTAGTTTCCAGGGCACACACTGGCTTACAGGATTACACTGGATATCAAAATAAAAAATTTTAAATTAAAAAATAAAGATAAATAATTTGGAAAATGCAGGCTTACTTCTCCATGCACTCTTGCACAGTCATGCATTAGTTGATTAGCATAGTTATCCAAATATATTTACCTGATCCATAAGTCCAGTTTCCATAATTAGAACATGGATCATAATCCAAAAGACATGTCTCAAACCATTCTGCTCCCATACGCCAATCTATGCCCATATCACGAACGAGAAAAGAACACACAATCTGTCAAAAAAGGTAATCAAGGATCCTGCTTCAGTTACAAAAGGTGTGTTCTAAATCTCAGAAAAATATAATACTATCTAATTTGATTCATGAATCATATTGTATCACTTTCTAAAAATTATTATACTGTAGAAATACAATCATGAACTCTGGTTCACCTGTCGTCCCCGGTTCGACATAAACCCTGTAGTTGATAGTTCTATCATGTTGGCATCTATCAAAGGATACCTAAAGATTTGTGCCAAAAAAAAAAAAAAAGAGTTGAAGAAAATGTCAATTTACTTTGGAAATACACATGTAGATGGTCTGACTTTTCAGTACATGAATGAATAGCCTATGTCTCGACAGAGAAGTGGAGGGATGAAAAAAGGTTTAAAATTATGTATAGCTCTTTTATCATATTAAACTTTTTTTCTTAAATATTTTCTTTTATAACTTCTTTTTATATTTTACTTGAATTTAAAAATACTCATAATCATAATTTATGAAGAAGTACTTGAAAGTTGTATTAAAACAAATTAAACGAGAAAATTCTGTAACACACTGATAGAATCTGTACCCTGTACGACCATCCCTCCAGGATTCAAACAAATTCTTGTCTTGGCTCCAATTGTGCTGAACTTTCCTTGGGCCACCTGAAAAGAAAAACTGATTATAAGAATGTAATCTGAACAAATTGATTTTAACAAAAAAAAGTTCTGTAGAGATGCATTTTCTGACTTGCACTTCACAACTGCTATCTATGGATAACACACCATAATAAAAACAGCAGAAGTTATAAACCATAACTCTATAAAATACCAGAGGCATCAAAGACTTCAACCAATCCATACCTAAATGGAAAATTGAATTCCCATATTTCATTGATAAAAACCTAAAGTAATCCCTCCATATCAACTCGAACAAAACCCTGAAAAAATTAAGATGGGTTCAAGAGAAAAACCAAAAAGAGAGTAAGTAAGACGTCAAACCTGTTCTCTTTTAACTCTGTCTAATATTACTGAAATTTCATGAAGATATAAAAGTTGTCATAGATCACAGGACTAAGCTTTTCTCCTTGTATTTCTTTTTCTTCCTTAAGCTATGCCATCAAAAAATATGATATAGATACATATAAATAAGAAAGATGAAGTATTACCAGTAGGTAGAATTATTTGCTAGTCTTTCATTCTCATATCTCTTCACCTATAAAGATCAATCTGAGCTTTGTCAAAGCAGTCTCATTTTTAAGATATCATGTAATGCACAAAACAGAAACCATTGCCAACTTTAACCTCTTCATGTATGAAACGAGGAGACAAGCTTCCCGAGGCAAGCCATGGTGAGAATTTAGTAGAATAATCAGGCCCTAACATCCCATTTCTGGTCTCTTTGTATACCTTTAGCAAATCCTACATATGTTCAATCTAAAGAGTGCATTAGATAACCAAACAAAGGCTGCCATTATTTTTTCGAAAATGCTATATTTTAGGTCTTAAAAATCTTACTAGAGTCCTGAATGTAATGAATTTATTCTTAATTTGAACCTCTTCTATTGCAAACCCATCACATCAAGTTATATATATGGTAAGTTGGTAACACTTTCATTTCATGATGCATGTGATATACACTCAATTCATAAATAGAAGATTTTTCATTATCAAAGATCACTTCTGAACCTTCAGTTCCCCCAACAAATAAAAGATCAATCTCCAACTAACCAATTATTTACAGAATAGCCAAATGCAGCAACATTGACCTGACATAAATTGGATCTACATTGTCAATTTGAGATAACCTCTGAGTCTGACCTTTTTCCAAAAGTATTCATATACTCTGCTCAATGCTGCAGTTTCACCCCCCACAAATTTCATCCCCTTGCTAACCTACATCAAGAGGAAGAAAATAAAGGAAAGAACAACATATATTATCTTTTCATAGTTGAGTTCAAAAGAGTCAAGTTTCTTGTAAAAGCATGTAGAAATCTTGAAGAATGTCTACAAATAGTTATGATAAAACCTACATTCTGTGAACAAAGTCCCAGCTGCTCCAACGAAGGAAGGCAACCCCAATCCTCAATTTGGGGAGGAGGTCCAAGAGATGCTGGAAGTTTGATGCACGGGCGTATGGTACATTTGGCTTCAACAATCTGCAAGTTTAGATCCCATTTGCAATTGCATGTATAAGTAGCATTGAAAACCACTTCTAATCAGATATATCTACATACAAATGTCAATTGAAAATATCATACCTTACGAAATTGAGTATACACATCTGGCAAACAAGTAGCATCAAAAGAGAGGTCATCAAGGTGGTACATGGTGGTACCCCAAATAAATTGTAACTTGGGGACATTGTTTGAAATTGTCACACCATTGGATTCCTTAGGTGGTATTACCACTTGTTGAAGACCTCTCATAACTGACCTTTCAACATTCAGCTCCTCGCTGCAAGTTTCTTTCTGCGCGTACACCTGACGAAGTCATATTCATTAATAAACCTTATAGCTTCAATTGTCAGAAAAGCTTGAAATTCCATCAATTAGAACTCGTTTATCAAACAGGTTTTCAATTCAAAGACTTACTGTATGAGCTTCAAAAGCTTTTGCCAGAGAAGGAAGAACATCTTCAGGTTTCCCATGTTGAATAAGCAAATTAAGTCCCCGTTTCATCAAATTCTTCCTCAAATCAGCCAAGCATTCAAGCAGAAATTGTGCTCTCAATGCTGCCAAATAAACCATACCACAATGAAGACAGAAGAGGTAGTGAAGTTATACAATATAAAACCAAAAAGACTTTTTAAAATCCAAATGCTAATTAAACATTCACTAAATAACTAATTCATCCAAAAGCTCAAGCGATTAAGTGAAGAACAATGTTGAGATATATAAAGCCATTAATGTAGCCTCACCCAACAGCTTAAGCTTTTGGATTGAATTGGTTCTTTACATGGTATCAGAGCCTCGGTGTACCGGGTTCGATCCTCATCGTCCCCCACTTTCTTTCTAATGGAATTTCTTTCTTCGCACAGGTAAGTGGGTCTGTGCATCGTCCACCCTTCAAGCCCAGTGGGCTCTCGTGTAATATATATAAAATCATTAATATAGCCTTACCCAACAGCTTAAGCTTTTGGGTTGAATTGGTTCTTTACAAATTATCAATGATTTTATATTATATTTCTCTAACAAACTACTCATGCAAGAGCAGGCGGCCATTTCTTTTAGTTTTACATTTTGCTGATTTAATTTCACTAGAAAATGAAGCTGTGAGGATCAAACTCACTCGACAAGTAAAGAGCCAATTCACCAAAAGTTTAAGCCATTAAGTGAAGGCTCATAATCTTATATTATATCTCTCTAACAACTCCCTTCTTATATTCTAAGAGCTACCACTTTATTTAAACTCCCCAAAAAATGCACTGAAGTTATGTGGGGGATGCATAACACCAACAATATCAGGAAGCTCAAAAAGGACATAAAAGAGAAAGGTGAATATGAATTCAAACAATACCACCGGTTTTTGGAAATCCAAAATGATAAGTGGTCGCAAAGAGTCGAGGATCAACACAGTAGACAGGCAATACAGTTTCGGAGGAAAGCCATGCCTTATAGAGAGCCTCATTATCCAATACTCTGAGATCGTTCCTAAACCAGACAATGGCTGTTCCTTTGCCACTCCTCTTGTTGTTGGACATGTACCTTCGAAATGTCTGGTCAGCCACAAGGTTCATGTCGTTAGCATCTTGTTCTGGCACCCGGTATATTGATGAAGAGGACGAGACAGATACGGGTTGGGATTTGGCGCACAAGTTCATGGCTCGGAAGCGATTTGGGAGCAGAATTCTTGTTGTTGAGTTTGATAAGATTAACGTTAATGTGAACTTGGATGAATTAATGGTGGCTTTTGGAGAAAGGAATGGAAGTGTCGTGTTAAGGAAAACGGCCATGTACAATGTTAGATAGATTTTGCATAGGGTGAAAGGAAAAGACAGATAAAGACACATCATGCAGTTAGAAGTATGACACGTGGACAACAAAACTAGGTTCGACGTGGCAAATTGCTATCCTATCCTATTGATGTACTTATTCCTACATCAAATTGGTAGCTTATTTTGTTTTGGTCAGGAAAGTGGTAATTTCATTTTTCAACTTTGTATACTTTATTTTCAATATACGTGTAATTCTGTTGATGAAAAAGGAAAAAAAAAAAAAAGATGGAAAAAAAATCTTTCATAACAGAAAAGCAAAAAATAGTAATATAAAACAGTTAAATATAAGAATAACAGCTAGAATAATATCGTTTGATGGAGTGCATGTCTTGAGTACCTACTCTTATCAGGTGATTTGGTAAAGGAAAAAATATATTTTACGAGGGAATCATAATTATTGAAAATATTATGGGAAAGTAGATTTTCTGAAAAAATTAAAATATATATATATATATATATATATATATATATATATATATATATATATTTATATTTGATAGGCCAAAATATTATCAGAAAAAATGGTTTAAGTTTCATGAGTCTATTTTTGGTTGGTGATAAAATATGATTGAAAAAATGGATTGTGTAACACCCCAAATTCTAACAATTTATAATAGCATAAATAATTTCAATAATTTTTGTAAATAACAACGGAAGTTCAAAATAATCAAATTTGGAAAGTGTTACCGCCGCACTTGTACTATGGACAGGTGCAAGGCTAAATTTATTACATTAAAAATAAAACCAAAGACTAAAGTTTAAATAAAGGAAATATGTCTTATGCATTTATTTAAATCTCATAAAATTTCTAAACTTAGAAACTAGCTAGAAATATAATATCCGAGTCGTGATCCTCGCTGCCCACAGCTAGCCCCATCCTTTGCAACATGCTTCACTGAAAATCTGCTCCCCCGTGAAGGATCATTGCAGTTAAACAAACACAAAAGTCAGCAAAGCTGGTAATCCAAATCCGATGTACAAAAATAAATAAATAAATAAATAAACAAAAAGAATGTAACTCATGATAATCCAATAAAATAATATAACTCAAAAATTCGAATCAAATGTCAACTTGTTATTAATTATATTAATATTTATTTAATCCATTTAGTCTATTTAGTGAGAAGAGAACCATGGTAGACCCGGGGAACCCTGCCAGTCTACCTTGTGACCCGGGAAACCCTGCCAGTCACAAACAAATCACTTTGGCCATAATCAATTCACATCTTCCTAGTGTGCACACCTCTTCCCAAAGTTGCTACTAGTATCCCGGGGAACCCTGCCAGACACCACTTTGGGAAGAACGGATATAATCATTTTCACATCAGTTTCACATCGGAGGCATAAAGCCCAAAAGTTGTGTTCATCACTTTGGGAGGTACCATCCCAAAGCTATCCTCCCACTATTAATTTTTTTTTTATACAAACATAACAAAATTCCTCAATTTATTTCAAATATATGTAATATCTATTTTCTGCAACTAACAATTAATTTCTAATTTATCAAAACATATATATATTTTAGTGCCTCAATTTATAAAATAAAGCACAGGATTCAAAAGAAACAATTGTAACTAACAACATATACTGAAAGCATGTATTTGAAATAGGTTGATCACGTAAACCGAGAAAAATATCATTGCAAATATATGCATATAAGCAAAAGTGAAGGACATATTAATTTGCAAATTGAAAGAAACCAATCAGGCATCTAATTTAATGGAAAGTGACGCACAAAAATCGAGAAGGAGAGTTTTGTTTTGTGAACAATGTTTACATATATAAAAGCAACGACAATTTGAATTCAATTTAAAGAATTGCACAGAAACCGAAAAAAATTTGCAGCGAGGTGTACACATGCAGTTCCGAGTTCGGCAGAAGCAAATTGAGAAAACATTTAGCAGATAGTAATTATTAACAAAATCGAATTTATAAGGAACGTAATTATATATACAGGTCAACACAATTATCTGGGATTAGGATTACATGCAATATATTTCATATAAGATAGCCCTATGATATATTTAGGATCATAATTATCCTATCAAAATTCATATAAAATTAACATAACACTTCTAAGGATTAGGATTACACATACCAAATTTGACATAAAATATAATCTAAAAATACCTAGGGATTAGGATTACCTGGTCTCCGTTTTCGCTAACTTTTAGAAGAAAAGAGTAATTTGGGGCAGAGAACCGGTTGATAAAAAAATATAAAGATTGAAAATAATTAAAATAAACTTTTTGGAGTGAGAAGAGAAAAAGAGTAGTAGAGGAGAGTGAATTGGTTTGGTTAGGCTAGGTCTCTATTCATAGTTGAAGTTTAGGACTTATACATTACTGACTCAATGCTGACTCATCATATCTAAACAATTTATGTTTGTTGAGTCATCATATCTAAACAATTTATGTTTGTTGACTCATCCTAATCCAATCAAACATTACCAATCAAATAATCAAACATTAAAGCATAATGATCAATTAAATAATAACAATTTATCACCCATTATTATTATTACTAATTTATAATTTATTACTATTATTAATTTATTGTATTATAAATTACTATTATTTTTCTGGGATATTACAGATTGAAAGTACAAAAATAACCTTGGAGGGATTTTTTATCCACAATTTCGCACCCAATTTGAGAAATATTTTTGTTCACATTTTTACACCCAAATTTTTGGTTTGCTGGCAAAATCAGAATATCACCCTCTAAGTCGTATTCTGCCTTCAATTTTACACACAAATCACATTCTCATGTGAATAAATTTCCTAGGCAATTTTTGTTCAAATCCCTATCAAACATAGTCTCTTTTGAATCCCATCCCCACTTCTTAGGCAACAAAAAAAGAATTCCTACCAAATACCCCTTATATTAAAAATAGGAAAAAATGGGATAAAGTGAGAATAAGTGAATATCGATAAAAAAAATGGGTAAAGTGATAAAATATTGCTGGAAAATGAATTGAAAATACAAAAATAACCCTTGAGGGATATTTTTGTCCACAATTTCGCACCCAATTTGAGGGATATTTTTTTCTATATTTTTGCACTCAAATTTTTGATTGCCGGCAAAATCAGAATATAACTCTCAAAGTGGTATTCTGCCTTCGATTTTACACACAAATCACATTTTCATGGAAACAAATTTCGTAGGCAAATTTTTTTCAAATCCCTACCAAACATGGTCTCTCTTGAATCCCATCTCCACTTCCCTAAGCAACAAAATAAAATTTTCCTACCAAATATCCTTTATATTAAAACTAGGGGAAAATGGGATAAAGAGTGAATATCGATAAAAAAAAATTGGTAAAGTGGTAAAAGTTATTTATACTACTTTTTCTAAATTTAATTAAAAATGTATTGAACTTTCAGTAACGCAGGATTATAGAAGAAATTTTCCATGGACAAATGCTAATAGCTAGAAATTATAAGTAAATAAGCTTTATGTACGAGACCGTATTTTTAAGTAAATACCTTATTAATAATTATCTTGATAGATTTATGGATCCGATTAATGTATTAAAAAAATAATATGTAGCATAATAAAAACAAAATTGAACTTTTATTTAAATCTTAAAATAATATAAATGCTGAATACAAAATAAATCAAGAAACAACACAATTTTTTAAAAAATTTGTTATCCATTACTAAGTCACAAATTATTGCCTATAATATAAAAAAATTACCAATTTAATATCAACAAATCCCAATTCTAGAGACAAAATCTGGTATAATGGTTTCATCAATTATATGAGTTATTATTATTAATTTTAAAAATCCATAAAATTAGCACTAGAATATTAAATAGGATGATTAAAATTAAAGACAATAATAACACCGACGCAGACATAACTATACATTACAAGCGTTAGTTAATATCTTGCGTTACGGACACATGGCACAACTATATACGACATGCATTAATTAATGTCTTGTTTTAAGAATGAGGTCTCCAGAAAGACCAATCACTTATCACGGACTACGGAATAGTGTGTTAGGTTTAGATTTTGATAAAATTAATTCTAAAAATAGTGAACTGAGTTTTAAAAACTATGGGAAAAGTATTTATGATTTTAAATGATATAAAATTATGTTATTTGTAATGAAATTATATCGTTTTGATATATTTTTATATTTTTTCCATCATTTTTTTTTAATTTTATAAAAAGAAAAAATGACAAAATACATTAAAATAATGTAGTTTTATTAAAAATAACACAAAATTATATTATTTAGAATGATAAACACTTCTCCAACAGAAAATATCTTAAAAAATGGTGTAAAAGAATGAAAAAGTGTTTGTCATTTAAAATGACATAAAATTATGTCATTTTAAGAGAGAGATAGACATAAAATAATATTTTCTATTTAAAATTTAAATTAAAAAAAAACAGTTTTTTCTCTATAATTTTCATTCCTTGTGTCTATCTCTATCCTAAAATGATATAATTTATGTCATTTAAAATAACAAACATCAATCTCGTAAAAGAATTAATATTTTTGTTCACGAGTCATTTTTTCGCTGTACAAATAATCTATAATAAAAAAAATGGCGTTGGGCCTATTTGGGTAGGAAATAGATCCTCTAATCTGTGAAAAAACATGATATGGTCATATGGGAAGATCATAATCATACAAAGATAAATCAACAGTTATAATTTCGTAACTACCTATTTTATCATTTTTTTCTCTCTTCCTTTTTTACCATTAATCTACCTTTGTATGGTTATGATTCTTCAGATTACATGATCACTTGAATTTTCACGATCCAGATCCATTTGGGTCATAGCCCAGTCATGTAAGGAAATATTAATATTGGCGCGGCTTCAGTTACATGTCCCTGTCCCTGAAGAGAAGACGGTTCCATTTGTTTCTAGAATATATACGCCAACCGTCTTCTCCTTCTACCGGACATTATTTACAATTATCACAGGGACAACGCTTTCTGATCGTCGATTTGATTGAATTCCTGACACTCTTGATTGTTGATCGTTGATTTATGTTCTGAATCTGATCGTGAATAATAAGATGTCGGCGTACGACGGCGTTGTGGTTGGGAAATTGAAGCTGAAGGGGGAAACCATTGGATGTGAAAGATGGTGGGATTAAGAAGAAGAAGAAAATGAAGAAACACCATAATAAAAGTTACCATCACTTGTCTGAGGCCAATTCAGGTGAACATAATACTCCTTTTTTTTTCTTTTTTTTGAGATGATATGCTTAATTAAGAATAATATGCTTAATAACAAGTATAATATGCTTAATTATACTTGTAATTATACTCGTTATTACATTTTGCACACATTCCATTCTTTTTGATCATATTACTGTAGAAACCTAGGGTTTATGACAGTTGAAAACTATGCAGTAGCGTGGCTGTTGATTGTTCTGACTTCTATATAAACTTTCAAAGTTAGGCATGCATGAGATTCCTGCCAAGCTTGTTTTGGGTTTTCTTTAGGAGTGTTCTGGTTAAATTTTGTATGCAAAACGTGTGAGTGGATTCATCATCTTAAATGTTGCAATTGAATAGTGATATGTACTTTGGAAGGATTTATCTGATTCCAATGAGAAGCTCAATAATTGTGGTTTTTTTTTTTTTTTGTCGTCATACTGATTTGATGATTCAAATCTTATGATGTAACAAAAACTTTAGCAGAGATGGTTTGCTCTAAGCATGTCAAACTGTTCATCATGTTCATCTGCAGCAGCTCACCTTGCTCTCTTTTTACAATTTCTGTTGTTAATGGTATTTTCTTCACTTTGGAGATGTTAGGTGGAAACATGTTGTCAACGGACCACCAAGAAGATAGCATAATGAGGCTGACAAGTACGATGGCAGAGGAAACGGTGAATCATATTTTGACATTCTAAATATCTTACAATAAGATCTACGTCCTAAACTATTTCCCATCAGTACAATACATATATTACATTCCTAACTACTTAAAGTTACAGATTCATACAATACATAAGTCTCATTTAGTCTAGTTTATATGTTAAGTTTCCACATTTTCTAAATAAAATATAGCTACTACTCCTTGATTTCCCATTACTATATAGAATTCTAAGCGGTTATCGTAGAGGTAAATAGTAATTGTTCATCCCTCACCAGTTAAGCATAAGCTAGGGATGATGTTTCTCTAGAAAGCTTAGCATAAACATCATGCCTAGTTTATGCTTAACTGGTGAAGGATGAGCAATTACTATTTACCTCTATCATCGCTCAGAATTCTATATAGTAATGGAAAATTAAGGAGTAGTAGCTATATTTTAGTTAGATAGTGTGGAAACTTATATATATAGATTAGACTAAATGAGACTCATGTAGTGTATAAATTTTTAACTGTTAAGTAGTTAGGAAACACCAGCTGAGAGGCGATCTCTCCTGCAGACACAGAAACTTGAGCTTAAAAGGCTAGCAAAGATGGCGAGCAGGTCTTATCGAGATAGGATTCAGGAATTCAATCAATATATGGCCAATCTTAGTGAGCATTATTATGATATTCCGAAAGTGGGGCCTGGCTAACCCAAGCACTCTGCCCTACTTATTTTGATTCTATTTGGTGATGTATTGTAATGTTACACTGGCACAACCTTTATTTGAAAAATCTGATTGGTTTTTGAGAATGCGAAAATACATGGATTTGGAATAATGACTTCAAAATAAAGGTTGTCAATTTGCTTCCTTAACCCTTCTCACAAAATTTTTGGTTCGGCCATTCTGGCTGACTATTCTTAAAGGAAAGAAGTTGATTTCTTATTACATTACGACTGTCATTTATTCTATATTAAACAAATTTAAAGGAGAAAAAAAAAATTGTTTATGGTTATAAAAAGAGGTTTTAAAAATTCTGTTTGGAAAATTAGGGCCATTTAAACTCTGTAAGCCGTGACTGGTTCACACATTTTAACTGATTCGTGACCATTTTAATTTTGCAATTTTGATTTGTGATTATTTTTTGTAAGTTAAGTACTTTTGGTTATTATTAATGTTAATCCATTAAGTGTTAATTTCTACTTAAGTCAGTGTTAAGTAACATGTTAGTATTTAACAGGTAATAGATCTATGATAACATAAGAAACTAAAAATATTATTTTAAAAAGGGGACTGTTATATTTATTATTATTTTAGGTTTATTATCGTTATTATCTGATTAATTATCGTTGGATTAATTAAAAATCAATAACACTTATTTTTATTTTATTTTTTAACCGTTAATTTTAAATTAATTTAATGTGTTAATCAAACAGTAAGGGTAATAAAAATGATCATAAGAGATTGTAAGAAAAGAAAAAAATTAATATAACTTTTCTCTATTTATAAAATCTAAAATCATATTTATGCTAAGAATTAAGATTTTAACTACTATGCATGGTTCATTGGAATTTTATTGTACAATGGCAATTGCTTACATCTAGATTAATTTCGTAGCAGACAAGACATGTACGAGAATATTAGGTGATCTAAAAAAATAATAAAAATGCAAAAAGAGAAATTATCATGCTATTTATTAAGACAGTTCCACTAAAATTGTGAGAAAGAAAGAGAATAGTTTGGGGGAGTGAGTGAGGTGTCAAGAACACCGGAGTTTGCTGAACTCTCTTCAATTCTGTTGGCAGTCCTGAGACTGAGACATGCGTATCAGATATCACTTTCCAATGAATCTACACTCTGCTTTTTCATTCTTTCCAAATCTCTACTCATACACACTGCATTGCTTTTTTCAAAACCAATATATCATTCTATATTCAAGTCTGAATATTTTATTTATTTATCTTTCTGGGATCTTGGGGCCTTTCTTCATTGGATCACAGGCATTGCCACTACCCCTCTTAAGTAATTGGAATATTTAGATGTGTATTTTAACGCCTAGTGTTTATCTTTCTAGTCTTGTTGTTTATTCATGTTCTCGGAGGAGGCATTGTATAAGATCCAAGTCATGTTTATTAATTTATTGTTGATAAGAATAAATTATGTTAACATGTTCCTTAAGTTTTTATTCATGCACGAATCACTTATGTCTTATGTTTTGTTCTTTCCCATGTACAATGACAGTGAGACAGCATTGAATATAAACAAGTTCATACATGTCTGTCTTGGGAAGCTGCTTAAATGAAGAGAGTAAAGCTTGCACGGCCACAAGGCATTAGAAATCTTCTGATGATGGTAGTGCCAAGAAAGCAATTACTAAAGAGGCCTACTTGGATCATTGTATTGGTTTCTGTGGTGTTCCTTATTATGATTGCTTCATATGTTTATCGACCAACAAGCCCGGCAAGATGCTATTTCTTTTCCTCTCGAGGTTGTCACGCATATGATTTGCATCCAAGTGATGATTTTTCCAGGGAACTAACTGATGAAGAAATTGAATCTCGGGTTGTTATTAAGGAGTTGCTCAAGTTTCATGATGTTCAAACAAAGACCCCCAAAGTTGCATTTTTGTTTATGACTCCAGGTTCACTGCCTTTCGAGAGACTCTGGCACATGTTCTTTCAAGTATGGTATTACCTATTCTATAAACTTTCTTTTTTTATGTTCTTTTACTAGTATGAATGCTATCTTTTATTTTTTATTTTTTATTTTATTTTTTCAAGTTTATAGTATACGTTGTGTTTATGGGGTTCTTCACAGTAATATTTATGCAGATATAGCTGCTGATATGCTATGGTTTAAGTCATTGTCATCCTTTCTCAGTAAGAGTATTAGATTTGTTACTTTAGAAATGAGAGATAAGTGAGCTACAAAAGGGTGGAATTGGAGTAGTAAAGGATTGTTTCATGTTATAACTGTTATTTTCTTAGTTATGAATATGTGTAAGAAAACGAGTGCCTTATACAGATAAGAGGATATGTTAGTGGACAAGACTGATGGATGGAATCTGATTATATTTCCAATCATCCTTTGGCGGAGATTTTCTTAATTTTCAAGGAAAAAGGATACTATGAACTATGAAGGAATGAACAATGGCTGTGAAAGAATAGTGGGGGGAAATATGCGGTAGATCATATTGAACCATTTATTAGATAACCATTTGGAAAAGTAAACTCCATTTTACTATCAAGGAGTAAGAATTTGTCACTATTGTACTTCTGTCCAAGGGGATGTGGAGTCAGAGGTTGCTCATTCAGCCATATGCTCATGATGCTATGTGAAATTCTCAGTTCATGCATATTAAACATCTAGTGAATTTTATACATGAAAGGAGAAGTAGTAGAAGAGGTCTAAAAGATTGTGACATAATTATGGACTAAAAATCTTTTTTAATTTGATCAGTTTTCTAACGCTTATATTGGGTGAAGACTTTTCCATCAAGGAGGGTTGGTAATTTAAGTTAACACTACAGTTCCTACTGAAAAGGCAGTGTTTATTTACTCTCTTGAAGCATTTGATGTATCTGGTTTGAAGAGTGAGGAAGGATGAGAATAGATGTATTGTGATTTTGTTTGATTAAAAGATAAGTGCATATTTCATATATTTGATGAATATACCGTTCATGTTGTATTATAAAGGAAATTGATTGCAATTAACTGCTCTTTTTGCAGTCATATTCCACATCTTTTAAAATGTTTGACAACTCATGTGTTGTTAAACTCATTAAATAATGTGACAATACATAATTAGATTATAGTGTAAGTAAAACTTTATAATAAAATTTCTGTTTACCACCCGCTCTGTCATCATAGAGAAAGTCTGTAGGTATTTAATATCAAATGATAAAATCTGTTTGCAAGAATACTTTTTTTGCAAGTGGATGACAAATTATGCATGGAACTTATATACAATGACTACTTATTAAGTACATTTACTTTGAGAAGATGTTTAAGAGCCATATTTATGTAACAGAAATTTAGTTCCCTTTTATTTGATCTTTACTTATAACAAAACAAAATGCAGGGGCACGAGGGCAAATTCTCTATTTATGTACATGCATCGAGGGAAAAACCAGTGCATGTTAGCCGTTATTTTGTTGGTCGAGACATTCACAGTGAACCGGTATGGGGCATAAGGCTATTTTCAAATGACATTTTATATTTGTAACCCATGGTGTTATATGTATTAAATTTACTCTCAGAGAACTTTCATAGGTTAACACTGAATAGCTCACAGTTTTTTGAAATTGTGTATTTAGATTCATATTGCATGAATTTATTGCTTCTGAAAGCAGTTTAAAGAAGGATAACTGCACATTATCCTTAAGCAAGAGGGTGTTGTAAAATGCCCTCAATTAATAAGAAAAGAATTAGATGTTGTAAAAGCATAATGGCTATCATTTATTAAAATTCATATCTTTTTTTTTTTTTATCTTGTAGAAATTATAGGGATCTAGGTAGAGAAAGAGGCAAAGAGAGACAAAAGAGAATATGGATTATATTCTCCATGGGATACAAAAGACAAAGCATTATCCCCAATTTATATTACTATTGGACTCTTCATCAAATGAGAAAAAAAATTAGGAAATATAATTAAATATGAAAACTACTCTTAAGAGATCATTCAATATAATTTAAGATACTCTAAAATACAATAATGACATTTTTCTACATATTCTAACACATTAATGCATCATTTTTCTTCAATTCTTATAATTTTTCTCAAATGTAGGATTACATATTACTTAGCATCCATTCATTTTGCAAACGGTATGCCATTTTTCTTAATATAATATTAACTGATCTGAAATATTCTTACAGGTGAGTTGGGGAAATTTTTCTATGGTTGAGGCAGAAAAGAGACTTTTGGCAAACGCACTTATAGACCCTGATAACCAACATTTTGTCTTGCTGTCTGAAAGGTCAATTTTGTTTTATGGTTTTTCTTTTTATGTAAAGTCATGCTTGGCTTGTGGATTTCATCTAGTCAATAACATCTTCAAATTTTGTTTCAGTTGTATTCCTGTGCGCCACTTTGATTTTGTGTACAACTACTTATTGTTTACAAATGTCAGCTTCATTGAATGGTAAGACATTATACTACAAAAACTACTAATTAGTTGAGGAAATTTTAGAAACTTTTTCCTTTCATTAAACTTTCCTTGCTGCAGATTTGTTAGATGGAAATTAACTAATTTCTCTGTTTTCCCCCCCTTCACTCAAAAAAATAAAAATAAAGCTACTTTGATCCTGGTCCTCATGGAAACGGCAGGTATATAAAGTATATGTTACCTGAAGTAGAAGAGAAGGATTTCCGAAAGGGTTCACAGGTACAGTATAATTTCCTAAAAAGGAAATTTCAGTCTAAGTTTCTCATATTTCAACCAGGCAAAAGTTTTTTTTATTCAGGGTTAACTTTAATAACAATATTCTTTCTTTTGCTCATTCCTCTCCCCTCTAAAATGCAGAATCATTCATTACAGTCAAGATTTGGTTCAAAAATTGGTTTATGTAATAACAATGAAGACATTTAGGAAATCAATGGAAACTTTTTTGGCATGCGGCTGATTTGTGTCATGTTTGTACTGCAGTGGTTCTCAATGAAGCGGCAGCATGCTATTATAGTTATGGCAGACAGTCTCTATTACACAAAATTCAAGCATCACTGCAATGTACTGTGTTACTTATAATTATTTGCTTGATGCCTTTGTTAATTAATGGATTGTACTTTGTTCCTTTCTGTATTCTTCTTATCACCTCTCTTAAGAATGTTAAGAGTTTATAAATGTATGCATTAGTTAATGAAATATGAGGTGTAGGTGATTTCTGGACAAATCTAATCCACTATTTATATTCAAATTCTTTGTCCTCTTTCTTAGAAACTACATTTTTATTCACTAAAAAGAAAAAACAGCAGGACATAACAAGTTTGTAACCAACCCACACATGAGGAAGTTTGCTGGAAATTTATAAAGATTCAATTTGACAAAGATTTCTTGGACTTAATTCTCAGTTGTCAGTAGCATGCATATATCTCTTATCTAGACTCCAGGTTCTTTTGTCATTCTGTTTGTTCAATTTTCTAGCTTTGGTTTTTTACTTTTGCATAATAGTTGATATTTTATCCTCTTAGTCAGTTCTGTACTTGCTGCATCCTGCATCAGTTTTTTAACAAATTTCTGAAAGTAAATGAGAATTTCCTGATAACATGAGTTGAATCTTGTTTGCTGACCAAGTTACAAGAGCATCACTCAATAATATTTTTCCTTCTTTCCTTCTTATCACAGACATAATATGTTTACTGTGTTTGCTGTTAACTCTATTCTTTTAGAAGTTATTGGGAAGAATGGAATCTGTAAAGAAAGCTTCACTAACAAACATCATGCTGTTCATGTTTTAAACTTCTACAGCCAAGAATGGAGGGAGGACGCAACTGCTACTCCGATGAGCATTACTTACCAACCTTTTTTAACGTCAGTGCATCAATCTGACTTCTTCTAGGTGCAAATGATATCGGTCTTTTTCGTTGCTAACTCATTTGGTGTATGTTTAGATGATTGATCCAGGTGGAATTTCAAATTGGTCGGTAACATATGTTGATTGGTCTGAAGGAAAATGGCATCCTAGATCATTCAGTGCTCAGGATATAACTTATGAACTTCTGAAAACCTTAACAGTATGTGACATAAACTTCACTTTCTCTTCCTTCAGTTAGACTATTTTTTAGCAGAAAAGATGTTTCTGTGTTCTTCATGTTTAATCATCAAAGGAACTAGGATGTTCAATGAACTATAAAAGCAATTAGTGACTTGTTCCTTTATGTAGTTTTTTCTTTTGGCATAAATTCAATCCACCCTTGCTGATCACCTAGAAGGGCTATCATATACATTCTTTATCAGATTTCTTTTTTCCCAAGAAAATTATTTTTACATCTAACGCTAACAATTTGTTTGGATGTTCAGTTGTTCACTACAGAAAATATTACACCATGAACCTTAATAGATTGGAAGAGTTACAAAAACAAGAGAGTAAACAAAATGAAAACACAAAATTCACTTACTTTGTGACATTCCTTGTTTAATAATGGGGCAAAATCATCTTACACACGTATAAGAATAATAAGTCTCATATCAAATCTTAATCATTGATTTTCATGCATCTAACTGTTGAGATTTATTAGGTCTCACTCATTAATTAATTTTTAATTTTCAATAAATCTCAACTGTTAGATACACGGAAATCAACGGTTAAGATTTATTATTCTTACACTGGTGTAAGTTGATCCTATCCCTTTAATAATTTCACTTTATTCCCTGTTTTTAACCTTATTACTTCTTAATGTTCAATGAGAGCATTTTTCTACAATTTTAGTTAGTGACATAATTTCATTCACTGCAGTCCATTGATGAAAGTCCACGTATTACAAGTGATGCACAGGTATAAATGGTTCAAACTTCAAAGGGTCCTCCATATTGTGACATTATATCTGTTTCTATTGAAGGAATGAATTATTATTGGTTTTTCACTTTTCAATTCGCAGAGAACAGTGTTGATTACACCTTGCATGTGGAATGGTTCAAAACGACCTTGTTATTTATTTGCCAGGAAGTTTTACCCTGAAACCTTGGATAAATTGATGCTACTTTTCTCTAATTCTACTTCATTTTAAAATATCTCATGTTCATTATCATTCTTTGGAAATCAACAATCCAGAGGCACACCTTCGCTCTTGCACATAACATTTGGTTTTGCGAAGTGCCACAATCCGGAGGCAACTAGATAAAATTCTATAGGAAAAAGACACACGAGCTGATTCTATGGGGCTTGACAAAACTGCTGAGCTTGTCTTGAAGGATATAATTTGCAGTTACTATGTTACCTTTTTTATGATTGTTTATTTTTTATACCATTATAGATTTTCCTCATAGATGAGAATTTTTGGTGTCCTTGATATATAGGCAGGGAAAATGCATTAAATATTACTTGGTGAATTGTTTGTTACTGATGGATCTTTACAATAATTTACAGAAGAAAATTGAATTGATGAGTCAGTATTTTGTTAAAATTATTTGGACAGTGCTAGGAACAGACCGAATGTTTCTGCAGTGTTTAAGTTTTTTTTTTTTTTTTTTGACTAATTTAATGACAGTGGTTAATGGTTCTAATTCTAAGTATGGAGGGGTGAATTTGGATTTGGATTTGGTTAATGTTTGATTTCATGTTATCAAAGAGAAAAGAGAAAGACACAAAAACAAGTTTAATAAGCTCTATACAAACAATGGTGGATTCTATTGTAATCATTTTTTTTAACTTTTAAAAAACATTATTTATGATCTAACTTTTTCTAATTTTTTTTATAGAAACTATATATTTTTTTTTAGTTTCTGAGAGAAGCACTAAAATATTTTTTTTGATATTTTTGAATTTATCTAATCATTACAAAAAAAATTACGCATGGTTTTTTTAAAAAAAAAAATTAAACAAGCACAAACAATTGGACCCTTTGTTTCTTTTTTTTTCTCAGAACATGAGAAGGAACCTGAGAGAATCTAAATTTATTGTAAGACACTTACCAAAAAAAATAAAAAATTATTGTAAGACAATCATTAAATAATCAACTTAATATATTATTTCGATAAAGTAACAAAGAATATACATTTAATAATAATAATAATAGTCTTTTAGCTATGCATTATCACTTTGACAATAATTATCATATATTTATATTTTTAATAATGGAAAACAATAGCGGATGATGGCATAAATTTTTTTGAGTTTCTTGATTCGGTTTGTCCTTTAATATTTTCTCGCTTCTAACAAACAAACGAACCATATATAATAATAATAATATTAATCCTTCATTTTTGTTTTCACCTTCCACCGTTAATATTCTGAAAACATTCTAAGTTGTCCTCTATTTTTATTTTTGCCAATTTTCTAGCTCGAGAACTTTTCTCCGCTCAAACTCGTAAACGCTCAGGTTTTTTAAATCGCGGTAATCAAATCGTAAAATTGATAACCGAATTAACCAAAAATTAAAGAATCAAAAGATCGATAACTGAAAAGTGAAAAAACGAAAAAAAAAAATCACAAAATTTAATTGCATTGAATTGATTTTCGATTTGGTTAGTGAAAATCGACCCAATCCAAACCGATCCAATGATTCACTAATCTTACCATCTACAAACTTAGGACTTTCCTCAATCATAGTCCAAAAATCATATAGCAAAATTCTAATCTCAAGACTCATTAACCCACCCATCATGTTAGAGAAAGTGAGTTGTGTTTGATCTATGTTATGCTTTTTTTGTAAGATACATCATATATTTTTTATTGCATGAGTTATTATTGTACAACAGCTCCTATATAAAATGAAACCTTGGATTACTCCATATTTGCGACAATCACATTGTAAATTTTTTGTTGGAGGTAAAAGATAGAAATTCAACTTTTTGTTGTACTATATTAAAAATTAGATTATCATTTACTTATGTTTCTAAATTGCACAATAATCATCATACAAACTTTACAAAGTCAAGGTATACAAAAGATATGTTATTTACAGAATAATTATCATACAAATTTTAGGCTTTTCAAAAAATCAAAAACTAATACAATCCAAACTGAATAAAATTAGATTCGATTGGATCAGATTTGAAAAAAATCCAAACCAAATGAATGATCAAATCGAAAGAATTGGATTGCATGATTTTTGCTTTCAAAACCGATCCAATCTAGATTGCGAATTCTCCTAAATTTTACCAATGATAGTTAATATGGGATTAATGTCTTGAAGAAATTAAGTTTTCAATTATATTAAATGCACATCTTATAGTCAAATAGCTCAAGCTCAGCTTTATTTAAAACTTAACTTTTCGTTGGGGAAGATCTGAAGATTATGCTTTATTCAATAAAAATATGGTCTTACCAACCATGGCATAATTAATGTCCATTTGAATAAATAAATTCTACGAGTGAATATATGTTAAATATTCTCTCTTAGTAATTGAGCGACTATACAAATATGTTTCTTTTAATAGTTTTTAAAAGAGATGCTAATTTTCTCCTGTATTTCCTTATGCATGAATTATAAACAATGTTAATAAACGCGGCATGTTCATTGAGTGGATCACTGGTTTAACCACAATAAGTATATGCAAATCTATAATTTATATTAAAAATTTGTAAACATACTTAAATATCTTTTAAAAAATTATACCAATTTCAAATATTTTAATATGAAAAATAATAAATCACACGTTACTACTCAACAAAGGATCAAAAAATATATAATGCTTGTGATACTGGTATTTCATGTTCAGTAGACAATATCTCTAGCTATAAATTAAATCGAAATTCCTTGCATAGTACATAACCAAGTCCAAAATAATATTAGTGTTATAGGTACATAACATATGTAAGTCAATAAAAAAGAAATCACTCAAATATTTCAAAAGAAAACAAATCATTTGTGAATTTTAAAATAGGGAAATATTTTTCTTATGTTGTAGAAAAATAATTATCTCATGTTGTAGAAATAAAATTACAAGTGGGACCCACATATAAGAGAAGAGAGAAAAAAAGAGTGGTGGGACCCACTTCTCTTTTGTATGTGTAGGAAAATTATTTTTTTCATGTAAAATGAGATAAATATAACCCTTTTAAAAAAATGATATTCTTTATGATTTTTTATTTTATTTTATGAATTGGGTCGAGTCACTGGTTGAACCGATCGAGTCATCGGTTTTCACCAAAATCGGTCAGGTTGCATCGGTTCCAATGTTTGGCCAATCCGCTACTTCACCTGGACTGGTTATATGACCGGTTTTTCGGTTATGGACCCTCCGGACTGAGCCCATTTTACTACCTCTAACTATCAGCATTTTATATCAACATGTAATAGGTTTTTATATTTATCCACAAAAAAATGGTTCTTATAGTTGCGTGTAGATTATTTTTTTAAAAAAAATTATATGTGCCTCTAATTCGACTTTCAAAGGTGTGTGTATTTGTGACATATATATTAGATTAAGAGTTATTGAATAATTAATAATAATAAATAATTTTTTTTTACAAGGATTCATGTTAGTGCGCTTTATATTCTAACAAACACTTCATAGTTGAAGTTGAATGTGATAATATCAAAATATCATTCATTAGCTTAATGCATAAGTATAAATAATTATTCACAAAATTAATATATATATATAACCATATATTTAACGCATCTTATTTAGTTATTTTTTTGCAAGGATTTATGGCCTTAGTATTTGGAATTTTACAAAATAGTATTTACAAAATTGAAATCAGATTTAGGAAATTAATTATAAAAGATGAAGGGTGAAATTTTAATATGATTATAAAAACGTGTTGGCGGGCGGGACAGGGCAGCCCTCCTGGCCGAACTCATTTTTCTACCTCTAACTGTCAGCATTTTATATCATCATGCAATATATTTTTATATTTATCCATAATAAAAATGTTCTTATAGTTGCGTCTAGATTACTATCCATCTATGTTATCTGTAGTTGTCTCTAAATAGATTTTATGAGGTGTGTGTATTGTGACATATATATTACATGAATAGTGGGCAAATATTTGAGTTAATACGTTTAATATTATAACAAACACTTCATAGAGTTGAAGTTAAATGTGGTAATATCAAAAGACCATTCATTAACTTAATTCTATATATATAAATAATTATTCACAAAATTAATATATATAACACTATAATTTTAATGCATCATATTTAATTATCTTTTGCAAGGATTTGTGGCCTTAGTATTTAAAATTTTACAAATTAGTATTTACAAATTAGTATTTACAAATTTGAAATTAGATTTAGGAATTTTATTATAAAAGAAGAAGGGTGAAATTTTAATTTAATAATAAAGATGTGTTGGCGGGCTAACCCGCCCACCAAACCGGTGGGGCGGGGCTGACCCGTCAGGCCGAGCTCATTTTTGCTACCTCTAACTGTCAACATTTTTTTTTTTTTGATAACATAACTGTCAACATTTTATATCAGTATGTAATAAGATTTTACATTTATCCACCCAAAAAAAGGTTCTTATAATGAAAAGCCAACTACTCATAGTCACTGGGTTGGAAATAACTAATCATAAATAGCATTAAAATAATGATATACTACAAAATATTGAATGGCCATTCCTTTTATATGAGTAATTATTAAGAATAAATAATATTTTTTTGCAAGGAGGTTTTTTGAACTTATTTTTTAAGCTTCTAACAAAATAATCACTTGTTCGCAGTGTTTTAAAAATCGGTTCAGACCAGCCGGGTCGACCCGGGTCTCGATGACCCGGTGGATTCCCCGGTCCGAGTGGTCATTTGGATCGGTTCCGCAGTCGACCCGGTTTGGACCGGTTGACTCGACCGAGACCCGACGACTCGGTGACCCGATTGACCCTCTTTTTTTTTTTTGGTTTTTTTTTTTTGTAGTTGATGAGAACTCTTGAATTAAATCATGTTCATATTTTGTGGTAAATATGATTAATAAGTAAGGTGCAAATAATAAGGTATTTTGAATTAGTGCAATTCGTTTATGTAATTTAGTTGCATCTTATAATGATCTTAATAAGTTTAGTGGGGATAAACACCGATGGTCTCATATCAACGGTTGACACTTTCTCCTTAATGTATATTTCACGCCTACTATTTATTATCATGATTTAATTTATCCGTGTTATGTCAAGACACAAAAGACGCATTTGGCTTACATTGCAATTTTAAAATTTTAATCCAATATTAGGATATGGTCTAGAGCTAGAAGCTTAGAAGTATATAATATTTTTTATCATTGAGAACCAATTTATTTTTTGAAGCTCATTGATAGTTTTCATATGTGAATTTTTAATAAAAGTAATGTCTATATTTTTTTAATATGTAAACAGTAAAATCGGTTGATCCCGTTTGAACCAATGACCCAG